AGACAGTGTGTCTATTGACCCTCTTGCTGATTCTGGAATGTGTCTTTAGAAAATTGTTCTCAGCAAAATATCCTTCATTCTTTTTTTGTGTCGGAGACTGAAATGGTAGAAAGTGTGCTTGCTTTTTAAAAATCTCCCCTACACTTAATCACCAGTTGCCTTTCATATGGAACGTAATTTTGGGGGGAGAAGGTGTGTGCAAGTAATACTATACAAGATTTTATTTTTTGAATTCTCTAAGAGGCAGCATGTAACGCATAGCAGCTTGCTAACATTTTCTCACCTTCAGGATCACCAGTGTCCATCATAAAGATATCCATATCCCCTTTTGCTGTTAAATTTTCCTTTTCTAACTGCTGGTCAAAGGCTTAAAGTACTAGGTTTTATTTCAGATCAGTATATAAAGCTTTACTAGTCCTGTATGCTTGCAAGGACTCTGGAGAACTTTCCTTGTGTGTCATTCTGATAGGCAGTGATTATTTAAGTTGCATCATATTGCTAAACAGCAGGATTTTTCAAGCAGGTGATGAGTAGCTTCAGACTAAATATCTCCCTAACACAGGTTACTTCAGAGTAAAAGGGCTGCAGGGTTAGCTTTCTTCTAATTCCTTATTTTAAAGGGGAATTAAATACTTCCGTGAGTTCTTCAGTCATGAAAGATTTTAGAGCATCAATGTCCCACTGTTGCACCTGCTACTTAGCTTGAACCTGCCATTTCTGGACTCCTGATGGAGTCATTTAAACATCTGGAACTAACTTTTGATGCTGTTTGAAAGTCTAGGTTTTGCAGCTCAGTGGTTAGGTAGAAAAACTGCAGGAAATGTGGTTAGAATAATCTCGAGAGAATAAGGTTTGTTTTTTTCCTGCTATCTTGTAGAAGAGACAGAAGCTATGGTGCGTGTTGCCAGTTCATATGGCTATTGAGTTTAGTGTTGTTTTCCACATAACGTAGGTCCTGTTGAGGCCTGATTTATTTTTATTTTTTTTAAAGCACTGGAGGCAGCCACAATTCTACTGACTTCTAAAAGTCAACACTCTATAAATTATTACTGCCCTGCAGTTAGCTACTGCCCTGCATTCTCCCCCATCAAATAGCAAGGCTGTAAAGGAAGGAAAAAAGACAAGTTTTGATTATGTTTAATGGCAATTCTGTATAGATTCTGTGAGAGAAGAGGTCATGCATAATAAGCCTTACCTGCTGCTAGTGTGCTTTTAACTAGTTCAGTATATCTGAGCTACACTTCCTTTACCTAGAGTTTTCTTTCAGAGTTAGTTATAGAAAACACTCCCCTGGTGTGATTGTGTTTAAATCTCATTGTCATGTCAGTGGAAACCTGAAGTTTACCTATATGCTCGTTGAAAGGTTCATGGTGCTGTAGATACTGGGCTGTCATGCATTTTTGGGAGTGCTTTTCTTGATGAGATGTGCATTGGCATATGTGACCTTTTGGGTTGTTTGCTGCCATATGAATTCAGAGAAGAACTACCTTAATAAAAACAGACTTTGGAGAAGGAGGTGATATGTGTATACATTGTGCACATTTATTTGGGGAAAAAAGATCTTACAAAGGTATGTGTGTGGGGGGGAGAATAGCATGCAAAACCTGTGTCTCTTTTGTGAACGTGTACAGAAGTATGCATTTAAAAGCAAACTGCCTTTTTTCTTTTCCCCACAAATTCCTCAAATGTATATACCCTTTTCTGCTTTTTCATGATGCTGAAAGGTGACCTCTTTCTTTCAAGAGGGGAGGGGATTTTTCGTTGCATTACAAGTACCTAGCCTTGACATCTCTTACAACCGAGTAGTCTGGCAGTCTGCAGAAGGCCTGGGTCGTGGTTTCACATGTGGTGCTGGAAACATGAGCTCCTGCTCAGTCATCCCTGCCCAGTTAAAGAGAGATTATGTTGACTGAAAGCTGCATCACAGTGTCATCCTTCTACATCTGAAGTCATGGTCTGGTTTTCCAGAGACCAATTATTCCAAAGCCTTTCCTCCTGAAAATACTGTTCAGGGCAGATATTTTAACATTAACTCTAAGAAGCCTGAAGAAATACCTCCTCTGAAGCTGTTTCCATGCACAAGTGAACAGTAAAGAAGGCAAAAATTTATTTTCTGTAAAGCTCAACTATAAATTACTCCTGAAATAGCTCCTGTGACTCTGTGCAGCTCCAGGCCACTGCATCCATTACTCCGAATGTGAAAGTTAATGTCATCAACTCATTTTTATCATTCTGTGCTTGAGCAGAGTGCAATAACGTTGCTATAAAATATAATTCTGTTAATACTAGAAGTGATGATGTTAGAGTGACATACTCCAGTAATAAAAAAAATCTAGACTTTAAAAAATATTTTTATTTTAAGATCCAAATACCTCATTGGAAAAATATTTAAACTGTTTGAAGCTTGCCAAGTGCATTAAATGGCCAGGAGAAACAAAACATCACTGGGGCTCTCGTACAAAAATTCTTGGTTTTGGAATGTTCCCAATTTTACTTACTCATCTGCTGCCTCCTCTTATTTGGGGCCAGTTAAGATAGTTTTGGAAACGGAGCATCTACTCCTGTATACATTTAGCTCAGAGTTACTTTGCTCATATCCAACCAATGAGCTCGCTCATGAAAATGAACTCTGATGACTTAATGTTTGCTGGATCTGCCTGGAAATGTGTAATAATGGATTTCTTGTTTTTCTGTTTCAACAATAGAGTCAAGGGACAAATTCCTGAGTTGCACTATTTAAAAAAAAAAAAAAAAGACAGCTGTATAAGTGGAACTGGGGCTGCTGGAGAAGTCAGCTCAAACAATGGGTTGCTCTTAGGTAGCTGAGGAGAATGGGCCTCACAAATGGATATTGATCTGTAGCAGCTGGGACTTGAGGAAGGGGTTGGGAGACAAGCATACATTACTCTTACAGCTGTCAGCCTTTCCATGGGTGACTTTGTTTTGTTGGTAAATTTGTGTTTGTAGTACAAGGCTATACTGTTTTCCAATCATATTTAATATAGCTATATGTGAGTGGGTAGGTGATAAAGGTTAAGCTATATAGCACTTGGGCAGAAAAAATGATTGATATGGCTTCTTGGAATTTCACTGCAGCAGGTAAATTTTCTAAAGTTATATATGCATCCTTTTCAGGAGTTAGTGGGCAGTTAAAACTCTTGGGGAACAAGCAACATTTAAAATACTTTTTTTTTTTTTTAATTGGATTTCTTTATTTAGTTATAGTTGCAGTCTTCTCCATTTGGTGCTACTGTTTCATCTCCTATTATGCAGTTGGTGCCCAGCATTTTCTCATTGTGCTTCAATTGGTTTTGTAGAAAGAATGTGAAAGGGATCTAGGAAATTTCTACAATTGACTGCACTTGCAAAAGAAATAGCTAAATTGAGGTGAAATAAATTATTAGGTGAGATGTGCAAGCTGGACAAATGGGAGGAAAGCCTATTTCTTTTCAAACAGATTTGAAACCTTCTGGCAGAATTCGTTACCTTCCAGTTATGATTACTAAAATGTTCCATGATTTGGTATTTCATGTATTTATTGTCAGGAAACTATTATCTGCTTTGAACAGTTGAAAGAATTAACCCTCTTCTGAGCTGTTTTGAATGGGAGCCCACTTAGAATGTGCTAAAATTAATTCTTGTGCTGTTTTCCCTGAAAAAAAAAAACCAAAAACAAATCCTTTAAATAATTTTTAAAGCAGTCTTTCTCCTTTCATAAAGGGATTATTCTGAAATTGAGGGAGTGATTGGAGCATAATATGTTCTGGACACTCACAGCCCTGTTCCAGGGCTTGATAGGCAGCAGAGGGTGAGGAGGCTCCGGGAGCGCCTGAAAAATGAGTGGAAACTCAGGATAGTTTGGATTTACAAAGCCAAATCCTGGGCTCACTCCAGTCAATGGCGAAGCTCTCACTGGGGCAAGCATTGGGTCCACGGCCATGGAGCAAGCTCTGCTGGGGTGGGTGGGAGTGGGCAAGGTGGAGTGGGGCTGGGTGGGAGCAGGGTGAGCAGCATTGCTCCAGCGGGGTGGATGTGAAGTGGGGGAGTGGGGAGCTTCAACAAGTGGACGCAGGACAGGGAGCGGAGGCATGTGGGTGTGGGGAGCTGGGTGGGAGGGGAAGGGAAGGAAGAGCTGCTGGATGAAGGCCAACAGCAGGGAAGGAAAAAGCAGCTAAAATAAACAGATGGGATAGACAGTAAGGGAATAATGTTGGGCAGTGAAACAGATAACAGAAGGCCTTGAGAAGCAGAATTGTAAATCAGAAAATATAAAAGGGTCACTCAGGGACAAATTATTCCAGGTGAAGAAGTGAGGTTAATTGCCCAGTGCTCTGCTATGGTGGGTAGCAAAGCAAATCATATGTGTGGGTAAAAGTAGGAAGGGAGTCATGTCTCAGCTGCTACTCAGGTTCCCCTTGTGCACTTAATGCCAGCACTATTCAAGGAGATGCTGGTAAAGGATTTTGCAGAGAGCACAGGGGGAGCACAAGTTAAGATGTTTTGTCATGATGATGTTGGTTAAGGCATGGGAAATGACACAAAACCGTGCCTTTTTTTTTTCTTTTTGGTCGCTTCCCTTTCCCCCAAATATACTGCTCGCCAACAAGTAGTTTATTAGAGAAAAGCAGGTGCCAGCAAGAAGAGTGTCCACAAGCATCCAGAAAATGTGCATACCTGTTAATGGGCTAGTAGAGGGCCAAACTTGGTTTTATGATTTAGATGCAGTACAAACAGAGATTGTTCATGGAATGCAAAGTGGTTCATGGAAATAACATATTGTAACACAAGAACAGAACAGTGGCAGTGTGCGCACTGCAGGCTTATGCTTAAAGTAGATGAACTGTTCCACAAAATGGGAGTAAACCAAAAGCTGAAGTGTTCAGACCTGTATGTTAAAGTTCCCGTGGTGCTTAGTGGTAAGGATAGTAAGATGAGGAGTAACACGATGCAATTTCTTTCCATGTAGTATAAATCATAAATACCTTCTGGCATTTCTTTAGGCAAGACAGCAAGCCCAGCTGAGACATCAAATGGCAGAAGACAGCAAAGCAGAGTATTCTTCCACTCTACAGAAGTTCAACAGTGAGCAGCATGATCATTACTACACACACATACCGAACATCTTCCAGGTAAGGGTCTCTAGCACTGATCTAGAGTACCTCATAATCTTGTGAATAGAAGAGGGCTGTATTGCATGCAAGTCTGTGACCCTGTCTTTTACATTTTGATGATTTCTGTCACCATTAGCAAATTTTATATGCAGTCTGCCAACCTGAGATTGAGAGCTTGGTAGGATTAATTGTCCCTTTCTCCTAGACTAGATATCAAGTGATCAGTAATATATGGGGAAGGTGACACTGAATTGTCATGACATGTTACCATAGTCTTTGGAATCTTCACAGTCTTGCTCTGTTCAATTCATGTGTCCATGCAGCTGGGGAATGAGAGCATTATTTGCATTGTTGAGTCACGAGTCAGCTGGGCATCATTACATCTGTAAAGCCTCACAGCCCATTATAACCTGTCTCCAAATCAGACTTCACAGATGTTTAAATTTAAACCACAATATTTCTGCAGTAGTGAATGTCAAAAGGTTTAAGCAAGCTTGGTGATTATGTCTTAGGGTGCCTAAATAAAGACTAGAAAGAGAACAAAAAAGCCATCAGATTTATACTGGCTGAAGATCTGAGTTTGTGCTTGACTGAACGAAGAGATTAATGTAGTTGAACAGAAGTTCTAGATGACTGTTCCATTGTAATCGGTCATAAGCATCAGAAGTGGAAAATACAACCTCTTTAAGACAGAAAACATCACATGCTTATCATCTGATGAGAAATAAGTGATATTTGTGTAGCAAATAGGCATTTTCTTCTCCATAGCTGGAACTTCGTAGCTAAATGGACACCTTCTCTTTTGCTTCATGGTATTTGAAACCAGTGTCTTGAGATAAATTATCCCTGGCATCAGATACAAACGTATTGCAAAAATTTTGTATTTGAAGTTAGATCTGGTAAGTGCTCTGATTTGTAGGTGAGCATGTTTTAAGTACTTCAGATGTATTCTTTTCACTACCCGTGCACCAGTAAGCTCCAGTGCTTTCTTTTAGATGTTGAAATAAATTGTTTTGTAAAGAATTTATGTTGCTTGTGGATCAGTCAAGACAATGGGGGTTTTAAGTTGACAATGCTCCATAAGATTCCTGCAGTCTAATATGAAATAGGCCATTCCTGTTCATGCCCTTCTGATACTGTTATAATCTGTTATAATAACGTTATACCACATCCAGTTTCCCTGTGTTGTAAACAAGAGGCCCATGGAATAGATGCTGGAGATTGTGGCACTGAATCCATTGAGCAACAGGGAGCATATGTTGAGAAGCCCTGGTGTGAACAATACATGATGTATAGGACTGCCTGTAAACCAAAAATGACCTTCTAGGGAAAAGGAGAAGGGGAGACATCATGATTTTTGTTTGCTTGGATTCTGCGATGGAATGAAAATAAGATCTTTCAGAACATGTGCAGAAAATTAAAGAACTTATTGTTGCAGAATTTCTCTTAAAAGCCTTAGGAGCTATCTTTACAAAAGTCCGAAGCTGGGGTTTTGACAAATCAGCATTTTTTTACCATAAAAAGTTAATTGAAAAATTCCCAGTAATAGTAACAGAAATTACTTTTAGATATGGCATTTTGATGTTTAAGGGAGCAATATCACTTGGTCCCTTCATGGGAACAGCTGTCCTAGTTTGTTCTTCAAATTATATTTAAAGTGTAAATTTTAAAGAAGCTGGTGTATGTTGGGGAGAAAAATTGGTTGAAAATGTGAAGTTAATCTTGATATATGACCTGAATGAAATGTAATGTTTTAGAAAATACAAGAGATGGAGGAAAGAAGAATTGTGAGGATAGGTGAATCCATGAAAACTTTCGCAGAGGTCGACCGCCAAGTGATCCCTATCATTGGAAAGTGTCTGGATGAAATAACAAAGGCTGCAGAATCAGTTGATCACAAGAATGTAAGTGTTACATTATTTGGATTGTTGATTGTCATCTTTAGTATTAATCACTTATATATGGAGACTTCGATCCTGGGTCTGGGCTGCAGCACAAGGGTTTTATAGCCCTAGAACTAAAACAAAAATAGCTTCTTGTCCCAAGCTACTTTGTGTGAGGCAGGATGTGCTCAGATTATCTCCCAAATCTACTTAACCACCCAGAAATGCTTCTCCTGCCACACTTTTTCAATTTTTTTTTTTCCTTCTATAATTATTCTCTCCTTTTACTAGGATAATTACTTTTTGAAATACTGTAATTGAAAAACAGGCTTCCACGTAGAATAAGGAAGATGGTGGGCATAATTCCAGATACCTAAGAATCATCAATTCTTATCCAGATAGGTTCTATGTCTAATAGTCAGAAAACTGAATGTTGCACAAATGTCTTCATTCTGTTAGTTTTATAATAATGGCAATCTTTAAAGTATTGGCTATGTGAATTATGGCAAACTACTCTCGGAAAACTTCTACTTACCGTAAAATCTTTCTTTGCAGATTTGAGGTTTGCTAGCGATCTGTAAATGAGCTCTCTCAAATCTTGATTTCTGAACATTATCATAGGAGTAAAAAGAAGCCTTCCTGATGAAAAGGCTGATAAAGAGCTCAGTTGAGCTTCCTGATGTACTGTTAGCACAAGGGCAGATGTGTTTTCTATTTTGTTTTCAGAATGAATGATCTTCTCCCTTCGTAAATGAAGTCTATGCTTGCTCTTTCAGCCCTTCTCATGGATCACATTAGTGTTTCAAATACATACAGCATGTGTCTTGCTGGCTGTTTGAATTTCTTGTATGTCTTTTTCACTGGAATCTTTTCTGAGCTATTCAGTGCCCCGAGCCTGGCGACTGCCATCAATTGGCAGCATAAGCCTGAGGCTGAAGTTTTTAAATTAATCCCCTACTTTCTGCTCAGCAATTGCTCTCACAGAGAGCTGCATAGGAGACCAGGGAATCTGAAAATTACTCTTTCAGAGTGGGAGAAGGTGGAGTTGGGGCACAGGCTCCCGTGTTAGAACAATGTCCCATCCTGGAAGTGCTGCATGGCGAAATCGTGTTGGAGAGATTCGTAACTAAGCCAACGCTCTGCTTGAAGATTCAAGTGAGGTCTTAGCGAAACACACACAAGGCTTAATCTAGGTGTTTCAATCCCTGTGAATTTTATATTCAGGTTAGTCTCTTGCACACAGATAAGTCTGATGGCTCGTGCACAAGTATGACATTAGAAAATGGTGGCTTTGAGCATTGATAACTAAGGAATCTCCTGTAAACACCATGCTAACAAAAATGTTTTTAATGAAGTTTGTTATATCTGAACAATTACAAAGGTTTTATCATGTTCTTTGTGGAAAACAGATAGACACCCCCCCCCCATACAGGGTTCTTTTCTCTTAAATACCATCAAGGATTTTTTTTCATCTCTGGAACAGTAGTTTCTAACTTTCTTGATTCTGATAAAAGTGATATGCTTGTTCCTGCCTTTCTGTAGAACGCAGGTCCTGCCACTTTCTAAGGATGGCCATACCTGCACACGGTAGCAATGAAGAAGCTGTATTTTCTCTATCTCCAGATAATGTACTGCTTTTGCCACTAATGCAGAGTGTTACAGCAGACCTTTCCCATCTCACCCTTTAATGTTCTAAGGAGCAAGTTTGAGTTTTCTTAGGCAACCATCAGAAGAAATTTCCTCAAAAGATTCAAATTGAAGGTTATCTCCTTTACTCACCTTTTTCAAGCTTGAAAAACTTTGGATAGGAAAGTCAGCTAGATCTGTGCTGTAGTCAACTTAAAAAATGAGGTCAGATTCCAGGAAAGTTGAATGCAAGGACAGCTGGTGATAATATAGCTAGTACAATGGTGAGCAAAACCAAGAGCCTGCTGAGCAGGAAAAGCTTTGTGTGAAACTCTGGGCCCACTCAGACATGTGTTTCCCAGCTGGGAGGAGATCTCCAGGATCTGGTGATCATAAACAAATGTACAGTATCACTAAACTTGAAATGTATAAGGTCAGACAGTATGACACTGACAAAAGGCAGTGGTGCATTTCAAGTTCTCATTTAGGTCTCGGTATTGTTTGGTTTTATTTTCACTTTTTCTATCCAGCTATCACATGGTTACTGAAGAAGGGGGAGGGTAGATGAAAGCTCTGCACTTTGTACAGTAATTTCAGTTCAGAACCCAGAGCTTTAAATGGAACAACCACAACTAATACAGATGTATTCATCAGAAAGAAAATAATTACAAAGGACCCATTCCAGTAATTTACCTCGTGTATCAAACCATGTGTCAATTGTAGCCTCAAGGATGTAAGAACCTGCAAGTTCTGCCAGTAAAATATTACCAGCTCATGGTAGGGCATTACTGTGTAAAAAAGGAAAACCAAAATTAAAGCAGCAGAGCTTTGCACTTCATGTAGGTGCCTGGGAGCTTTTTGATAATCAATTTTTAGCTTTGGGTATGTTTACTACGAACATTGGTCTATGAAGGTGGGGTTTCTGTGGTATCTGAACCACTGATTTCTAGCATCAGAATTGTGTAGTACAACAGTAAGGACGGATGTATCTCTATAGTGACTTTGAAAATGTGGAAGGGCAGACTGCTAACAGGCTTCCTTTCTGCAGCCAGCTCCATGTTCCCTCCCTCTGGGGATGCCAGCAGGGTTTTGAAAGGTGACTTCTCTTCTAGCGCCCCTATTTCATTGGATAGTGTGAAGAACCAGAATGACACATGGGACAGATTTAATACTCTTTATATTCTCTGCAGCTTAAATATTACCAAGTTCTGCCTCTCGCCCACTTGCAAAATGGCCAGTCTTTCAGGCTTAGTTACTGCATTCGCAAGTGTTTAATTAGGATTGCTTTATGCCCTCACTGAAGTGTATAGAATTCCTGCTAACAGCGGTAGAAACTGTCTGGATTTATCTGGGAATGCTGCTTAGCCCTGTGTTTTTAATACAGTTGTAAATATGCTTATTTTTCATATCCTCTTTCTAACAACTGGGACAACACAGAGGTCATGTTGCAAGGGTAAGCTGTAGTGACTGCTAGGTGAACCTATGCAGAACTTGCTTCAGAAGGCTCAAGCAGCAGATAAAATTAGTTATGGACTTCAGAGTTCCTGTTATGACATTATCTCTGTGATATATGGAGTATGGTGGTTATTTTTAGCACCATTGTAGTGGAAGGGTGCTTTGACTAAATACAAGGAACACTGTAAAATAAAGAGGGAAAAATGAAAAGCTCCATGCATAGGATAAAATACCAATAGAGTTTTTAATGTAACCTTGTGCATGCTTGTAGTCTCTTCTCTCTTTTTCATTTTGCTTCCATGACTATTATTAAAAATCTCTTCAAATGTTTAGATCTCAGGAAGTTTTAATGTTAATCTAGGATGAGATACTGGAAAGTGTTGCTCTATCTCCCTAAAAAATCATGTAGGAATTTCACATTACACCTGATAGGTTGAGAATCTTAAACCTTAATTTTCTTCAAAATCCCATGAAGACTTTTGCAAAGGTTTTCCTATAGCTGTGTTTTGCTCAGCTGGGCTTGGCCTCTGGATATGTTTATATCCCACTAGATTTCTCATTAATAGTGTTTTACCTACGGACCTAAGCAGAGTCTGTGAAATGCCTTTGAAGGAACAAGTTCATCTTTTTTATCTGAACAGGATGGTGGTGCTTCTCTCTAGAGGCCAATACGATATTTGTGTGCTGTGACACAGTTTCTCTAATGATCTTAAAAGAAAACTGTTAGAGCAGTATAACATAAGCGCTCTTACCAAGAAGTCAAGTCAATGCAAAATGTGTTTAAAATATTTTTTTTTTCTGAGTTCATTAGATTTAAATGCATTTGGCAGGCTGAGATCTGAATTTGAGTTTCTGTATAATTAATCGCGCTTGTAAACCTGACCTAGGACAAATGCTATATATTGTTCTTTGATTTATTCCCAACTTGTGTGCAAAAGGGCAACACCAATTCATACGGTATACAGCCAGTGTGTGGCTAACTTAAATCTAGTAGTTAGTGCCAAAAGGGTATGTGGCTTTAATGACAGCGCGTGGAGTTCCCAGCCACTGCCTGCACCAAGGTGTCGGGCTACTTCCATGACCTTGGACTGCTCAGTCGTTAGGTAAAGCTGTAAGAGAAACTCCTGCCCTTTACTGTAGCTGAGTTCACAAGCACCAGCTTATCAACTTGTGTCAGTGTGATCACTTGAGCTCCTTTTTATAGGAGTAATTGTTGGGATTTTTCTACTAGTTTGCTTACAGCTGCGTGCTCAGCCTTTCTATACCCTAAGTATTTGTTATGAGTCAGTCACTGAAGTTATCTGTTGGGTTACTGAAGTGTGATTGCTTTTCTGGTCAGTAATGTTAACAATATTAAGCTCTCAGTCATTTTCACCGGTAGACATGAAAACGCCTTTAAAAGGTGTTTGTATTGGAATTTTGATTTTGGTGTTGGAAATGAATCCAAGGGAATGAAAACATTGCTGGGTCGTGGTCAGACTCGGGGGTTGTGCAGCTCAGTAGAAGGTTGGAATGAGGACACCTGCATTTCTTCTTCCTAAGCATCATCTGTATTTAACTACAATGACCTGTGCTTTAATGATAGTTACGTATTTTTTATTTTCCCTAAATAGACCATAATCCTCTGCTTTTTATCTGTTGGTATTTTGAGTAATGATTGGTCTCTAATACCTTCTCAAAGTGGACTAGAATTTTGTTAGAGGAGTAATGGGACTATCTGAGACTAAAGCTCACGGGCTTTATTTCTGCAGATTGTTTGTTTATTTAGAGATCTATTATGAAACTGAGATTTATGCTGCCAGTTGCAATACCTTCTGACTGACATAGGTTGGTAACTTTAGTTCTGTGTGGTGTCACTATGGGGTTCTTAACTGCATTTATCACTCTGGTATCTGGGAGTATTAAGTTTTACACGAGAGTGCCTTGATTTGGTAGGACACTATGCTGTGCCCAGACGTGGGGGGTGTTTTTAAAGCACAACATGATAATGAAAATAGGTCCAAGAAAAGTGCCCTGACCTTGGAGAAGGTGGGGAAACTGGTGTTGATCCTGGGCTCTGGAAGGATGTTTGTTCCTGGCATGAGTCTGGTCACTGTAAGGGTTAGTTTGTGCACAGACAAACTTTCTTGTCCATGTACTGTCTCTATGCCACCAATTTGATGACAGCCTTCACCTGAGATGTTTACACTTGTACTGGATCTGTCCCATTCCAGGATTCGCAGATGGTAATAGAAGCCTTTAAATCAGGGTTTGAGCCTCCAGGAGATATCGACTTTGAGGATTTCACGCAGCCGATGAAGCGGACTGTCTCGGAATCCAGCCTTTCCAACTCCAGAGCGGATGGGAAGTCTGAGCCGAAGTTTGGCGGCAAGTCCAAGGGCAAGTTATGGCCATTCATCAAGAAAAATAAGGTACTGACTTGCAAACTTGAGCTTGGTGCTAGTATGTGTGCAGTCAAAAACCTCTGTCTTGTCTAGTAATCCTGGCAATAGCAATTTTTTTAAAGAGAATTTTAGATTCAGAAAGTTAATAACTGATATCTTAATATGGTGTTTTGTTGTACTCTTTGGTTACTTAAGTTTCTTTATATCTTTAATTTTTTTTTCTTGTATAATTTCTTTAATTATGTTGCAGTTTTTGTATTAATTTAACCTCGGTTGTCATGTCTCTGCCATGGTCCATTTCTGTTCCTAACTCAGAAGGAATTGTCTACCACTTGCCTAGTGCCATGTGTGCGAACTAACATTGTTACTTTTGGGAAGCTTTAATGTAGCATTACTGTTTTGACATTTCCAAAACTCTCCTTGGCTTTTCATTTGCGTTGTCTTTTCAGTCTGTACACTGGGTTCAGCAGTTGGGTGGCTGGGAGCAAGGAATTGCTGCGATTCATTCTTCTTAAGCACAACTAACAGAGCATAACTAACTGAGCAGTTGACTTTTTAAAAAGATCATATTAACTTATGTATCCATTAAACCTTTTTCATTTCACTGTCATATTTTACACCATAGTGCATGGCAGCATTTATCTGGGGTTACCAGAACATGCCAGGGTGATGGGACTGAAATGTTTTTCAGTGACACTGATGGGAGCCCAGAGTAGCTTTGTCGTTTTGATCTCACCCTTGCTCTGACCCTTACCAAACCACTTCTAATTACAGAGTCAAAAAAAAAAAAAAAAAAAATCTATCTGGTCAAAATGGGTCATTCCTGTTGTGCTAGTATGAGAGAGAACTCAGCTGTCTGGTGCTTACATCAGTGTAGCCCGAAACAAAACCCAGGAGTAACTCCTGAACAAATTCATAGAATAATTTGTAAAAGTGAAGTGTGATGCACATTACTGAGGTATGATTTGAAAGCAGGAAGGAATGTGGTTTGTTGTTTTCCAGATAATAGAAACGCTACTGGGCACTAAGGTACCTTCCTTATCTGATCCATTTAAATTCAGGTATTTGAAAGCTCTATCCATATGCATTATTCCGAGCTGTCCACAGAACAGAACAGGGCAATTTATGGGGATAGCACTGCATGGAAGAGTCTGCATGAGCTTCCTGTCAAAATACTTTTGTGTTACTCTTCTGTTGCATCACTTACTAAAACTTCCATTTATCACAGTCTTCATTTAATACAACTCTTAAATACTGCTTTCCCCCCTCTTTTGAACCATGGCCTTTAATAATTAATTATTTAATTGTTGGTTTGTTTGTTTGTTTTTCTCTGGATTTCAAATATTGGTTTTGATGCTTATTTTCGTTTTGTGTTTTATCTTTTTATTTTGGTTTTTATTCTGTCACTTCTCCATCTCTTATACGTAGCTTATGTCCCTTTTAACATCCCCCCATCAGCCCCCTCCTCCTCCCCCTGCCTCTGCCTCACCCTCTGCTGTTCCCAACGGCCCCCAGTCTCCCAAGCAGCAAAAGGAACCCCTCTCCCATCGCTTCAACGAGTTCATGACCTCCAAACCCAAAATCCACTGCTTCAGGAGCCTAAAGCGCGGGGTAAGTTCTCCTCTGGATACCTCTCTCTCTTTCTTTCTCTTTTCTTTCTTTCTTGCGCTTTTATTGCACGTTCTGTTATGTAAAAACCTGTTTTGTTTTGTGAATGAATCCATTGTGTTTTATCATAACATGCAGACAAATCCAAGGAATCCCAACCTATAAAGCCATTTGTAGTCAAACACCCCACAGTGAAACCACAAAAAGTATAGTTGCTGATGGAAATTATCCGTTCAGGTTTTTGGGGGAGGACAGATTGTCCAAAGTATGGAAGGAAGAGCTGAGCACTGAGTGGAGCATCATGTAGAAGTCAGTCATCAATTTAGTAGCCCTGCATTTGTCTGTGGAGGAGAACCATTCAGAGGTTTACTCTGATGCTGCGTGTTGTCTACCTTAATGTGAGAAGTTTTCTTCTCTGCAGGGTGGATTCAGCTCAATGTCTGTGTCAGAAGGAGGAGAGTAAATTAGGAGGGATTCCAGAAAATAATTCTTCTGATTTCAGATGGTGCAAGTTCAGGCATTTCCCCAAAATGACCTGACACCTCTTGCTGTCATAGTGGGAAGATGACTTCCCTGTGTATTATGGTCAAGTATGCTTCTGTGTGCAACTTCTGTTCCAGAGACTCGTCTTCAGCTCATGCTTCAAGTGCTGCAATGCTAGCTTGCTTAGTCTTAAGATAAGAAAACAGGTGCAATGTGAAAGATTAACTGATTCTGGGTGGTAATGAAGTTGTTTGTGGTACACATGTGCTTTAAAGCAGGGTGACCGTGTGGGTGGAGTATGCGGGGTGGCCGAATTTAATGTTTCCTGCAGCTACCTCTATTACAGTTGGCTCTAAATATTTGGGGCTGACACTTCTCAAGGATCTTAACTGCATCCTGTAGCATGAAGTTTCAATAAGATAGGAAGGTTTGATTTGATTCTTGTAGAGAGCCTAAGAAATCCTGCTTCCCAACAAGCTTGTTTATCATGTCTGCCTTTGGGCTTCCTTGAGCAGACAGTGTGGGTTAAACAGTCTTTTAAATGTCCATGGAAGAATTAATATCCTGCCATGCTCTTTAACTTTTTTCTAATTATATTTAAATGTGTTTTCCACAGTTTTTATTCTTGACACTTTAAGTGTCAATGAAGTATCTTTTCAAAAATACCAAGTTAAAAACTACTTTTAATAGCTGCTATTCTTGCAAACTATGGAGGAAAGACATTAACTGCGAGTTTGCTAAATTTGTGATGAACCATAGCAAAGCTAGGAAAAAAAATTCCATGATCTATGCTCGGTCCTTGCAGCCTTCTCTACACACATTAGCATGAAGAAGTGTAGGCCAAAATGTCTTTTTCTGGACATTTCCCGTTAAGTCCACAGACTGTTGGTATCTGAACTGACTTTCGCTTCCCAGTGCTAGGATGCACACAGCTTAAAATGATATTCTGTGTGCAAAAGCTTTATTGGTCTACTATGCAAGCTCCAAAATATAAATGAGAGGTTCTGAGGGATTAAGAGTTTGGGTTTTTCCTCTGCCAGCAGCTGAAGTGTGGTGTGTTACGTGCTGGTTTATGGATTGTGCATGTGCAAAGAAGCTGAAAGCCTCCACGGCTGACCTTGGGGATTCACCTGGGTCTACATCAATCTGGATCAACATTTTGTGACACATCACCACTGTTTCAAGTTCAGTGTCCCTCTCCTTTGCTGCTGAGAGAGTAGGAAACATGACCTGTTTTCCCAGATCAGCTGCTCTGTTCCTGTTGCTGACAGCAGCTGTGGCTATATTGGTAAACTGATGCTGAGGTGTCTGTGTTGAATTCATAAGCAGTAAGTAAAATGACAGGTCCTGAGATAAAATTTTCCATTTTTCAAAGTAAAAGACGTTACCTTGCCAGAAGGTCACACGTGGCACGGTTGTGCTGAAAAATTGCTGGCGTAACATGGCTTTGGCTCCTAGGTTAAGGTCCTTAGAATTATTTCATTCTATAAAAATTACAGGAAGGAGACACAAGTGTTCAGCATTTTAAAACATTTTTTAGGGCAGACTGTAGCAGTAAGGAAGTGACTACTTTAAAAATCCCAAATCCTGCTCCAGGGACTGCACTGACATTTAGGGCTGAGGGCTGGAGTTGTATAAAAGTAGAGATGATTTCAGTGGGGAACTTCAGTGGTTAGTTACAGAGAATTGAAAACAGTGCTTGTAAACAATGTTTTGTCTCATCTGGTTGCAGACAGTACAAAAGATGTTTTATACAGAGTGGTTTTCAGGTCTTTGCTAGGGAATTGCCATTTAATGGGACATTCAGAACCCAGCAAATCACATTTCTGGTGCTTTTCACTGGGGAAGTGGGAAGTTTCTAAGTTGTCCAAAGGCATGTTCTGAAAATGCACCTCCAGTTGCAGTTTGGCTCAGAGCGTGGGTTCTCAGTGGCTTTTACCGGGGGGAGACAGTCTTTCAATTCTGCTTCTGCAGCAGCAGGCCTGGAGGGCGGGGGAGGGAGCGGCTGTGCTGGGGGCACCCGCTATGGTGGGTGGGCACCTGGGGCAGTCGCCTTGGTGCGGGGTAGCACTGAGACACTTTGGAGGGTAAGGCACTGCCGAAGGTGAGGGTTTGTGCTGCGATCTAGTGCTCCAATTCACAAAGCAGAATATTGAAAATAGTGCTGAATATTTCTAATTTGATTTAAAAACACTAGGTTGTAGTTCCCTGGACACTCCAGCAGTTTGTATTTCAAATGTACAAATTCTTATTCAGTGAGTATTTGGCCGTGTAAGCAATTATGACTAATTGCTTTTAATATTTCCTCAAGAAAGACCATAGTTTATATATAAACTATCTGAGAAGTCCAAGCAAGTCTTATGAATTCTGCATGCTGCATTGGTTTTAAGTGGTTTGTGTGAAAGGTTAAATAATGAGAATATTTCCTATAGTCTTCTCTGGAATCCCTCGAATTTCTGCTGACACATTCATTAAAAATGTGCAAGGAAGGGCTATTGCTAAATCTTCATTTAAATCTTTCACTGTGTTCTCTTTCTGTTTCATTTCCTTCCCCTGTTAGCTACCAGGATGTTTGTATGTAAATACTTTTCCTGCCTGACTCAGAGGCCAGTGTTCAGATCATTTCTTTTTGCAGAGGGGCAAATTCAGGCCACTTGATTCATCTAGAAATATGGAGTAGGAGAGGCTGCAAAGCTCTGGCAGCTTGCTCCATCTGAGTTAAAAACTTGTTGGGTTCACATTTCATAGGTACTTGATGATTTGTATTACACAAATGGTCAGACAGATCATGGAAGTGCCATATTCTAACCAGGCAAAAAATAAATCAAGAACCATCCCCAAATCCTGTTAATTTATCAGATGTAAAGTAAGTGGTTGCCATTTGTTTCAGCTGATGTGGTTGATATGACCCCCTTTATATTCAGTACAGTCAGATAATACTGTTAATTCTGCTTTTACCATATTAAGTTTTATAAGATTTCCTTTTCTCAGTTCTTTTCCATCTCACTGTCAAATCCAAAAGCATCTGAATTTTGCTCATTTTAGTGTTACAAACACTGGATTGTGATGTTACCAAAGAAATTAGGAGGACATAGAGGGAAACTCTCCTCCACAGAGAAGAACATTGGATCTGTACAGGAGGACATCAGCAAAGAACTTTTGGAAAGGTCGTGCAGGGAGCCAGCAGGACAGCACAGTGTAACAGGTGTTTGGCTTTGGACACAGAATAATTTCATTTGCTCTGAATATTGTCTCCACACTGCTGGTTTTGTTCAGAGGCAAAGTTCTGCTCCAGCCACACACCTTGCAGTAAAGGTGGCCACAGGGCATGTTAAGTATTATTTTAGAGTATTCAACCAAGTTGTGAAGCAAGTCCTGCCTGGCTTTGTTGATAAACTGTTAATTCCTATAAAAGCCAGAGTAACAATTTGCTTATTTCAGAGGAAACTGGATCATATTCCTTTTTTGCACTGGCTTAGGGAAGAAGTGCGTGAAAAGGCACTACTTAATGTGAACTGAGTATCTGTAGTAGGAACTGAGTCCAGTAGATACTAAGACCTTAACAGGGTACATACCGTCAGCAGAACTGCACATTGTAATTGATCCTTGAAATAGAAGTGAGTGAATGGATTCCCATACAATTTCTCCATGAAATCTTTGCTGTCAGAACGTGTCTGGAGAGGCAGTATGTTTTAGTAATTTCCATATGAAGTGTTGGTTTAGCATCTTACGTTGCATTTGCAAAGAGGATTTATGAAGCTAAAGCAGAAAAATCACTGGTGACTGTTAAAATGCATTGTATAATTAGTAATTATGTGTCCTGTGCCCAGTCTGGTTTTAATTTTGCTTCCAAACCAAAAATTCAATGAATCTTGTTTTCATGGAAGGAAGCAGATGTCTGAACAATTTACAACAGATGCAAGGTTACTGTAGAGGCACCAATACCAGTATCAGTGGTCACTGCCAATATGAAATCCTAGTCTGTTTAAAAAAGAAGAAAAAGGTGCTGACTCTTGTCAGTGTCTATGGTTTTCTAATCATACTTTTGTATTTTCCTCAGTTTCTTCTTCTAACCTCAACAGCAGAAATGTCCATTGTACAGAATAATGTAAAACTGTTACAACACTTATCGTAGATCAGAACTAGAAGAGGAGGGGGGAAAAAGTATCTTTTACAGTTTTTTGAGTGCTGTTTCTAATAACTTAAAAAGGCAGTATAGAAGTAATACAACACTTGAAATCAACTTTGTCTCTTTAGGGAAGTTAAAGCCAGAAGAGTACAAAAAATGAGGAACCACTTACATAAGTTATAAGTTCATTTATGCTTGCTGTGCTTTTTCTAATTCCATTTTGAGGACAAAGAAAACTCAGTATTCTGCTAGTTGATATTAATTTTGTGTTCTTTTGTTTTATTGCTATAGCAGCAGTAACATCAGCACCTTTATTTAAAGAGCAATACTTCTGAACTAACAAAATCCAGGGGTAGAACTTACACCTTTGAATTACTCTATGTGGCACTGTGTGGACTTGCCTTTCCTCTCGCGCTTCAGGGACTGATTTGTGTTTAAGCAGAGAGGATGGGTCTGGGAGCTGGGTTGCAGATATTATTGTCATTACCCAAGTTCCACCCTCCAGACGGTTCCATAAGGCACACGGAAGGACTTTTGTGGTTTCCTTTTTAGTGGAAGTTGTTGACTTCATTACAATGTGATTTTATTTCCATTGCACCAGTTAATGTTTTCCCTTGCCATCCCATCTTGCCTCCGTGACATACTGTGTAGTCTTCTCCCTCAACACATAGCTGTTGTTCTGCCTGGGTGATCAGTACTTTGTTGTTCTGTGAGCATGCAGAAACAGCAAACAAAACAAACCACCCCCTCTGGTACCTGCAGTGTTCCCTGCCCCTGGAAATACTTGTTTTTCTAACTTAAGTGTATAAATCTGTGCCAAGACCAGGATTTTTTGGCGGGTGGGATCATTAAAGCCATGGCTTGTTCTAGCACAGAGAGATGTTTTCTGACCTCGTATGTTTAAACTAGCATATAAAAATATATTTTCTGACTTTTGTGAGAATGCTAAACTCTTAATATTCGCCTAGTTTCTAGGAGCCTTCCGCTTTGCACTTAAAGGCTAGTTAAATGCCAAGCTGTCTTTTGCTGTAGAAGCAGTAAACACAGAGGTGCCGTGTTTGTCTCCACTGTAACGGATGTGTTTTCTCTTGCTGACTCACCAGCAGACACAGTCTTTGTATATTCACAAAGAACTCATGAAGAGGACTTTAGGGACACCCACGTGTGCCTTTGAGGCTAGGGAATATGTTGTAAGTCTGTGTATGGTGTGATCAGCCCATACCGTTGCTACACAGTCGCTAACCCCACTTACAACGCCCTTAGAGTGTGCTGTGGAAATGCGCTTTGTAAAAGATAAAGGAAAATTTGGTGGGATGCAAGTTGCAGCTTACGGTGTTACGTGCAGGAAAGATATGTCTGCTAGTCCTAGAAATGCTGAAATTGGCCCAATTAAAGTAGCTGGACCTGTGAAATTCAGAGTAAGTACGGGGTCCATGCGTCTATTCTAAAATAGTTTGAGTGCAGTCTCGAGCATCGTGAGCCAACCCCTGATTTGCAGCAGTGCAGTGACACTTTCTGTGCCTTGGCTGTGAAACACTCCCTGGAGCTTGCTGATGCTTCCCTGAACTCTCTGTGATGACGATAGTTCATGGAATCAAGATACATGACCTCTAAATCTGACACCCGGGTAAAGCAGAGTATGGGGAGGTTGTTACAGGACCACTAAGAAAGAAAACTACTTCTTGGTTGTATGGAAGTCCAGTGATTTATTTCAACCCTCTTTTCTGTAAGTGAGGTTAGTGTCCGTGACTGTCCAATAACACATGGACTTGCTGGCTTTCATGCTCTCTCATGTGTTATTGAAGCTTGTGGCTCTTAGGCTCTTCATTTTTCTCCCTGCAAGACCAAGCTAGACTTGTTTTAAATTGACAGCTTGAAACAGATTTGCTCATTTTGAAGAAACATCATTTATTTACTAATTTGGGGGGAAAATGACCATGTTCTCCCAGGAGCTGTGAGCAAGTTTCTAGCTGTGAAAACCCAACAAAACAGACAAAAGTAGTTACTTAGTGTTTAATGCAGATTTACTTTCAGTCTGCTTGTATTTGTGTATAGAAACTAAATCGCTGTCATGTAAAATTATCAATACATGTCAGAAATGGAAAACTGTGAATATGACTTATTTCAGCATTTCATTGTTTCCAGTCTATTATCTGCTTTGTTATTTGTACTGGTTATAACAATCCCTGCTGTCCTATTTGGAAATGCTATTAATAAGTTCTCTATTTTTGTCGTACTTACCAGCATAAGAATTTGGCATACATTGTCTATAATCTCTTTCAAATTTGCTGGATTTACAGCAAAAGAATAGTCTTGATGCAGATAATTCTTCGCAGTAGTGTAGTGCCTTTAGAGTGAGTAGTGTTTAGAAACTAGCGCATGTAGCATACATTTGTGCCTTTTATAGAGTGCTTCATAGGTAAATATTTATTCTGCACCATGAGTCTTGTCTGTATATATGTACAAGGATCTCAGTTTGTGCCGATCATGTCTATGCTAAAGTTCACAGGAGTGCTAAAGCAATTATGCAAACAAAAGCTGCCTACGCTGACTTTCTTCAGCAGTATATTTTAGCTCATTCTTTCTCCTTCCTGTCTGATTAGTCTCTAAAATGGATTGGGTTTGTTTGCTTTTTTTAATGGCCTCTTAGCTGAGAGAGTGAATTCTTTCATTGCACTGTGATTATTATCATGCATTTACTTCCTAATGGACTGAACTTCAGAGGGAAGTTGTCACTGAATGCATCAGTTCAAATGGAATATTTCACTATTTATTTCAAGGCCATATATTTTCCTTGAATGGTTGGCACGTATTAATGTGCAAATTCTGGTAACTAATGGTAATTGTTATTTTTGAAAAACATATTTCTTAAATCATGATGTCAAAAACATCACAGGTGTGGAGCCACCTTTATTTAAATCCAATCCTAAAGAAATTCTTGCTAAAAATGGAGCGTCTGTTTGAGAGCAGGGTACCTGGGAGTTGTTGGTAACAAAATAACAGAGAACTCTTGAATGGAAGGAGGTTCCAAAATCTGACAGTACAGATCATTGCCTGGAATAAGAGGCGTTTCCCAACTTCCATGTTACAGCTGTTTTTCACACCAAGGATGTGCATTTATGCACATACAAGTTTGTTGCATAGTTTGTCCATTTCACAACTGTCCCCAAGGAGCTGGTTGGACAGGCACAGCGCAGATTGCTGGAGGAGGCTGGGTGCAGTTTTGATTGTCCTTTTAAAATCTGGTTTTCTGTCTTGAACAGCAGCTAACTTGTGCTCCTCGGCACAGAACAGAAAAGCAGTGTGGCAGTGTTAGTCTCCCAATCTCTTGGAAAAACTTCTGAATTGCAGCTGTCATAATGTCTTGCAACACTGGAAGAGGCTTTGGGAATTTTGGTGGTCCGCTGCCCGAGCATATTCATTCACCCGGCAGTTTTTGAGGCCCCCCCAGTGTTGCTGAGAGCTGGATGTGCAAGTGATGTAGGGCAGAGGCAAACCCTGCTGCTGCGCAGGCCCCTTAAGCATACACTTTCTTTTAGTCTGACTTTCCCAGAGTAACTAAAAGATAATGTTTTGGCTCTGTACCAGGAAATGTGGTAACCTTTAAAGAATTAGATCATGTATATCACTCAAGAAGCTTGAATAATGTCTTACCAGTCTGCCATTGAATCAATTTGGTGTAAAGAGCAGAGACTTTTTTTTTTTTTTTTTTCCCCCCTTCCTTCTTGGTCCTGACCTTGTCTGCCCATATGACCAAAGTACGTTTGAGAATGAGTATTCATTTTTGAATTGTTCAAGAACATGAAGTGACTTTATGTGACTGCCTGCCCAGCACTGTATGCCATCAACAGGGATGTGTCGGGGGTGCTGTGTGCTGGACGTAGCCCAAGAGCTCGGGAATCACCGGAGATCCCATTGTACCTTTTGCTGCTGGGGCCCAAGTGCCGTACCTTCCCTCTTCCCTGGGTTTTGGCTAGGTGCTCTCCCCCCTTCTCTTAAGCCTTTGCATAAAGTAGCTGATGTTTGTGAGTGCATTTCAGCATATTTTTGATCTAAAGTGACTTTGCATACATTTACAAGTTCTGAGGTTTTTTCCACTTTGGAGGTGTCACTGTAACGAGAAAAACCACCGTTGTTGTAGCTGCTGTAAATGAGGCAATCCAGGCCAGATTTTCACCTGCAGTACTACAGAAGCACACGTGTAAAAGTATGACACTCTTTTTCCATTTCTGTTTCTGGTGAGGAAACGGCAGCTGACTGATAACTCTGGCCCATCTTGTGAACTTTTGCACAGATTTGTTAGTGTTACCCATTTTGCCTTCCAACAGCAAGGGGATTATATGTCATTTTATTGTAACATCAGTCTGAAAAAGTTCCTCTCCTACTGATGCACTGTTGTTTTTTCTCTTTCTCCCCCCACCCTGTATCTCTCCAATTTTTACATGAAGCTTTCTCTCAAGCTGGTAAGCACATTTACAGCATGCCTGTCCTGTGTTTTAATCACAATTTTCTGTGTGTGTTTTAATGTGCACTGTGCCACATATGACATGACACTGAAATTAACTGTTAAATTTGTTTCTTCTTTGTGTTTGCTTTTTTTGATATTTATCAGATAACTCTGAATACACAGGTCTGGAGTCTAATAGAGGTGATCAGAATTCAGTCTTTCTAATAAGCTGCTAAAAAATTAACTCTAATATATAGTTTAGTTTTCACTTTTATAATCTAGGGCTATGAAAATGTAGAAAAACAGTATTAAGCAATTCTGCTACTGTATAAGTATACATTAAAACATTTAAAAAAAAAAAATAAAGGTCTCTGTGCTCGCTAGACCTTTTCCGGAGAGAAATGCATGTCTTTTTGTGTAACATAGCTGCCAAGTTTGCTTTCCATGTCCAGGTATTACTGGAAAACTGCATCATTATCACCTACATTTTACAGCCCTATGTAGTCCTTCAGAATAACTAATAATGATATTAATTAAAGTTCTGTAAACCTTAACCAGTAAGGTTAACTCAGTCTGATTTGAATTTGCAAATGGAGAGATATACATATATATGAACCCTAAATTCTATCTTGGATGCAGCTGGGAAGGTTTCTTGAAGTACGGTAAGAAAATTATTACTGAGTTGGGAAGGGTTGAACATATTTGGGAAAGCAAATTGTGTGCTGAACTTCATACACAAGATACTGTATTGCGTGAGATACTCCACACCTTGGTATGTTCCTGACTGCTTGCCTGCATTCCTTCGCCCTTTGAGAGTCCAGTCACAAGCAGAATGCGGCTGGTTTGCTGACCCACCCCACGCCAGCATGCAAGAGCTGCAAACGACTGATTGCAGTTTTGAGAGCTGCAGTAGCGCCTTAGCTGTATTAGCTTGAAGGTTTTTTGGTTCCTCACCACTTAGGGCCTTTAGGTGCTCTTTCCCCTACACATATATTGTTCTTGGGTACGTCATTGTGAACCTGTTCTGTTCATAGCAGCTTATTCAGAGGGAATGTGATGGCCAGGAGAGCTACCCAGTGTAGCTCTGGAGGTTTCGGGTCCTGCTGCTGCTCTGTTAACAGAGTGACTTGCTCAGGCTCCATTAGCAATATTGCTTCTCACTGAAGACCCATGGTAGCTCAGAGGGATGATCAAAGTGCCTAGCTTACTGGCAAACCTCATTCTTTTCACTGTTGCCAAGCCACTGTCCTGGTAGTGCAACGCATTTATCCCAGAGATTTCCATTTGTTGTTTTCCTGGTCGCAGTGCTTAGTGTGTCATGTAGCTGAGCTAAGCCTTGTAGGAATAAATCCTCCCAAACCAAATGGTTGACCTGGCCTTTCCCTGAGAATTGCATGAATCAGAAAGATGTACAGAGAGGGCTGAGACCCATGTGCACCTCAGGTGGAGGAAATCAGCTTGTTTGTAATTTCCTCTTGTCCTAGCTGTACTAGAGCCAGAATGGGCTGATAAACCTCGTGCTCTCCCCATATGTAGCTTCAGCCCAGTGACTGGTCCTAACACGGCCTCTTTTTTCACAGTCCTTCATCTTGGATAATTTGCATCCTAAATCCCAGTATCTTTATGCAAGGAAAACTAGTGAGTACTGGCTCCACTGGTCCTGTGATAGCACATCAAAAATAGGACAGATTTCCCCCCCCACCTCACTATTGAAGCATTTCGAAAAATGTAGGCAGTGTTCACTACTTGAGAGATAGCCTAGGTGGTTTTTTGCTTGAGAGCATGAAAAGAGCCCAGCATGTGCAAGACTTACTCCTTGACTCTTCTGTTTGGAGGAGGAACTGTAGCTTCTGTTATGATGGGAAATGGAGCATGGTCTAAAGCCTGAGTGAGATCACCTCCTAGTCTCAGGCATGCATTTCTATGCAACACTAATGCTTTGGTCTGAAGCATTGTGAACAAAGATACTGAATTTACTCCAGCCCAGAGCTTTTGAATGAAGATGTATTTAATACATTTTTTTTTTAAGATACTTAGAATTATGTGTATATATATAAAATTTTATTTTTAAGATATTTAAGCTATTTTTGCTTTTTAAAAATATATATGGCTTTAGTGTGTAGATTATCCATAAAATATATTGAATCACTCTCATGTCTAATGTGATGTGGAAGTTACTATCGAGCAAAGTATTATCATTAAAGAATGAATTAACATATCTCTCCTGTACCATGCACAAGTAACGTAAGCATTGCTAGGACTTCATGTGGTTGAAGTTTCAGAATCAGTGTAACCTAGTTCATTTGTCTTAAATTTGCTTTCTCGTTGTCTCCTAAAATGGAATTTTAAGTGTATTATTACACAGGTGATCAGGGCTTAACTAGATGCATATGCCGTCTCTTACTGACAGTCAACGTGGCAGCAATTTCATCAGGTTTGCCTGTTCTGTTACTTTGCAGTGGCTTGTCCAGAGGAGAAGGTGACCTGCCTGTAGTTGTCCTCCATCCCTCTGACCCCCCCACACTTTCTTTCTAAACAGCTGCTTCTGCAGTTGCAGAAGAGCGAGCCCAGTCTCAGAGCACGTTCAGTTCAGAGTTGAAAGGGTCTAACGGGCAGCTTTTGTGGCACTGTCCACTAAATCACACTCCTGAGGGAGAGATTTGGCATTTTAGTAAGACTAATGTCGCAACTCTGTTCACAAGCTTTAAGTAAGCTGACAGGCCGTTGAATTTGGTTACTCAGTTTTGTGGTTTTTACCCTTCTTTCTCCCAGACCCTGATATTCCCCTTTAGAAATGGATGTGGAGTGAGCAGAAACCAAAACAAGAAAAACCTATACAAATTCAAGAATCATGTACAAGAACCTCATTGCTTTATGGTGCAGCTAATTAGTATTGATGTGTATTCATTCAGTATAGCCTACCCAAACTGTCCCCCTTGCCTTCTTGCAAGACAAAAATAGGTGGTACTTTGAAGAAAATAGTATGGATGTGTTTTGTGTGTCATCTATCTGCTGTATCAAATTGAGGCAATCGAGAAGAGGCATAGCAGTTTGAAGGCAGAAAAGGGGCTTTCGAGCAGAATCACACAAAGGTAACCACTGTGGTCTTCAAATGTTTTCTTCGGTTATGATTTCAAATTGATTGATTCTATGCCTTTGATATAACTGCTGATTTTTATGCTAGTACAAGGGAGAGCTAAAATTGAGACACTTTGACATGGAATGTGGATCCTGGAAAGCATGCAGCATGTTTTTAAACTGCAGAATCCCAGAGGAAGCACTTCTCTTAACTTAGTGTGTTCAGAAGAGCTCTGACATAAATTAACTGTGTCGGACCAACACTCAGACTGTGCCGAGCAAGCCAGCAGTTAGTAGAGTACATGAGAAGTGCGGCTGTGACGCAGGAGTAAAGGATAGCAACTGCTTTTATGGGGATGCTGTCTGTAGTGAGAGTAGGAGGAGGCAGGAAAGATCATCTTCCCATGAGAATGGAACTCTGTTAAATAAAAACTGATGATAACTATGGATAAAAACAGTTTCTCAGGTTTGCCGTTGAATTTTGGCATTCTTTAGTTGGTGATGTCCCATTAGCCGTTTGGTGCAGAAGTGGGATGCGGTCCTGGGATCATTTCTAAGGCATCCAGATTTCTAACCATTCAGGGACTGATAACTCTCAGTACAAATGGTAACAGTGCTTCAGACCATTGTGATTTTGCACAGATTTTTGTGAGCTGTTTTCACAAATGCAATCCTGAAGGATTCTTCCAGGCTCTGATTTTATTTTTTATTTTATTTTATTTTCCCCCTTCAATCTACTCTGTGCAGGGAGCAGGCCCAGAAGACTTCAGCAATCTCCCACCTGAGCAGAGAAGAAAGAAACTTCAGCAAAAAGTCGATGAACTAAACAAAGACATTCAGAAGGAGATGGATCAAAGGTATGTCAAACCTCTCCAATGAAAAGTGCAATAGGTAGTCTCATATAGAAGAGAAACAACTAAAATAGAAGAAAGAGCAAGGTTCTAGGTGTGTTCAAAGTGCTGTTCCGAGAAAAGAACAACCAGAGTTTACATATGGCTAAAACCACCTGAGAAATGCGAGGTTCTCCAGCTCAGAATCTGAAATCAGTTATTTAATTGAGGCTGATGTAGGTCAGAGCTGGGGCAAAAGCTGGCTTTCTGTTTATTCCATTCTCCCACCTCAGTGTAATGCATATCCTGCCTTTGGAATCGTGAGAAGATCCTAGCATAAGGATGGGAGCAATACAAGTGCAGCAATTGCAGACAGTTTTCCTTCTTTCTGGAGCTGCTTTCTTGGGCTTTCACGGGAGAGCAGCGGTTTAATCATGAGCCAGACAAGCATTACTGTTGGATACACTACGTTTGTTTCTTGATGTGAGCTGTTCCTGAGGGTGTTTTTTAGGAAAGAGCAGGATGTAAATACAGCCTCAGTACGATCATAGACCTCTCGGCACTAAGCAGAGTGTTACTGTAGGATGGGCGTGGGTGTAGATCCCAACAAGAGAGGCTATTATGAGCATAACAGCATTGTCAAAAGTGCTGATTGATTGGTGTGTATCTTAAGACTCTGATCTGTAGCTCATGTTTCCTGGAAGCAGAAAGATAATGACTCCTGTGCTTTTGTAGATGTTTTTTTCTGTGAGGCTGCATTTATCATTCTGGTTGAATATAAGGCTATTTTAGTTACACACTTTTTATTAATTCGGGTGGCCTGTATTTGTTGCTTTGTTTGTTCACATTCTGCAGCTGCATTAAAGATTCAGCATGTTATGTTTGCAAGAGACAGAACTTTTCCCTGAATGATTTTGAGACTTATCCTCTCTGTTACTAGTCTATCCCTAAATACTAGTTTGCATCTGTACAGATGTGCCTACATTATCTGTTAGCTTGCTCTGAAAAACCTGTTTATTTTGTGTAGTAACCTAAACTTTCTTCTTCATGTTTTATTATATAAGAAAACTGCGTGCAGTTATATGATTTATCATTGCTTTGTTTTTTCCTTTATGGCAACTTACATTTGCTTCTGTACAGATTTTCCTTTCTGCTCTGAATCGATTCTGAGGTAACCCAACATTAAAATCTAATGTGAAATCAGAGCAGAATGAAGTTATTTTAAATAAAAATAGTATCTGATTGAGTAAGTAGCACCAGCAGTTAAATAAGAGTTAAAAAAAAATAGTAATAATCTTGACTCATGTGTTTGCAATATTGTCCCTTAAGGCTTCAACCACAGAGCAGTCCCACTTCCTTGCCACCCACACTTTTTCCCATTTTCTATACACACAAAGCGAAGGCAGGCACAGGATTGCAATTGTCAAGAGTTTGGTGGGAAACTCTAAAATATAAAGAGCGTTAACTTGAGTCGTGGGACTCACATTAACCTTTCTCCCCCCAACTAATGCCTAGAGAAAAACTGAATAGCTGTGCCGGTAATACAGGAAATTGGCTCGTCAGTCCACCCTTCTCTAAGCTCTGAAATGTTCATCACCATGCACGTAACTTTTTCTGAAGTTCAGCCTCAGCTTGGCTTAAGTCAAAGGCAGCACACTGCTGTCAGTGAGAGCTCTGCTGGCTTTCCTAAGGGAGCTTGTGAAGGCATCTACTACGTTAATCTTGGCCTTGTGGTACCACATTCATCATAGCAGGCCTTAAAATTAACATCTCTGAAACCCGAGGCATTTGGCATCTGGACCGATAGGAAACACAGCCCCCAGAAAGAGTCTAGTGAAAATGCTGTATAACTTAACAGGATGCAGGGTCACATTATGTGGCCTGAGGTCCATCTGTCCCTGCGCTGTGACAAATGCAAACCATCTGGATTTAGTTTCATTTTAAGCAGTGTGAAATAAGTATCTTACAAATTATTTGGGTTGCAAAAGACAAACTGCAAGAGGCAGGGTGAGAATTTCTGGTTAGCACTCCATTTTTATTACTAATACATCCACATCCAGCTCTTTGTCCCAGTTTCTCAACTGGATTTCAGCCCATGATGGATAATAATGATGCAACTGTCTGTGCCTCAAAAACTGGGATGATACTCATCTAGAAGGCTGAAGCTGTCATTTGTTGTAATGGTTGCGAGATTAATTTTTCCCCCCCCCAGTGTTAGTAACTAGATACTGTAGTACTAAATAAAAGTACATGTCAGGCTAAAAGTCAATACCAAATTCCTTCTTTTGCCTTGCAGAAGGCCATTATCCAAGAATTCAGTTGTTTTTCTGCGAGGATTCTTCAAGCAGGGCACATGGAGCTCGAATCATTTGGTCTAAATATGTTGTGTGCTTGTACCAACACAGCACATCTCCTGTGTAGCCTGACCCCGCCAGCCTCGCTCACGTGAAGAGCCCTCAGCTGCCTGTGGGGCGAGGAGCTCCTTTTAGTGTAGGAGTTTAAGGAGTTTGGCTTGTGTGCAATGTCTCTGTCGTGTCATGTTGTAGGTAAAGGCATCACTCAGTTTTTTCCATCTCTGACAGCGTAAATTCTCTTCTGGCAAGTGATTTTACTGTTGTTTTTTTTAATGGCTGGTTCTGTACAGGGTGAAAGCCCCTGTCTGGATGTTCTCAGTTGCCTTTATAACACGTTACACTTGAATGACAGAGTAAAGAAGAGGCAGTTTGTTATCCTTTTGTTTGCCCCCAGCCACACTAACACATGTTTTATTTTTCCTCTGGCTCTCAGAGATGCCTTAACGAAAATGAAAGATGTGTATATCAAGAACCCACAGATGGGAGATGCAGCGAGTGTGGACCACAGATTAGCAGAACTTGGACAGAACATTGAAAAGTTACGACTAGAAGTTCAGAAGTTTGAGGTATGGGAAGAGACATTTCAGTAAAAAGTAACTCAGCGTGTGCTCAGTTCTAAGCAGATACTTCATTGCTTTTCCAGATGTATTGATGCATTTGCTTACTATGTATGGATATGTTCTTAAGTACTTGCATTAATTGATATCTTTGAGCCTATTTGTGTAATATAAATGCACACAATTTCTTGTGACTGTCAGCCAACAGTCCTGCTGTTTCATTGATGGCAGAAAAGGAAATGTGCCAAGTGGAGGATAAGAGAAAATGTAGTGCTCTCTGGACCCCCAGAGGGGTTTCAGGTGCTGCTTTAATTAAGTAAATAATTTGAAGCATCATGTTAGATGTCTGTGGAAAATCAGAGGGACATAAATGTAAAGCACCGTTTATAGTCTCACACCAAGACAGAAGCCATCAGATGAAGTATGTTTCAAGGAATAGTCTGCCATTAGCAGGAAGCTTCTTAGAGATACAAAATCTCAAGAGCATAAGGGGTAGTTGGAATATATGAAGCCATTATAATTACACACAAAGGATTAGAGGGCTGAGAAAAGACTTCACTCTGTAGATTATGGTATGTACATCAACAGACACATCCTGTTAATTGTAGATGTTCCTTACAGTTGTTGGCTTTACTATCCATTGCCTTCTTATCCATTTGAAAATCACTGGTTCTTTCATTCTCCCTAGCCTTAGTCCTCTTGCACTCAGCAGTCACTGAGATTGCTGTGTTTCTGGTGTTATTGAGACTACTATAAGCGGACACACATCTTTTTACTTTTGTAACTAGAGCAGCAGCAGCATTTCCCAACAGCTGTTGTTAACTGCTTCTCTTGGGTCACAGTGTTTGCAGTGTCAAAAAATAGAGTTTTCAGTAAGTGTGTTTTTTGGCAAGATTGATAGATTTAATATACACTTAAAGGACAGAGTCTATCCCCCCTGACAACTGCAACCCAAAGGGAAAACTTAAATATGCTTGCAAACTGGTTTTAGTTCCACTATGTCGGATATGACACAGCAAGGTAAAAGCAACATCTGTCCCCTTGCACGTCGAGGCCCGAGAGATGTGTCAGTGCTTTCCCTTGCAGGGCTGGCTGGCAGAGGTGGAGGGCCGGTTGCCCACGCGGACGGAGCAGGCCCGGCGGCAGAGCGGGCTCTATGAAGCCCAGAACCCTTCAGCAGTGAACAGCTGTGCGCAGGACCGGGAGAGGTACCGTATCTGTACAGAGCTGTCCTCTTCACAGTGGGAGCTGGACCCGCTCTCCTCAGCTGGGTACCTGGGGCAGCTGTAGCTCTGCAGCGTTCGGAAGCTTTCCCCGTAACCGGACTGAAGGCAGGGGCTCTGTGGAGCGCCTGATTTTAGCATATAGAAGATCCCAGCTTTGAGCTGCTTTTGGGAACGCGATGGAACGTGTAGTAGCCCCTGCGCTCACTGCTGTGAGCGTGAGTGAGGTAGGGGCAGTCTCTACAGCTTTTGATGGGAAAAATAACTGGTCCTGCCCACCACGTTGTGACAGCTGCTACTGGTGTACCAGCCGGTCCTGAGCAGGCTTTGGCATTGCTGAGCTGCCCCATCTACAGCTGCTCACCTTGCCTGAAGTGTCTGGTAACCAAATCACTCTCTTTGCTCTGGAGACTGGTTGCTATAGTTGCTCTGTATTTTCCTCTCTTGAGCAGCCCAGATGGCAGTTACACAGAAGAGCAAAGTCAGGAGACTGAGATGAAAGTACCTGCAACGGATTTTGATGATGAATTTGATGATGAAGAACCACTACCCACCATAGGAACATGTAAAGCGCTCTATACATTTGAAGGTATCACTCAAACTTTACTCTCTTTTCACTTACTGTTTCATTCAGTTCATATTCCACAGGGAAACTTTCATTTAACCCCTGCAGTGCTTAAATAGACAAAGAAAAGGGCACGTGAGGTTCTGCCATGATTCTGTTCCATAGAGAGGAACTAAGACAGTAATTTGTCTCCTCTTACACAGGGACCCTGCAAGAAAAAGAACCAAAACTCTGGTGCTCAGATCACATTCACCTGGTTCTTTGTGTACACGCTGTTGTCTCCAGAATCACGTGCTCTTGTTCTTGCTGCTGAGGATGCCACAAAGGTTGTGGAGTTTGCCCTGAGCAGCCCACAGTGCATGTGTGGTTCCCATTGTGCAGCACAGCCTAAACTCTGTGTTACTGTGTCTTTCAGGTCAGAATGAAGGAACAATTTCTGTAGCAGAAGGAGAAATGCTCTATGTAATAGAAGAAGACAAAGGCGATGGGTGGACACGAATCCGAAGGAATGAAGATGAGGAGGGCTATGTCCCTACGTCGTATGTTGAAGTCTATTTGGACAAAAATGCCAAAGGTGCTATGACTTATATTTAATACTATTATTATTACTTTATTTGCTTTCACAGAGATACCCAACCCTGAAACTGCTCTGTGTTGCAGATAGAGCCTTTTAAAAGTCTGCGCAATGCCACGAAGTGCATTGTTTCGTATCTGGACTAATATGGCTTGCTGTACTGCAAAACGTGCTTTTTATTGATCAGAGGAGGGTAGTGTGGTAGACTGTAACACCAGAGGGGGAATGCAGCCTCTCCTAGGCAGTGCTTGTTCAGCTGTCACTGCCGTTGCACGCCCGGCTTAGCGCAGGAAGCACAGAGCCATTTGGGATGATATGGGCTCTCCTCGGATGTCCAGGTGGCGTCACAGACACGCTCACAAACCAGCAGTTTGTCCCAGACTGGGTCAGGGGGATGTTACGTAGGAAGTATTGAAGCTGCTGGTTTGTGTCGCAGTGTGGTAGCTTTTCAGAGCCTAACGTGTTCTATGGACCTTTTGATTGAAACCCGGTTGTCACTCAGTGTGTTTGGAAGATGAAAGAGAGATCTTGCCAAAACCTGCCTACACAGCACCCTCTGCTCCCTGGTAAATCAGCAGAACACTGGCATCAAGAAAGATCGTCTATTCTTTCCTACCTTGATACATTCCAGAAAATGGCTTTTTGGGTGTATTTGCTGTTTCAGATGACCATAACTAATGGTTTAATCTTACACTCACACACGATCAGTGGAGACATTCAGAGTTTAGACTCCACAATCTTCTGTTTCTTCGGTGCTTTTTAACCCCTCACAAATCGGTGTATCGTGTAAGCAGGCAGTGCTAGAGGGGGATCCTGGCTAGGGTGTATGCGGGCACCAGGAACACCTGGTAATCACTGAGAAATCAAAACATTTTAGTCCTGTTTCAAATCAGGATGTGTTTGAAGTCCACTGTTAAATAATTTGTGTTTTTTCAGTCACACAATCCTTCAGATTATTGTTGTGTCTCCTAGGTGTTAAAGCCGCCTCATCCAATTCAAAAGAAAACTGAACCATTCTCATTGGGATTTATGAACAGTAGGAAGAGAGGAGTAGGACTGTCTCTGTAAAGAAACACTATAACTTGATCTGTTCACTGGTTTGGATTCAGTATTAAACAGTGCAGTGCCTTGTCTGCTGCAGACAGAAGTCTGGGGTCTTGTTTTATTTTGCTACAGTACAGTAGTTTTATGTTTGTGTTGGCAAATACAGGGTCAGTTGAGATACAAAAGAGTGCAAAACTGTCAGTTTTCATTAACTCTTGGAAGAGGAGCGTGGCTTGTACATTCTCCTTCAACCTCAGAACCAGGCAGAAAGCAGAGAATGGGAGATCCCATCCCTTATCCCCGGGTTCTCTCCTATGGAGATTGGCTGCTTTGGGTGTGCCAGTAGCTGGAAGCAACGTTATTGCTCTGCTGGAAAATGTGTTGTTCAGCAGTGCAGGCTGCTTGAAACGGCTAAGTTAGTGTGGCATGGGAGTCTGTCTGAAGTAACAAGCACAGCTGCCCTGCCCTCAGGTATGCAGCCTGGTTCGGGTCAGCGGGGCGTTACAGCCATCCCCCATGTACCAGCAGAGGTTGGGTGGGGAGAGAAGCAAAGTGGATCTCTGGGTGGGGTGAGAAACCCTGACACAGTCCTGCTGTCTGATGTAGCAAACTTTAACTTACCCTTCTGGAGAGACTACTGCAGGAGTATTGCAGTACCAGCCAGAAAATAGTATCAGTGTGTTAATGGTATTATGTAAGTTATAGGCTGATGCTGAATGATCCTAAAAATGCAGTCTGTGCTGGGAGTGAGGGCTGATACAGTTGCAGCCACTTCTGTAGCAACGAAGGAGGTTTTTCAGATCATTTAAGTTTGACATTAATTTTGCTGGACTTCAGGAACAAAATTAAATGTATCTGTGAATATTTAATGTAAAGGAACTGTAATATTTACCTCCGATTTCTCAATTCTCTAATTAAAAGGAAAAGCTAAAACAACTGTCCATAAAACGTCACAGTAGCAGTATAAAGATTTGAGGGAACCACTACTGTGTTTAAAAGACAAGCTTTGTTACAAGCTGCAGCTTTCTCATTTGATTTTTAATGTATTAGTAGAAGTGACTTCAGTCCTTGAAACGGAAGCTATAGCATTCCTGAAAATGACACTGTCGATATTAAAGCATTTACAAACTTTAGCAGTTCTTTCCTCTTTCTGGGAAGAAGCTTGAGCAGCTGGTAGCTGTGGAGGTCAGTTGTGTGGGGGCTGGGAGCGTTCACACCAGCTCTGAGGGCACCTGCGGGTTCTGGCCCGGGCGTTACCTGCCTGGCCACGCTGTGCCGGGCTCGGAGCCGGCGGCAGCTCTGCCTCAGAAATGCAACTGCGAAATGCTTTGGGAAGAGCCGCTGGGCAGCTGGCGAGCTGTTCGCAGTCGGCTGAAGCCCCTGGTGACAGGGCTCTGGTGCCGACCCTGGGAGGAGCAGGGGCAGGTAAGTCGAGTGCTGCAGCCGCCCTCCTGGTCACCGTTCTCAGGGGAGCCGAGCTGGGTCGGTGCACACACCTGCGAGAGGGCTCTTCCGAAAGTTCGCAGTGGTGCCTCCGGTCAGAGGGTGTTTGCAAACCCCGTCACGGAAAAGAACAATAACGTCTATCTTGTTTTGCCTTTTTTTTTTTTTTTTTTTTTTTCCAGATGTTTACAAATCACTTCAGAAAATCTCTGGGTAGGTTTGCATAGGCCTGTTCACCTTTTATCCTACCGGTTTGCTGCTACGGTTGTTTTAGGAGCTCTATTTCAGAAGGTTTTCTTTAGAAGAGATGAATGCACATGTCGTATCTCCAGCAATGAAAGACTCTGTTAGGTACCGTTCACTCAGCTGATGCATGTATAAGTTCGCCTCTTGAAATTTAACTGTGCATCACTGCCACCAAGAGTGCTGGCCCGACTGTATCAGTTTAGTCATAAACAGCATTATTGTCCATCTTAATAGAAATGAGAGCCACACAGTTCACTCTCTTTGTGATGCATGCAGGAAAGGATTATAAATGCTAAAAAACTCCCATGCGGACTAAGAATTGGACCTGTTGGATGTAACTTCATGTTTTGGGGCTTACGCCAACTGCTGAGGGAGGAGGACGAAAACTCTCTGCACACGTGGGTGCAACTTCTCGCAGGGCTTTTCTGCACCTGCCAGGTGTCTGGTGCTGACAACTGCCGAATGCAGACACTCGCTGGGCCTTTTTGCTCAAGCCTGGCCATACTGTGTTACTGACTGTCATACCTCCTGATCTGCTTGGGGACAAGCCATGTCGTGAAATAGTGCGATACACACAAGAACTTGCATGAAGTAACCAGCCTTATAGAAACTCTTCCTTGCACCCCAAAAAAATGCCATGTTTGCTTCCGCCAGAAAAGACTGGCTGTTTGGGTGACACGCAAGTAATAGAGGCTGTTTTGTGAAGTTAAACTTCTTGATAAAAAAAAAAAAATTTCGGAGCCATGGACTGATGCAGCCCCTTTACCGCTGTGGGTCTGCTCCTCCTCACCTTCGATTATACAAATAAATGCTTATAGACAGCTCTGTGATTCTCAGTGGTGCAGCTCTGCTGTTTGTTTGCTGTAACCATTACGCAGAGCCTTGACTTATAGAAATAAATAGGTAAAAGTTAACCATGCTGATGCACTTTTTATCTAGGATATATCTGATTATTTAATGCTTGCCAAATTATTTAGGAAACAGTAATTATAAACGGGACTGTGGCTTTTTTAAAATCCTTTTGTTAAATACTTGCCCTTAGTTCTCCCAGTATATAAAAAAATTGTATATAACATAACTTAAAAACTAAAGTTACTTGAAATTGAATTGTTTTTATCTTTTTGTATATGTATAAATATAAATGGGTTTGTAGGCTGTTCTGCTTAACCTAGCTGTTGTTTTCGTAACTATTCAGTCCCTCTTATGTTGATAAGTGGTTTTGGTTACTCAGCTGCCTGTGTCTGGTTGGACTTGCATAGAAACGTTTGTGTTAAGGTTTGTTAAATCTGGCCAGTGTGGTGGTTTCATTTCTATTCTTGCTTTTTCGAGAATCATCCTCCGCCTCTTTATAGCTTGATGTACCATGGTGTCATCTTCTAATAAACATTATATTTTTCTCATTTCTGTGAGGTTTTTTTATTTTAATGGCAGTCCATTTAAGTTTCACTTTACTAAGGGAAAGGAAATGACCCAGAGGTGCCTCTCACCTGCCTCCCACACTTAGCACAAATGCAATTCCTTTTCAGGAAAAATACTTTGTTGTGGCTCTGTGACAACCTTTTCATGCTGTCATTTGGAATTTTTCCTTTTATGGAAGTGGGTGCAAAGGCGTTCGGGAGGGTTCCCCCCGCTCTTGAATGCGCGGGAAGTTTGGACTCATCCCGTATCCCCTGGGATACAGCAGCCCCTCTGGCCCTCACACCTCTGGATTGTAGCTTCCCTTGGCTGCAGAGGAAACTTTCCCTCAGCCAGAAGCCTGTGGGTGCAGGAATGTGACACAGGATGGGTTTAGGGGCTGAGACTGCTTTCGCTTACCTGGACTTCCCTGAAGCTCGAAAGGCCTTTGCAGCCTGTTCGGGAAGGGGTGGCTAGCGTGGGTTCATCTGCAAAACTCTGTGTGTTACCTTCCTCTTGTTGTTCTTGGTTATCACTCACGGTCTCTGGAGCCGTCACTTGAACAGATGATACGGTTCTGCTTTGCAGATTGAAAATTTAAAAGCCATTTGTGTTCTCTGTTGCACTGAGAAAGTGCTGGCAGGGTCCTGCTCCAGGGCAGAGTCCCAGGGCTGCTCATCCCCAGGCTGGAGGGAAGGGCTGGGGGTGTAGGATCGCTGTTCCAGTGCTGCCGTGTGTGCCTGACCCCGGGAGCTTTCCGTGAGCCCTTACAGCCTGCTAGATGCTTGGATGCTGTGTTTCCTTTAACCTCCTGCAGGCAGTGCTACTCTTAGGGATTCTGTTTTCCCCAGCCTCTTTCTAATCCAGTCTCTTTCTTTTTGTCTTTCTTATGTTTTAGATTCCTAAAGGTGTTTGTGCTGGTGCAAGAACCTCGGGGCGAGCTTGTCACAGAAGGAGAAACAAAATGGTCTGTTTACCCTGCAGGCAGATAAAACACACCCGTGGAAAGCCAGACTCCCGGTCTTGTCTGGAGTTCCCACTTGAAAAATTCACACCTAAATTCCATCCCAGTACCATTCAGATGCTTGCTCTTTTTCACGGCATGCTACTTGTGGCTCAGATTAACTTATCAGCCTTCCCCACTCTTCTGCCAGCTTGGCACATCACCAACACTTCCCCCCCTACCCGGTTCCTCCCAACACTGGTCAGAGAACTGCTGGCTGCCCCTTGATGCAGAGGGTAACCAGAGGGTCCCACGCATGTGCTGGTCTGTCTTCTGCCCTCCCTCGTCCCTCAGCCCATCTGAATGCAGGCACTAGCCCATCAGCATTTCACACGGTGCCTTTAGTGCTAATCCTGCAGGAAGCCTCATCGAGCGGCCTGGCAGGGGGGTGCGTACTCCTGGAAAGCCTCCCCTGGGAACGGCGTGACAGCAGCTGGACTGGGCTCTGAATTTGCAGATACTAGATTTGATCCACATGCATTAGTTAATATTCTGCTTTCCCCAAAAGGTCACTAATACTTGTCAGCCCTTATTTTTTTTTTTTAAATTTAGGCTGATGCTCATTCCAACTATTAAATCCCTCTGACCTTGCTGTTTCCTGAAAGCCTCCACGCTCACGTATGTACGCTTGCTTTCCTGCTCGCTCTCTCTGACCCCTCCTCTTTATCCCCCCCCCTCTTTCTCACGCACACACACAGACACACACAGACAGACACTGGCCTTTTGGTTTGAAGCCCCGTTTTGCTCGTCACAAGGACCTCCGTTTTGCTCTCGTTTCAGTCTGCATGCTCGCCCTGTTGCCTTGCCTGCGCCCACCTTCCCGCGGGCCACGTTATTTTGTGGCTCCTTGTTGTTAATCTCTTTGCAGTTTTCTTTTGTTGGTTTGGTTTTCAGCATTTCAGACCTGCCTTCTCCTTTTGCATGACCTCTTGTGCGTTCTTATCAGTTAATGTTTGAATAACAGCATTTTTTTAGAAAAATAAAAGAGAAAAGGAAAAAAGAAACCGCACTCTATTTCGTTCTCCCACCTTGTTATGGACTGGACCTGGACCCAGAAGCCAGACAGGAATTGTGACCATCCTGTTCTCACGTGGTTTTATTTGAAGCAGAAGTAGCACGATAAGTGATGCTGCACTTTATCATGTCATGCAGCGGAGAGAGAGCTGTAACGTCTCCAAATATCACATGATCTGGACCTCAAGTGCTTTCTAGACTTCTACAATAGAACTTCTGGTTTCCCTTGAATTTTTACCATTGCTAGGATCTTACAGTCCTTCCCGTGCACATTTGAGCCCCGTAGAGTCAGTTGCTACTCAGTAGCTCCTGAGGGCCTAATTTATTCATAGAGCAACACGCCATTCGGGGGAATCTACTTGCTCTTGCTGAACTTCAGCGTGTTTTGTCAAATCCCCAGAATTTGAGAAGACCCCTCCGGAAGCTGCTGCCGGCAGTGACCCTAAAACGAAACCTCTGGGGTTTAGGTTGCAGCCAAAGGCGCGCGCCCTTGTGCTGCCTGCGGCGCTGCCGTGCCGGCTCAGCGCGTGGAAGCGCGTCCAGGAGTCGTGTGCTCTCCCTGTGGGGGACCGCCGGCAGCGGCCCCGCTCAGGATGAAGTGATTTTTTTTTCCAGTCGGGTTCCGTGTGGTGTTCATAACTCCAGCCCTTTCTCTCCAGTCAGGATGCCGACTTTTCTTTTTAACAGCACCAAGTCGCTCGGTCCTGCCGCTAGTACTGTAGCTGTTGTATTCCGGTGCTTCGTATCGGCCAAGCAGCAACCAGCAAAAGGTTGTGGGTTTTTAATTCCCATTCACGTGGCTCGGGAGCCTGCACTGAGCAGCAGGCGATTCCGACGCTGGGGCTGTTCGGCGGCCGGGGGGGGGGGGGGGGGTCACAGTCGATTAAATCACCGTCCCTGTCATTGCTGCTGCTGCTGCCGTCACTGACCCGGTCGGAGCCGCGAGCCTCCGGCAGCAGAACGTGACCCGCAGGGTTGGCACCTGCGGAGGCTTCGCCTCCATCTGTCGGGGCACCCCAGTGGTTAAGCAGTTACCGGGCGTGCGAAAGTATCTCTACAATATTTTTAGCTGCGGTATTTTTATTCTTGTGTCCAATGCACTGTTGAATGAGCAGCTAGAAGAATTCGTTTTCACCTATTGTTGTGCCATCTGTGTAAAAATTAGATAAAAGTTTGCTTTTATATATTTAATCCAGGTGGACAGTATATTATTGTCAGCCTCTGTGGAACATTTGAACAATTGCAATGTCTGTGTTGCTAAATAGAGCTTTAGAAGGAGCATTAGCTTTAGCTGACTGATTTTCTTCAAAAGTTTTACTAAAAGACCATGTATGGAGTTTTTATAAACTTGGCAATTAGTTCCTGAAAGCCCGAATCTTAAAACTTACTGCAAGAAAAAAAACCAGCGACGGTCACGTGTTGTAGCCTACACGTTTATTCCGCTGCCTTTATTCAGGGCAACGAATGAGTCATTTTTGTAGAATTTACCTTTTGCAAAATCTGAAGAACTAAATATGTGACAGGTTTATAAAAACTCTGCTTGACTTTACTAATCTTGCCCAGAAGCATGGACTGTACAGCCTGCGAAATCCCATTATCCTCAGCAAAAGTCTCTAATGCCCTTTCTTAACACCTGTAAATAGAGAAGAAACATATTTACTGAAAGTTGTGTTTAATGCTGAGTATTTTTCAGAAGTTCATTTAGTTTGATGCATATTGTTCTTTGTTTTTTGTTTCCCTGCCTGAAGTGTCAAAAGACCTAAAAGAAGCCAAATTCTATTTTAACATGATGCTGTTGAGCACTTTTTTATTTGTATATGTGTGTGTATGTGTGTTTGAGCACTGATCTCTAGATTTTGGTGGCATCTCCGTGTTGTGATTTCATTGCCAATGTAAAAGGTTCTGGTGTTGCCCGTTCATTTCTGGAGACAGAATTCAACCAAATAAAGTGCTTCCATTTGAAAGCGAATATTGACCTTGTAACAATGAAAGGAAAGTCATCCACATATTTAAATAAACATTTAATTCCAGAAATACAGTTTCACTGGACCCTTTTGATCATCCAGGGAAGAGGAAGAGTTGGGTTTGTTGCTTCCCTTTCCCAGTGAAAAGGGCAATGCCTCTTTGCTGGGGCTCCTCGGATTCCCTGGGGTGTTCCAGCCACTGCTCCCGGGTGAGCTTTCTGCCTTCCCACAAACATTTCCAGGCGAGAGCAGGAATTTAGCTGTGACTTACTGTTTCAGCCAGATAAAGTTTTATAGCCCAAACCTCCCCATAGCTGCTCTCTGACTCCTCGTTATTCTCCTGGGCTATGGGATGGATTTGGGTCTTGCTGCCAGCTGTAAAATTAACAGCAAATAAGCAGAAACAGCCTGTTCCAGGGGCTGCTCGTGTCTAGCTGCTGCTGCCAATGCAGCGACATTCTTACTCATGGTACTCGGTTTTTTGTTTTGTTTTTTATTTTGTATTACTTCATACTGGAATTCTCAGGTATTTGAAGGGTTCATTTGGCTCTGCCCCTACCTCGGAGTGACTGTCCCGCGTGGCTCGTTCCCATCGGGTCACTTTGAGGCACAATTTTATCAAAATTTTACCTTTCCAGCTGGCACTGAAGAGAAATTGAAGTGGTTGGGGTTTTTTTATTTGCTCATCTGAGGAGGAAGAAAAATGCAGTGTTCTGGTTGGAATTTCTGGTGCACTTGGGAAAGACAGGTGGGTCTTGAATTTTTCCCCCTACAGTAGGAGGCCCCGAGAACTGGAAACTTGGGGAAAACGCTTCCTCCAACAGAGCTGTACCTTGCAATGCCCACAGTGCTTTAACTAGGAGTCTTGGCAGATATTTTTGATGCTGATTATTTATGTATTAAAACTAAACCTGCTGCAAGCTCAGCAAATAATGTATTTGTGCATCACGCGTGAGCAGGTGAGTGTATGGACTACAGTAACGCTGCCCTTCACCGAATAATTGGAAAACCAGATGCATTTCTGCAAGCCTGGGTGAGGTGATTTACAATTCCAATGTCTGGGGTTGGTGAGTGATGAGTTTTGTGTGTGTGTCCAGCCCAGACAGAAACCCTGAGTAGCTTCTGGACGGCTTCCCCCGTCGCTGTTAGTGCAATTCCTTGGATGTAGCTTCAGCCGGGATCTGCAGTTGCAAAGTAGGGGACACCAGGCTGGTAATTTCGTTTGAGGCAGCTCTACAGAGAATTTTTTTTCTGAAGGTCAGGTTGCTGTTTTGTTTAACAGAATTTCAGTTGTTCTTTGCCAGCACTAATTAACATCCCTGTCGATTCAGGACAAATCAGTACTGTTTATGAAACAATCTGCCAATCTTTGCATTTTGGGGAAATAATGAGCAGGAGGGTGTGTTGGTCTGGCTCTAACTTTTGATTTATCTTAAACAATATTAGCATTGCTAACTCTAAACAGAAACGGCACAACCAACCGAGTTGACTGAAGGCTGGAAACTGAACCCAAGCTAAAGTGAGCTTCCCAGACCACGTCAGAGCAGAGGGGATGCTGCGTGCCACGGCCACGCGGGAGGGTGGATGTGCCACCAGCACCAGGGGGGTGCTGAGCCAGGCTGGGGCTGGGGGGGGCCGTGGGTCTCACCAGGGGAAGGGCCCATTCCCCGTCCGTGGGCTGAGATGGGATGCAGCATAAAGGGGGGGGTATGGGGTGGAATAAATCTCTGTATCAGCCCTCAGGTGCAGCCCCAGGACCTGCCAGGGCCTGAGAGGAGTCGGAGAAGAGGAGCAGCAACTGTAAAACTGTAAAATAAAAAAAAGTGTAACCTCCCAGAAGACTGGGGGGAGGGGGCAGATAATCTAAACACTGAGATTTGCTCCATCAGTCCAATGCATGAACAGTTCTCTCCCCTTTCTTGCAATCAGCCAGAGACCCGATAAAATAGGGGGGAAATGAGGTGATTTGCAAACAGAGCAGACGAGTTCAGCCGTGAAGTGTGGGCGAGGGGTCCCTCGGCCCTGTGCTCCCAATCGCCGCGGGAGCCGGGGCGAGGCGGGGCTGCAGCCAGATTTCAACTGAGAGAGAGATGCAGAACTGAGCTTGGAGTGTTTTAACGGCCGGGGGATAACAAAAAGCACAATGATGGTTTTGCCAGAGCAGCACTGGAGCTGTTTGTCTAGACACCGAATAATCCCCTCCCTCGGGGAGGGCGTTCGTTAACGTCTCCTGGAACGTTCCGAGCTGTTCGGCAGTTGCTGAGGTGACGGGTTTGTTTGCAAGATGCAAGTTTTGACGGTTGACTTTGAGTCGCTAAAGAACAAGCTCAACCTTCTTGCTACCCCAGCTCACGCTCTGTTTCTTCAGCTATTTCAGGCCTCAGTCACGGCCCTGGCAGAGATCGGCCCCGGCTGCGCTCAATCACCACCCGGGTTTGGCCGCTCTTGTTAATTCGCAGGGGCAGAGCTGCTCTGGCCACCGTGGTGCCAGGGGAGCGGACGGCACCAGCAAGGACATTTTAGCACCAGACTGACAGAAAAGGCTCCTCTAGGAGAACAGCTCAGTGAAACTTCAGCTACTTCCCTTGCAAGTTACTTTCACAGCAACGCTGGTCGTGACTAGCGCCCGCTTCCAGCCACCGCGGGCTCGATTTCGGCTGAAATTGGGTAAATGAAACCTGAGGAGGAAATCTTTGTGAGCAGAGAGAGGAGCAGGCGCCCTCCTCTGACCGAGCACAGTGTGAGCCGGGGGGCTGGGGCGTGCGAAGCTCAGCTGGCTGCTGCTCAGACCCGATCTGTTACAGGAAGTTTGGACGTCTTAAAAATTTTTAAAATGTTTTTCTTCATTAACACCACGAGCTCCCAGGAATCTGTCAGGCCCTCTCCCCGTGCAGGGCAGGCAGCACTCAGCCCCAGGTTGAATGCACGTGTATTTATTGTAACACATTTTCAGCACAAAGTTTAACACTTAAGCACAGGAGCGTTATTACAATCTGTACAGCAGCCTCGGACCGGCACGGACAACACAGACATGCAGCCCCACGGGCTCTGCAGCAGATTCGAAGGCGGCTGCAGTGGCTAACGAAGACGGCTTAAAACAATGAGACATCCCAACAGTGGCTCATTCCCTGACCTCCCCGCGGGCCTGGCTGGGTATATACAAGCATCCACTGAACAGGGTAGTTAAAATTAACGTGCTGAACCATTTACAGATATTTTTTTTTTAAAGAAGTTGCTGTTTGCAGCAAACGTTTGGTCTTTAAAAAAAATCTGAAGGCCACATTTTTCTTTTCTGTCCTACACCCTTTTCCCCTTTCTATCTGTATGTCAGAGGCGCCTTCCCCTCCCCCGTTCCCTCTTTCCTGGGAGGAGCTGGGGGTCCCAGCCCCGTGTGGAGCCGGGAACCACCACAGCCAGACTCGGGGCTGTGGAGTCGCTCCGGTTCCAGGTTCCAGCACCCTGAGCACCCAGTTTGGTTCCTCAGCCCATGAGGCCACCTCTGCCCTGCTCTGCCTCTATTAAATTACACTCAAACGCTTGCAAGAATTTAACTAGTGCCTTCCTGGCTTGAGGTGAACAAAGAACCTTCAAGAATATCCCTGCTGAGAAAAGTAGTGTTTAGCTTTTTTTTTTGTCTTCATGCCTGTCTCCACTGCCCGCTCGCAGATGTTCCTTGGCTGAGTTAGAGGCAGTAGATTGGGGAGCAATTCATTTCCGTTCATTAAATGAGCCACTGTGTACACTAATGACATCTGTGTTGAGAAGCTGGAATGACCTCGGCACAGGGGTGGGGGCTTGGTTGCAGGAAGCAGCTCGTTCCTAAAAAGCTGCTTCAGGAGCCTGGGACCTGCTCAGCCAGGCCCTGCCCCAGGGTGACCCAGCTGAAAAGGCGGCTCCCACCTCCCCCCCGCACCCGCCGCTCCTTGGGACAGAGGTGGGGATGGCTCCGGGCTTCCAGCAGGGTCGGGAGGAGAAGGGGGTTACCAACTGGGGATCCCGAAGGCTGCAGCAGAACCATCCTGTGTCCCGCTCCGGCGAAGCCCGCCCGGAGCAGCTCGGGGTTGAGGAGCTCGTGTGCCGCCCCGGGAGCCGCCTGACCCCCGGCAAGGCCGCGTCCCACAGCTGCAGAGCTGCCGGGAGCTTTGGCAGGGAGAGTACGGCGGGAAGCCGTGGGGAAGGAGGACTCATCTTCCAGCTTTGTCCTCTGAAAAAGTGCCGAACACATGAGATCAGGTACCAGGGGAAAAAAAAAAAAACAAACAAAAAACAACGTTCTGTGGGACCATGAAGGTGTGGCTTTAGGGGCTAGGGAAGAAAGAAACTGCCTCTTTCAACACTTCTTAGTTGATTGCAACGGAATTTACAAGAATTGGATAAACAGCAAAACTAGGAAGTTGTGACAGCTGTGCACCACCAGCACAAAACCACTGGGAGACTTTGTGGCTTTAGTCAGCTTCAAATAACAGGTTTCTCTAGTTGCAACACTGCCCGCTGGAAACATGACGTTTCATTATCTTTTAGGTATTTGAGTTAAGAAGTGCCAAAAGCAAAACCTGCAAAGGAGCAGAGCGCCTCCTCCGTTCACTGGGGGCAAGCTGGGAGCGCTGGTTCCTTGTAGGCAAACAAAAAGGAGCGGGCTCGGGTCAAGACCTGTCCTAGTGAAGTCTGGCTGCTGCCTCCTGCCCCAGCCTCAGCCCGAGCTGAATTAGAGAGAAGCTGCTTTTCTCCCAGCCTTGCCCAGCACCACCCCTCTGGTCAAAGCCGCATGAAAAGGACGGCGGAGGAAACCTGCCCTCCCCCGAGGTGGTGGTGGGAGCTGCCCACACCTTCCACGACCAGACAACCAAAGGGGTTTGGCTCCTCGGGGTCCCCCCGCCTTCCCTCCCCGCACGGAGGAACCGGTGCCGTACCTTCCCTGCCCCGTCCCGCACAGGTCACACAGCCCGCGTCTCCGCTTCAATCTTCTGCTCCCCGTGTAGGTTTTCCAGTTCTTGGACCTGGGCCACGTTCTGTCTGATAGCAATCTCCGGGCCCCCTCCGTACAGCGTGCTTAAATAAATCCACGTCTCCTCCGAAATCTGCCCGTAATCGGCACCTGAGGAGGACAGCAGCAGCCATGAGCCGGGCGGCCGGCGGAGGGAAGGGCTGGTGTGTCACCACGCGAGGATGTCCTCTCCAACCACCCCCCCCTGCACGGGCCCACGCCCCCGGGGGGAACTGAGGCACGAGCGGACCCTGCAGCTGCGTGGTCGGGAGCCCCCGGCCCCGCTGGCAGCCCGGCAGTGCTCAGCGGTAGCCACGGCGGTGGCCACAGCGGTAGCCACAGGGCTGGAAGCCGCTGGGGCTCCACGGCAGCGTCCCCCCCCCCACTGCTCTGGGGTCGCTTCTTCGTTCCCCCGAGAGGAACGCAGCGGCAAGAGCCGGTGGGAGCAGGGCCTGCCTGTGCCTGACCCCTCGTGCAGAGCAGGGAAGGAGCTCCCAGAGCCCGTCCCAGGCCGACAGGGCTGCACTGCCTGCAAGAGGCCAACCCCCCCCCCAGCTGTCCCAGGAGGGACAAGGGAAGCACAAAGCAGGGAAAAGAACGTGGCCATAAAGGTTGCAGAGGAGGAGAAAAGCACAGAGGGTTGGTTTGAAGGGTAACAGAGGCGCAAATGCAATCTTCATCTGCTCAGCAGGAGAGCCCAGCGAGAACAGCACAAGCCAGGGTATTTCACAAGCTGGACGGCAGCAGATGCTGAGTAAAGAGCAACAGCAGATCAAAGCTCCGAGGCGAGGGGAGCGGTGGGAGGGGCCTGGGGAACAGCAACAGCAGGAGACGGGGGACTTGGAGCAAGTCCCGTCAGCGAGCTGGTCGCAGAGGAGCTGCCGCTGGAGAGCTGAGATGGCTCAACTCAGAGCAGTCAGCAGTGGGTTGTGCAGAGAAATATCACGCTCTGCACCGCCACCCTGCTCTGTGACTGCTTCGCTCTGGCCGGCCAGGTCCAGTGGGACGTTCTCCTTCACCTTTTAGGGGCACCACTAGACAGGAAGCACCAGCCTTACCCTGCTTAACTTGCATGTGGCCACCTGCTTTCGTGAGCGCGATCTTGCTGTTGTCAATTGGTCCGGGAGGCTCTGTAAGAGGAGAACAAATACGTCAGAAAACCATTCTGCTTTCCATGCTGCCACCAGACTCGGCTTATTTCCTGAGCTAGTTCTCCTGTTATTTCTGCCCTGCCCCTGGGGACCTGCTGGCAGCCCGAGGGGCTGGTGTCTGAACCCCGTTCAGCCTCGTCACACCAGCGAGGCGCGGCGCTCGCGGAGGAGCTGCCCCTGGCAAACAGACTCGTTTCCATCCTACCGCTCACCCCCGACAGACTCCAGAGCTCTCTGGATTCTTACCGTTATCCTTGCCCTTGACAAAGGCTTCCCACTCACGGAACCACTGCATGTTGATACAGTAGATGACACTTGGAGACTCCTCTGCCTGGAAAGCCTTGTTCAGCTGGGAGAGCAGAGAACAGAGACATGCAGGAAGGATTTATTCACTCCTGAGATTTGGGGAAGCCCCTTCTGTTAATTGGAAGGCAGCCTTGCCATTCTTCAGGAGAACCCCATGTAATTCTACCACCTTCCTCACAACCTGGTCTTGCTCACCAGAGCAGACAAGAGACCAGGATGGTTTCAAACTCTGTGTCTGCACGTAGCCACGCAGAGCGTTACCGTGCTCAGCTGCCCCTCCCTATGCTGCAGCACTGAGGAACCCCAAGGTCAATCCCCTGGCTGTGCTGTAGATCATGTTCTGGGAAACCGGGGCAGTTTCCCACTGTCTGTGACAGGTCTCCATTTCCCACCTCTGCCCCTTGCTGTCCTTCCCAGATGCTCCCCATACCAACCTTGATGAAGGTGTCGATTTCAATTCTCCTGCGTTTGGCAAGTGCTTCAATCTCCACTTGGCAAATCGAGCACACGTACAGATGGTTCACGGCAGGGCCACCTCCAAACCTGGGCACAGGAAGAGAGGGAGGGGAATGGAGAACTTCAGGGGAATGGAAATGCTCCCCAGCCCTGCATCCCAGAGAGGGACTTTTATACTGCTCCAGACTGGTGAAGGAGGAGCAGCCGCAGGCGGGTGGAGAGGACTGCCTTAACACAGCGAGGGCCACGACACCGCTCTGGGGCAATGCACTGAGAGAGCTCATGCTGGTTTAGATTAGGAGGCTCTACCAAATACCAGTCTTTGCCAGTCCACGCCACGTACTGCAAGTCTTCAAGGTGCCCTGGGAAGGCATTACGTCTTGGTCACTGCCCGAGGTGTGAAACAAAAACCACAACTCAACAGGAGAAAGAATGAAATGGCCATATTCACCTGTTGTAGAGATATTCCCACACATTTTGGGGCAGAATCACAACCAGGTCATCGATGTAATGGTATTTATTAGGAGGGATCCCTGTGGAGGAAAGAGAAGAGGGAAAGTTAACCAGGGAATTCATTATTGCTGGGTAAAAACACAAATAAAAAAAGGCAGATCTTCCTTGCTGAAAGCTCTGATTCCAGAATATGCTTCCTTTGCTAATGGAAGACAGTCAAGAGTTCATTAATGGTGGAGGTTTCTCAATTCATGGCCTCAGTTCTACTCAAGTGCTTCATTTCCAATTGGAGATTTATAAACACGAGGGCTCCCCAGCATGACGGATGAAGAAGCGGAACTGCAGTATCAGCTCCCTTCAGCAGCGTGTGCTCCATTCTCCAAACAAACACTGAAGGCCAACCTTGCTGGTAGGGTAACACAGATAAAGGCTGTCTTATCTGCTTTCTACAGGTTTGTTTTTAAAAACAAATGGAGAACTGAAAACTGTTGTTTCCCAGCACTATACATCCCTCCGGGCCAATGATCAGCAGGACAATGGGGTGACTGTCTCATCTCTCCCTGAGTAGGCTGGAGTTTCTGCCAAAGCAGCGGATCCTACTGCAGCATACGCCGTACCAGGACAGCTGGAGCTTTTTTTCTGCATCTGTTAAGGCACCAGGAAGCACAAAGGGAGAGCTGAGAGTTGCTCTGCCCAGGTCCAGCAGCGCTGCCTTACCTCCATGAGAGCACAGAAAGGTGTGATTGGTGATGGGACCAGGCTCAGCAAAGGTGTTGAATTTATTGAGCCACTCTCGAGAGATGTAGAACTGGAGTAAACTGTGCTCCTTCATGCTGGCAAGGGACACAACTTTCTGACGCTCTCGCACAGCTTCTTCACTGCTTTTCCTTAAGTATGGAAAGGAAGAGAAAATTAAGCAATTTCTGAAAACTTAAAAGTTTGTGAAATGCATTTCTAGGTGTTCTGTAACCAGCGAGGGCCTGCTGCATCCAGGGCACAACTCACCTGTAGAACAAGACATAGGCTTCTGCATTCTGTACCACAGTCTCATGGACTTCAGTGACGTACTGGTCATCAAACTCGTACCACTGGCCGTTGATCACGTTCTGGCAGTAGGCTATGTAATGCCCACCTGTGACAGAGCAAACACGACGCTGCTGGGATTCGGAGTGCACACAAGTCAGGCCTGGGGTAGTGTCAGCAGCACAAACAGAATCAGCTGCTGGCAGAGAATGGAGAGAGAGCCCTCCCCCCCCTAAAAACGACCTAATTCCTGTTTAGGCAAGCTTTGCTGGAGCAGAGGAGCCTGGCACTGCCACCCTGATTTGCCTTCCTTGGAAAGGGCCTCTCAGTGAGACTGCACATCAGGAAAGGGTTTGAGCCAACCCGGTGGTGAGGCTGAAATAGCTGCAGGGCAGCTGTCAGAAGCTGCTTGGTCAGTCTTCAAAGAGCAGAGGCTGAGCAGGCCTGGGAATGGAGGGGGCAGGCCTTACACTGCACTTCCCCCAGAAGAGGTCTTGGCCAGTCCTGAACAGACTGCTGCTTTGCTGATACTCAGCTCATCCCTGTTCCCCTCTGCCTGTATGCACAGAAGGAGGACTTACTGCCTGCTGTACCATGGTGACAGATGACTGACAGGAGATCGTAGGTGGTGATCTGGGAGACACACTCCTTGGCTAGGAAAGGTCGCAGATCCAGCCCTTCCAAGGGAAAGGAGACGTGACTGTTGATCTTGAAGGAATACATCACCTCATGCCGGAACCGTTTCAAGTGGATGCAGAGAATCTAAAAGACCAAGGACAGAGAACACCAAAGTGCAGTTTTGCCATGGGCATTCTAACAAAACAGCACATCTCTGTGCATCTGATCTTTGCAAGAGTTCTTCACCTGTTAGACATGAATTCTGCTGGCCCATCAGCTTAGAATGGGGAAGTCTCTTCTGGTCTAGATACAGGACTTTGCCATCAAAACAATCTGCTATTTCTGTTCTACCTCTAGCCTCCTTATCTCCTCAGTGGCTGCTAAAAGCAAACTAGGAATCAAGGTGCTTTTACTCACCTCTGGTAGCCGGAGGACTTTGCAGTACTTCACTCCATTCCGCAGTCTGAGGGAGGAAGAGAAACTAGCTGTGAGAAATCTCTAAAGCAAAGGGATGCCAAAAGTCAAGGCTGGGTCTTGCTCGCTTTGAAATCCAAGTTCCTAATTTGCTCACTTTGAAATCCAAGAAATCTTGAATTCCAGCAGCAACAAATTCAGGCTCTTTGCAGCATCCTTCCCAAAGGAAGCATGGCATGAGCAGTCTGCCATGCCTCTTCTTTCTAATAGCTCCATTACTGCCAAACCACATCCCTGTTCATAACCTTCTTCCCTTCTTTTCCCCCCAAAGCCAGCACTTTTCCTTTCTGCAGTCAGTGACCTCTCAAGACCAGAACTCTAGTATAAGGCAAGGCAGAGTTTGCATGCCACTCAGCAGGAGGAAAGTCCAGGCAGAGGGCATAGCAAAATGTTGACAACAGTACATAGAAATAAAGTTCCAGAAATGCAACGCGATACAGATAATGCAAACTTACTTTTTACACCGTTCACAACTGTACATATTGTCCCCTGTAGATGAAGAGAAGAAAGCCACTATGCAGTTACTCAGAGCACACGATGCTGATATGGCTATACTTCCATCCAGTGCAGACAAACCAAGTTAAGCAACCTCTTGGGGAAGCCAGGGTGAGAAGAGATCAAAACCAGCCCTTCTCTCAATAAGTATAGGCAAAAAGAAAATGCAGTCAACTAGCAGAAAAGTATGCAATTGCACACCGAGACAAATGAATACAGCAAATTGTTTGAGTCCTCTAGAGTTTAAGGAGTTGATGGAGAAAGAGAAGAAGCCAAGAAGGCTAAGGAGACACAGCACTCACAACCAACCAACAGCCGTGTCTGCTCCTCACTGAGGACACGCTCACCCGGATTCCCCACCCCTGAGCAGGCAGAAAAACTCACTTCTGCTCAGAGATGAACTGACAACTTTTGGTACTGCCAGTCTCTAAGTGAAATACTGAGGCAGGATTTCCAGATTAAATCCACCTCCAAAATGCCTGTGAAATACTCCTCCATGTGGTTTGCCTTGTTTCATGCTGTCAGACCCCACTGAAGGAAACTCACCCTTCAACTCATCCGCTGCAAAAAAGGCAGCAAGGCAATCCTCCAGTGTCACAACAGGACCCCAAAACCAGCTAGGGATACAGGACACCACAAATCTGCAGAAAAGAGGGGATTAAGAGAAAGAGTTACACATAAAATAGCTGGATGCTTTGGGGTACAAAACCTCAAATGGATGATGGGTTTCCTTCTAGCTGTAGGTCCTAAGCTCATCCCAGAGGAGCAGGGAAAGCATGATTTCTCTCAGCTGATGTTCCTACTGTGATTGCTCAAACTGGAAATGATTTGGAAAAATACACCAGGAATTGATTTGCTCTGGAGGGCAAGACGGAGCTAAAGGCAGGATTAAGTGAGGGATTATCAGCTGCACAAGAGATCTCAAGGTGTTTGACACAACTAGAAGAACACTTGCAACTGGTTTACATGAAGAGGCTCAAAGACCCGTGAGGTACCACATACTGTCCTCCAGGAATGGTGACATTCTGCTGTAAACACCACTGGTTAGGGACAGCTGCCTTCCAGCACTGCAGGGCAAACCCCAGAAAAAGAGGTCCTGCATAGGGAACGCACCTCCGGATGTACTCCATGATGAAAGCAATCCAGCCTTGTGAGGCATAGTTGTCCCCACATGCCCCTGTCTTAGCTGGCACATTTTGGTAGATGGCAGAGTGCAGCTTGGCCAAGTCCTCCTTCCCTGGGATTGGGAGTGACAGGTCCTGGAACGTCTCCACTGTCTTAGAAACCTGGAAATATCCAAGAGGAAGAGGTCTGGGTTTCCTGTGCGTGTAGTGGATCTGGGACCTGTCCTTCATCACCCTTTATCATTGCTTGGATTTCATCTAGGCTAGAAACCTGAGCTAGCAGTAAGAGTAAGTCGCTCTGGCTAATTATTCTTCACTGCTGTCAGCAGGCTGACTTTTGTCATGGTTTTTGTAGCACTCCAATCAGTTTTCTAATGTGAATGTGACATTGCTAGGCCAACTCAGTAACATGGATAAGCAAACAGATCCCTACAGAGAAATAAGACTTCTTGCCATGGCAGGTTTCTCACACCTCCCCTGCCAACCACCTATCATCATGTTAGCAAGCCTACTGCATCCCACGGTGTTTGGAAATAGGAGCACCACTTCCAAAGGAGAGATCTGCAAGCTAGGAGGTTGTGCTCTTTGACTGACACCCTCCAGACGACTCACTCTGTCGCAGGTGAGGCACTGCACCAGGCTGAGAATGGAGCCGTCAAAGATGTCAGAAATCACACTACGATAACGAAGTTCTTTCTTCTTTTTCCCAGAAGCTTGCATCTGGGCTGAAAGACAGACAAGGGAGACCCATCCTGTAGCAACTCTTTCCCACTCTCCCATCTCAGTAGAGTCACGTAGCTGCACAAGAACACAGGACAAGCACTGTCCCGCCTGCCCAGGCACCACTCACATGCCAGTGAGCGAGGGGAGCCCCTTGCAAAATGACATGAAGAACACCACTGCTTAGTGTGGTACGAGAAAGGGGGAGGTCGGCAACAGAACCAACGCAAACGTGCCAGCTCTCAGCAGGCAGAAACTGTCTTACTGGAAATCCTGTTTCCATCCTCTTACTACATGTTCAGAAGCCTGGCCCTGCCACAGAGTCCCTGCTCTTCTGAGGTCTTGCAACATTTTGCTCTAAGCTTTACCCTTTACTTCCTCTCCCCCCTCAACCTGCCTGCATACTTTGTCCTTTATTTTTCCCCTCTGACATTACCATGTGTTCCCCAGGTGTCTTGCACTGGAGAGGACCCTCCATAGCAGGGACTGGCCAAACACATAGTTGTGTTTCATAACAAACCCTCTTGCCCACGCACACGTGCATGGAGACAGAGTGCTTTTTATCCAGCCAGAACATCTGTGGCTGTGCTGACCTCAACCAAGGGGTTGGGACAGAGATGAGGAAAGAATGCCATTACTGAACAGCTGTAGGGACAGTGGTATAAGCAAATGCCATTGTTTTTGCAGACTATGCAACGCTGAGGGATTTCAATTTGCAATTCGTTTGGGATGAAGACACCAGTTTGATAACAACAGAATCCAGGCTCTACTCTGAAGCCTAACAATGCTCCCAGCACTGGATTGACATCTGCAGCCTTAATTCTATGATTGTGAGCCCAAGATCTCTAAGAGGCAGGAAGATCTCTCTTGGTAACATTATCTTACAGTTCCTCGGCCCACACGCTATGAAATTCAAGTCTGGCAGACAAATGTTTACACATCTCCACACTCCCCTAAAGGGACACAGCTTGTGGCTGGGACTTCACAGCCATTTTATTAATAACAAACACAGCATGCAGATGCAGACAGAGAAATCATTTTAGGCTGCAACATAAGGGCATCCTAGAATATCTGTTGTGCCCAGAGCTTGACTTTACCTGCAGGTTTACTGTAGTCTTTGCCTAGTACTATTTTAGAAAGCACTGATGTCCAGGGGAATCAGCACTTCTTACAACTGTTAATCAAGAACCATGATGGATTCCTTTTCTCTTCTCTAAACGAAGCCCTCCTCCCCTACATGCTCCCCCCTCTTCTTCCCAGCATACACTCTTTGCACTACCTTTCTTGAGTATGTAGGAAGGTCCAAGCCTGGCAGGACTGGAGCGAGGAGGACTGCTAGAGAGTTTGGAGTGCATTTCATGATGGACTGGACTGCAGGAGCGTGAGGAGCAGCGCACGTAGGCATCATTGTCAGGTTCTGTTTGGGCACATGGGGAGGGAGAAGAGCACTGGTGAAAACCCCAGTTACAAAAGGCAACCTTCTTACGGTCAGTGTGAGCCCAGTTCTGCAATCCAGCACAGAATCTTTTCCAACATGCACAGTTCAGTGTCTGTTAACTGTCCTGCTTGCACAGGATGGCAGACACAGCTCCCCCAGTGCATGGGTAAGAGTGCATACAGAGGTATACTGAACAGCTAATAATTACATATTAACAAAAAAAAAAAACAACCCGCCATTTTTTCACACTTATGACTAATTAGGTTTTACAGATTGCTCCTGTATCCCTAATCCACATAAACAGCATTGCTATCTTCAGTGCCAGTTGGCAAAGTAATACTCTTATATAAAGAAGTGTTGAAAGATCGGATATGTTCAGTTTGAGGTGACTCCACACCTACGTCTCAACTGCTGCTCTTTTCTTTTCCCTAAGACACAGAAACGCACAAATTATGCCTCTCCCTTTCCTCTCCACAAAGCCCACAGTCCAACATTAACAAATACCCCCCTTCCATGCCTCTTCCACAGCTAATATTTCCCTAGGCCAGCCTATCAGATAAAGCAATATACATATACAAAATCTCTTCCTTAAATTAGGAAAAGGCATAAATACAGGGTTTGCAGGTTTGGCAGAGGCAGCTATCACTGCTGTCAGGACATAGTCTTTACTCAGCTCCATAGCACTGTAGCCCACCTAAGCACCTCTCTGGCTCATGTCTTACATTTTCTTGTAGAAGCAATTGTGTGCAAAGGCAGAACTACTGCCAGGGACACTGAGGAAAATCTTGATGCAAAATCACTTGAAACCCACAGAAGGAACAGCTACATTATGTATTGTTTGCTACTGCACTACAACACTGTCCCTGTGTAGGATGATAACATGTCTTCTCACAAATACCACGACTGGAAGAAGTGTATACCTGGTGTCCTACATGGGCTGGCAGGACGGGGAGCTGGCAGCATCTCAGGTGAGGCTCTACCATCAACTGGCATCATAGTAGTATCAACATCTGCATCCTCATCCACCTGCTCTGAGTTGCTGCGCCGATGGCTGCAGGAGAACTTTCTGTCCTTCATCCTCTCTTTCTCAGAGATCCCTCTCCCTGCTTCATCCTGGATCAACAACTCTGTCTCTGCCAGGGAGCTGCTGCCCATGGTCCCTGTGGTCCGACTTTGACCATCTCCTTCACCCCTGTCACTGCTTGAGTCACAGGAGAGGAACTCATCCTCCGAAGGACTTCGGTCACCCTCTCGCTTGTCATCCTGGTCACCGATATCCAAATCCCTCGTCTCCGCAACAACTGGTTCCTTCAGTTCTTCGTGAAGCTGATCCATCAGGCACCGCAGGAACTCCTGAGTGTCCTGAAAACCAGCAGTATCCATGGTTAGCAGGAGCATCTGCGTTAGGATCCATCCAAAAGAGGATGTGGCTCCATTCCCAGCCTCGCTCAATGCTGCCCACGAAGGTTAGCCACCTCCACCACACAAGGAGACCCACTAAAGCAGAGAGAGTGGCAGTGTACCAAGAAGCCTGCCTGCTACATAAATGTTTTTAATTCCCAAATGATAAAAGACCCAATTTTTAGCTAAACATCATCAGGTGAAAGACACTGAGAAGCCCGAGCGCAGCCACAGCATGGAAACCACGAGCTTATTTATCAAGAGTTTACCACTGATAAGAGGCGAGAGACAAGGAGAAACCTAATGAAGACAGCAAGCCGTAGAAAACAGACTCCTGCCCATAAAACAAATTTCACAAATACTGACTTCTGCTCATGGCAATCCCTCTCTTAGAGGGGGCAGATTAAAATCTCTAATATGTAGGGAATGGAACCAGAAGCCAAAGACTATATAGTCTAGGTGCAAGCTCCTACATTCATAATACATGGTAAAAGAGCCGATACGTTGGCTTCAAAGGACCTGCTGGAAAGCAACTTGGTATTTTGACAACTCCAGAAAGTTAATTATGATGTTTCTGTTATTTTATGGAAATTTGGCTTTTATCCTGCCCTGTCTTCCTTTCAACTTTATCTCTTTACAGTTGAGAGTTCTCCAATTCAATGTACTTCACATCAAAGCTAAATATAGGAGATCTTTCATTAATTATGATTTTTATCCTGTTTTGATTTCATGTCAGTATCACAGTTTAGATTTACTGTCACGTCTCTAGTAAATTTTCTCATCATAGTTTGATGCTTACATTTTATTCTAAAAGATAAACACAAGAGATACCCTGATAAAAACTTCAAAGAAAAAAAAAGGATACTATCTTTCAATAAGATTCAGTTTGCTGTAATTCCCCAGAAAAGGAATATAGAACATTCATATCTAACTTTTCAGTACAGATTTATCCAGGTTTCTCAGTTCTGACGTGAAGAAATAATACCTAACTCTCATATAGCATGTATCAGTAGATCTCAAAGCCCTGTATAAAGGAGGCGACCATCATAATTTCAGAGGTGAGAAAGCTGACACAGGAAAATGCACTGATTTGGTACCAGCAAGCCGGAGGCAGAGCCTGGATGAGAACTCAGGTCTCCTAAATCCCACCCAAGTGCTCCTTCATCACTAATACCAACACAAAATGGACATGACCCCTGAGCTCAAGCTCTTCCTTCTGAACACAAGCACCACTGCTGCAGGAAACAAAATCCCACCATTTTTGGAATAATGGCATGTTTTTGTTGAGGCCCCACCTGCTGTGCATAGCCCCGGAACATGGGGTTGACGAGTTTAATTCCATGGGATAGACTGCTTGGAACAACGTAACTCGGGCTGTTTAAATATGGGAAGAAAGAGAAACAAAAAAAAAGTTAGTTGGCTTATCAGGCCTGAAGCCAGTTTGTCTAATAAGCCATAGAACAGGGTGTGATAATTAATTAAAGAGGACAAAAGATAATTATGCACCTGCAAAGCCTGGGCACATATTTCAAATTAAGAGACAGAAACCATCTTGCAGTCATTTTAGTCTATCCTTCCAGAGCCACTCTTCCCTAGAGCACATTTAACTTAATGCTCTGTCCACACTTTGAATTGTCTTAAGTGATTCTTTACAGAGCAGGGTTTTGCAATCAGTTACTTGGTTTGATTTTGCAGCGTCATGTCTGTCCCAAAATCTGGATGGGCTGACCACCCAATAATTGAGATAAATTAAAATCATTATTAAAATGACATTATATTGCTTCAAAGTCTACAGCCTTCTCTTCCCGAAAGACACAGTTCACTTTTGCTCTGTATCTTACTTATCCCTTGTTAACAATTAACATGAAACCAACATGCAATCTCATTTAAATTCCTACTAGTTTGATTTTTTTCAATTGATTGCACAGAGCAGACATCTTCAGGTTTAAACAGAGCTGCATTACTTCACCCTGTCCTTTGAACTGGTCTAGAATTTGAACCAATAGGGAACATTTCCCAAAACATCACATCACTTGCATTTTCCAGTCTCTTTGGTAAAATCTCTGTATCGCTTTTCCCATCCAAATCATTAATCCCTCTGCTAATCAAGAGCAGTGCAATTAAGTGCTGGTCAGTTGGTGCAAAATATTCAGAAATGGAAAAGAGTATTCCCTTACTCTAACATTTCTTCTTCATTGCCAACAGGGAAGCTATATATAAATTTAAAAATCTTTATATTTTTAAAGTTATAACATTAAGAATGTATTATTTTCACTGACATCAGTATGCCCATTTTATCACCAGCAGCAGGATATGGGATCGCCGAGATATAGGGGAATCCTTGCATACCCACCTACATGGGGTTTGAACTGCCTGCCTCAGACAGAGCACTTACCCCTCAAGATCAAATTTCCTCTTTGCTGATGCCAGACTTCAGAACAAATGTAACTATGAAACCTGTCCAGATTAAACTAGGGAGTGACCACTCACCGTTTCTTATGCCAAACCTCAGACACCAACTTCTGGTAACTTTTGCACAGTGCTGGTTTCTTATCTGTACGGACCAGTCCGCCACATTCCAGAAAAAACTGAGTGAGAGGTGGGCTACGAGAAAAAAAGAAGAATTCAGTGCACAGAAATTTCTCCTCTGCTTCTATTTAAGGGTTTATCAAAACTTAAACACATGCCTTTTCAAAAGCATGCTTAAGATATTTTTTTTAAATCAAGAGAAGAAGCAATTCCAGATGCAGACTCGACTCCTAACTTGAAATAAGAATGCTGATCTGAATCTGTTCCCAGTATAGAGAAGGGGTCCTGGAATTAGCTCTCAGCAGGATGGCTAGCAAATATTTTAGGATATGGGTTGTTAGAAAGGTATCACTGGGGAGAATAAAGAGAAGTGACATGCTTTCCTATGCGATACACTTCAGTCACAATAGAAATGATGAAGTTTTATTCAAGCACTCATCTAAACATGAGTCTTGTATGTAGCTATTCACTCAGTTTCCTACTGTAAAAATTCTGTTGCCCTAAGCAAACATTACATTTTTTTGCACCTAGCCTGGCTGATTTCTCTCTGCAAGACTCATGAAGGTCTCAGATCAGAGGTGTCACTTTTGATATTTTGTGAAGTCTAGCAAAGACTCTACTGAAAGGCCCTAATGCCTACCAGTTAGAGAGAGCCTGAAGTGCTGCATTCATGTAGCAGGAGTTCCCAAGATTTTTCATTCCAGTAAGGCCTAAAGCATAAACAAGAGAGGCATGAAACACTTTCCAGACGTGCTGCTTTCTACATTCCTCCCCAAAAGAGAGGGAATTCAGCCCTTTCTAGGCAGTGTCCACACTCTGCTCCTAGGAACCTCTCAGTGCAGGTCCTACAGATTGCAGAGTTACCCTCACAGCCCATTCATCAACTCGATGCAGTTACCTCTTGGTTTCAAATCATCATCCTCTGATTCAGATTCACCTTCATCAGCCACTGCAATTGGAACAGCTTTCAAAGGGTGAGCAGGCAATGGAGAATCCTAGATTAAAGACAGAGAAATAAGCATCAGTGAGAGGCCTGCTTTGAAAGATGAGTTCTGAGAGATTATCTTACACATAAATTCAGCCAGCCTTTAAAAAAAGCACTCTGGAGAAAGAAGAACCAGTTGTACTGTCTCCCCTTCTCATTAATACAAGGAGGGAGTGGAAATAGTACCATTACTGCTTCCAGTACACATGATAAGAGAGGCATCACGAATACGCAGCGGTGTCACAAGTACATGTGTTTCTGGTCTAACAGCTAAAATTTCGATGGGCCATGCGTTGAAAATGAAGATGTGACAGCTGTTGTGGTTCCTCCCAGAAACAGACATCCCATGGAAGAGGCTAGGAGAGGTTAAAAATAAAGTCAGAATGGATATTCAAGATATCTGGAAGTGTTCTTGCTGGAAGATCCTATAAGACGAGGTCCTCTGGCTACAGGTAGCCACTTTCAGCGAAATAGTTTTCAGCACAACAAAAGCCTGGACAATAGTGGAGACCTCTTGGCTAATTTTGCAACACGTAAACAAAACCCCTGCCAAGCATTCCACCCTGCCACGTTGTGACACAGACCCACCGGTTCAGTGAACTTTACTGGCGGGGAGTGCGTGTGCGCTGCCAGCCGCTGGTCCAGGAACACCTCCTTTTCACAAGCGTAACACCAGATGCGGAAAGTGGTCAGATTCACCGTCAAGTTGTGCTTTTTGGCCTAAAAATTTAAAAGGGAAATAATGAATCTGATGTGATAGCTGGCTCAAGTTGAAACGCGGGACTACCAGAACAGGGTAGAGGAGGATTAAGTAATGGGTAAAATCCAACTCTGTCTTAAGATGGACAACAAAGCTCACCTGTGCATGAAGTGTGCTGTGGTCAGCAAAGGACTCCCCACAGCCAACATAAGGACAACCAATCTAGTGAGAGAAAACAGCAAAACTACAATGGGCACATCAAATTAGACCCTTCACAAAATAGTATGCAACTCCAGTCCCACCAGCAGCTGCAACTTCAGAATTGATCTTGCCAGTTTTCTAACCTGCTTTTGATGCAGGGCCCAGAATAAGACAGAAAATTGAAATTGTTTGATTTAAGAAAGAAAACTTGGAACCTGGTTTGCACCATGCCGAGGCAACTGCCTCCAATGGGCAGCTCATATAAGCAGTCTCAAAACATCTGGACATTCCAATGTAAAAATAAATTGCCCCTGCCTGCCCGCATGCCCCTTGTCATTCGCTTCCACCTCACTGCCCCAAGCAACATCTTCTGAGGTCTCACACTTGCAGCCTCCCTTCACTGTGCCCAGCAGAGGCAGGACCTGGACAACAGTCAGTTCTGGGCACTTTGTTCCTTCCTATGGAAACTACCAGGGGACAATTGCCTATGAGGACTGAACTGTTCTATCTTGGCATATTCTGACAGCAATAGCCTTTAATCTAGGAAGTCTTTTCCTTGGAATCCATCAAAAAACAGTGGTTAGTCCTACTGTGAACCCCCTCTTTGCTTCCCACTCTTTTTGGTTTTCGATACAATGCTTTCTTTTTTTAAAAAAAATATACTGAAGTCCCACCATATCATGCACACAAATAGCAAGCCATTTTTACCTGAAGACAAGCCCAGAGATTTGGTCCCACAGCTCCACAAGACTGGCAAGTCCCCTGCATATTCATGATAAAAGAAGGTTTGTTTGCTTGGTTGGTTTTTAAGTAACCTAGTCCTTCAAGAGTGGGAAACTTCACTATAAGACAGGCCTTGCCAACCTGCAGCTCACAGTATTCCATTTCCTTAATCCCACACTTCCAATTAAACACATGCTTTGCAGTATTTTAGCTAAGTGACACATTTTAGCAGGATAAAATGACAGTGAGAAATAGATCAGATGGGATCGACAAAAGCTTACTGTATGGCACATGGGCAGGGCACATCCACATTGGAGGAGTTTCTGCCTCTCCTCTATGGAGACAGGCAGCATTTTCTTTGAAAAGCAAACATTCAAACCCATACACAACTGCTAAAAGAGAAAGGATTGACAACTAGATCACCCTGTACCTTGGATTTGAGTAGCAGATCATCCCTGGTCACCTCTCCTATGGAATCCAGGTGAGGACAGATGTCTCTTGTGTCCCCCATTTTCACCAACACCCACCCACAGGGGGAGTGTTTTCCTAGGACAAGAAAGGATAGTTCCTTTCAGCTACATGTCAGATTTGCTCTCACAGACTGTAAAAAGATAAATTAGCATGTTTTGTATATTAGAGATTACGGTATCTATCTGTAAGGTTCAGAGATCAAAACAAATCTAGATCTGGAGTCAGTCATATTACCTAGCACAGTTCTGATCTGTTGTTGAGTGGCTGCATCATGGTAATGTAAATAAGCGAGCGAGGCAATGGGGAGGAGAAGAAAACATGTGAACAAAGCTAATAATCTGTACCATGTGAAATGTGCGTTCAGAAATGTAGGGAGGAGCTCAGTACACAGGCATAGTTTCAGCAGCACAGCTGCTGACTCGGTTTCAGGTGTCGAGATGGATTTGCTATAGCCTCAAAATGCAAACAGCGGCACAGTGACCCACTGACCACCCTCTCCTTAAACTCCCCAACTGCCCGGATCATGTAGCATCTCTGAATGATGCAGAGTCCTACAGCAATAACTAAAACCTCCCATTAACTCCTACGTGCTTTCCATATGTAACTTAACTGGTTTTGTGTACCATGAATACTCCATACTCCTTGAACCTGATTAGACTGGTAAGCTACACTTTCCCCCTTAGAAACTGGGTATTCTGTGCTAGCTCTGCAGGTAGGGTGGGAAAACAAATGTGGTGATCTGAACTGACTGCCTCTTGCCAAACACACACACAGAGCATCAAGAGATACACATCTAATTAGCTTGTTTGCATGAAACTTAGATTAAAAGTGAAAGGGTGCTGCAGCCCAAGTCACAAGTATGTAGCCTATGGTGTCTAGGGGCTTCATGCTATCTATGCTGTGCTGATCTAAATCTAACAGTTACTATACTACTTTATCAAACATGAAAAAAATTATTACTGTTGTAAATTAAGCTGGGCAAGAGGCAATTAGACTTAAATGATCTGTAATACAGATAACCAGCCTCCAGTCTCTGAGGAATTTACCATTTTATAGATAGATTTTTAACTATATGAGCCACGTAACTCTCCAAGACTGTACCAAAAGTAACAACACTGTTCCACCCAGCTCATGCATCCAAGCCCCACAAGTACAGAGGATTTCATAGCTGCATGCTTATGAGCACAATAAACACTTTCATGGTGGTCCAGGGGTATGTAAAAGTCTTTAAACATGTCTCAATAACAAGCAGCTATAAAAAGAGAAATGAGAAGAATTTGTGTTTCTTAAGCACAGTTTAAGTAATCTCACTTCTGGCTGCTGAAGGAAAAAGATGACAAGTGGTAATAACAACACAGAGCTGGATTCAAAATATTACTATTGGCTGGAAATGAAGCAGATATGAAAAAACCACATCATTATAAAAAAATAAGTGGAAAATTCTGATTAAGTTAATGACTCCAGCTGCATGGTTGTTACTTTCTGTTGTTTTCCCATTTTGAGGACATTTGAAATAATTCCCAGTTTTATCTGGACTGAATCTCTGACAGTGGGGGGGAAAAAAAAAAAAAAAAAAAAAAAAAAGATAAATGAAGAAGCCATATCAGCAACACTTATCTTGGAAGATGGAAAGCTTGCCTCGCACCTTGCCTTGGCAGAAGACAAACCTTAAGGATAGTTTTATAACTATGTTTTTCCAGCACTCTTTGGAACTGAATAAACTGAACTGGAGGAACAAAGCAAAACTGGAAGGGGAAGGAATCATATTTGCATGCCAGAAAACACAACAGTGGTTTTAACCAGGATCTCAGTAACCTGTAAAGAGATGCTTAACAAACAACTGAGCAATTTCATGCAGCTTCACAGAGAAGCAAAATAGTATCATGTAACATATGTTGACTTAAAACACAAGTGACAAGAGCACAGTATCTTTGACTAACACATAAAACTGGGACACTTTCAGGCTCTGAGTCCCTTCATCAAAATCAAACCCTTTTCCCAAATGCATCAGCTAGTCCAATTAAAAAAAAAAAAAAGTATCAATGCCAAGTTTGCTGGTTCACCTTCGTTGATTTCTCATCCCTTTCCCAGATGAGGTTTCCCAGAAAAGCAAATAAATAAAATATTGTTTTAAAATTAATTCCAGACCCCTTCATCTTCACCAGCTTCAGCTAACTGGGAATGAGTTTTGGAGCACATGGTATTACGTACAGTCTTGTGGTTGTGGATGATTTCAGTTCATCCTGTGAGACCACCCCTCTACTCAAAACCACGCCTTTGAATTTTCCAGCACCAGGATGCTGATTTTCCCACTTAGGGCTTCCCTTTTTGAACAAAACAGGGGAAACCTCATTTTCACCTCTCAGCCCTGACTGAACATGTCAGAAAAGGTTCAAATCGGAACTGTTCCGAAGGAAGTATTCAATCCCTACCTGCCCACAACTCTGCTCTAAAGCTGGCATATACAGCTCTCAAATGCTGCTCAGGAAATGAGAAATTTAATAAAAGCTCTGCCTGAAAGCTTAACTGTGCTTATCAAAATGTGCTGTGTATCATGGGAAAAGAAGTTACCTTAAAACCAGTCCCTCAGCCTGTCTTTCTCAAGCACCGCTGTGCAAGAACAGTACATGAACATGTCAGAACAATTCCACGGTAACTGCAACCTACTTTCAGTTGCTTAAATTGATGCCAAATCCAGTGTCTCTGCCTTCCACAGTAACACATTTCTCAGTTGGGGTTTTTTTTTGGTTTGGTTTTTTTTTTTTTTTTTGCTTAAAACAACTGTGTGGTTTTGTACCAAAGCTAGAGACAGCTGTCAAGAGTGTCAGATACATGCAGATTCACAGCCTGCGGAGTAACTGTCTGTACAAATAAAAGAAATCCTAGCAATGTTCACCCGCAAAACAACTATCAGGTCTGCTTGCTCATCTTGCATAACTACCAAGATAAAGGAGTATCTGCAGTTGTTCTTAGCAACATTTTATACTTGAGATACTGAAGAAAGATTTACTGAACTGTCTTGCTGAAAAGTAAGAACCAGAAACCAAGCACTCCTCACTCTGAGGTTGACACTTGTACCACATCTCGTATTGGAAAGCTAGGCGTTTTATGCAGAACTGGCAAATGAGACTGGGTTTTAACCCGGATTTATTACAGGAGGTCACAACACGACGATGCACCGAGAGATTTAGCTCTTAGGGAAAAAAACACCTTTGGGAACCGCCCCCCTCCCCCTGCTCCGTTGCTCCTGAAGCGCAGCAGACCCCCAAAACACAAGTCCTCTCCTAACAGATGCTGCAGCTGTTCAGCGTGCATGAAGCCGAGCATACACATCCCCGTGAGCCGCTGGATTCGGGCAGGACGAGTCACCGGCAGAGCCACCGGCTTTTGCCCCTCAGGGTCCCACTCCGAGGGCCGCGGGGCCCGCTGTCGCCCCGGGAAAGCGACCAGGCCCTGGGGGCCGGCAGGGCCGCCCGGGCACGGTGGGACCTCGGCGGGGGGGGGAGTGGCCGGGCCGGAGGCCCCCCCGGCCGCTGCTGCTGCTGCTGCATCATCCCCGGCCTGGCCCAGCCGTGCGCTGCCGCCCTCCCCACAACCGAGGCCCAACCGCCCCCCACCTCGCCCCCAGCCCGCGGCCCCTTCTCTCACCTGCGGGATGCTCGGGGCGCCACCGCCCCCCGCCCCGCCTCGGGGCCGCGCCTCAGGCCGGGCCGCCGGGTTTAGGCCGCGCCCTGCGGCCCGGCGCGGCGGGGAGGGGGGGCGGGGAAGGGCCGCGGCGCCCCGAGCAGCGCGGGGAAGGCGGCGGCGGCGGCGGAGCGGCGGGCACCGCGCAGGCCGGGGGAGGGGCGGGGGCCGGGCCGCGGCGGGGCGGGGAGGAGGCGGCCGCTCTCACCGAGGGCTCGCCCCGGGGCTCGCGTTACCCGAGCCCGTGGGAGCTCGGCCCTTGGCGGGGCGCCTGCTGCGGTCGGTGCTTGTGGAGGGGTGGAAGCGGCGCCTCACGCCCCGGGGCCACGCCGGGGTGGGGGGGGTGTGTGCGTGTGGGGTTCGGTACCGGCTCGGCGTGGGGCTGCCGGGTGTGGAGGTGAAGCCACGTCCCGTCGGAGCGGGCGGGCTGTGGGAGGGGAGCGCGTGTCGGGACTGCGATAAACAAAGCGACCCTCGTGAGTGACACCGGGTGCCCCCCACGGAAAAAAAGGTCTCGTGTCCTCGGAGGGCGCGGGTGGCGGTGTGTGTGTGCGTGTGCGTGGGGAGGGGTGTCTCGGCTCAACTCGTCTCCTAGCGGGGCCCGCGGCTCCTGCCCGGCCGCGGTGCTGGCGGATGGGAGGCAGCTCCCGGCTTCGTCGCGGCGCTGTGGCGTCATCGCCGCGCGACGCGCCCGGCGCGGGGTTGTCGTTGTGGTTGGTGTTTTTGGGGGTGTGGGGCCGGCGCCATGCCGGGCAAGAAGTCTTTCCGCCGGCGGAGGGTGGAGGAGGAGGAGGAAGAGGAGGACGAGCAGGTCGCTGAGGAGGTCAGGTGGGTCGGCTGGGCCCGCGACGGTCGGGGACGGGACCCCAGATCCCCCGTCAGTGCCGCGTCACGCCATCGTGCCGGGCCACCGCGTTCACGTACCGCTGCCGTGTCACAGCGTGGCGTCACACCGCATCATCGTCTAGCTTGCACCGGTGTCTTCCGGCTCCGTCGCGTCACGCGGTCGCTTCTGGCGTCACGCTGCTGCGTCACGGGCGGCCGGGGCCCAGCCGCCATGGCGGGGGGCCGGGGCAGCCCGAGGGGCCGCGGCCGCGGGCGGGAGCATCCCCTCCCGCTCCTGCCACGTGGAAACGGGCACTCTGGGGGGGGGCGATTCGTTTTCAGATCCCTGCGTGCCAAGCGAGATCCGTCTTATTACTGTTTTGTCCCGGAAACATATTTTATGATGCTCAGTTCATGGCGGGTACTGATGGACATGGCTAATTACTGACGAACACATGTCTGAATATCTGAAGAAATTAAGAAAGCATCTCAGTTTATATAAAGAGACTTGGTGTTTAAATTTATAATAAACTTTCTGCTGAGCCACTCATGCACTGATGTATCTTGAGAATCATTCAGCTGTGTTATATTCCCTTGGGAGCTGCTGCCAATGTTTCTGTCAATGGAGTGCTTCCTTAGTTCCCCCGCCTCCTGAGGAGGAACAGTGTTGGTTTATCAGCTAGAGCCAACTGTTGAAGGAGTAATGATGCCCCACATTAATTCATCTTAGTTTGCGCCCATTTACTGCGAGGACAATATTACAGTATCGTCTGGAGATCTTAATGGGCTAAAACAAGTGATCCTTGGATTGTTCTTCCCACACTGGTGTTTATGAAAAACTTTTGATGTTTGAGTGCTTCTTTCCTCAGCTGAGGGAAGGTATCTTGAAGGGACATATCTAGCAAATGCCATGTGGGCTTTTTTCTGATTGATACGTGAGCGGAATTGTTTAAATAATGTGAAATAGAAAATATTTACCTAATGTGTAACCAGAAAGGTGGACACTGATATGCGGAAGTGTAAGGCAAAGTATGTCTAGAAGATTCCATGTTAACTGCAGAAAATCAAATTAATAAAACCAAAGCATCAAGTACTAAGTCAAATGTTTTTCTTTAGGTTAAAAGTTGAGGAAGCCAAAGAAGTTCAGAGCCTCAGAAAGCGACCCAACGGGGTGAGGTAAGGGACCACAGATGTGAAGTTGTGCTTTGGCTGATGGTGTAACAGAGCAGTAAATTTATGTCTTGTCGTGTGCCTCCTTTCAGTAGGAAGCGTTAAATGTCTGATTACTGCCAAAACGGTATTCTTGATAGAGGAGTTTCTTCATTAAAGCCTGAGCAAGGAAAAGAGGGGGAATTTTGTACAGGCTCACAGTGTCAATTTACAATGATCAAAGTCTATTCTGTATCCCAGCCATGAAGAAAAAGATGAAGATTGGGATTTACCATTCAGTGTATTTTCAACAAGTTACTGTTGTACTGCACGCATGGTTTAAATTGGACACTTTCACACCTCCTCCATACTAATTCCCCTCTCACCTAGTGCCACTGGTTAGCTGATGAGCTGGTTGAAATGTGTGCCAGCAATGAATCGTGTCCCTTATTTTGGCATCTCACTGTAAGGCACTAAAGTCTGCCTTAACTTCTCATCTCCCCAAAACAGTAACGGTTTCTCTATCCATGTGGAAGGATTAGGAAGATTGACAATTTAGTGTTAATATAGTGTGTGGAACCCTCTGCTAGATTTAGAGAAGGATAAAGAAACGCATTGTTGTTGGTAATATGTTTCCTTCCACTGAATTTTATTTACTTTATCTGCTTGACTAGTGCTGTAGCTCTGCTTGTGGGAGAGAAGTTGCAAGAAGAAGCAACGCTTGTGGTAAGTGCTAGACACTTTCCTCACCTCGACACTAAGATGGAACAGTGTGAAAGTGGGAGTCTGACCTGGAGTAGGACTGATGTCACAGCTCAGTGCTTACATGTTTCCTGTGTTTTAATACAGATTTTGAAGACTAGCATTGAACTAGAGGGAAGCTTCAGGGTTTCTCATTATTTCCTGTCTTACAGGATGACCCATTTAAGATAAAATCTGGGGGAATGGTGGACATGAAGAAGCTGAAAGAAAGAGGCAAGGACAGGTGGGCGCATATGAGCTCTGAAGATATATCCTTGGACCAATATTAAATAACAGCTAGTAATGAAGTAACCAGATGAAGAGTTTAACATGATGCAGTTTGGCCAGTTACTGTCACCCTAACTTGTCAAATTAGTTAAAAACAAACAAACAAACAAACAACAAAAAAACCCAACTGTAAACATTGTGATTTCCATTTAGGATTAATGAAGAGGAAGATCTAAACTTGGGAACATCCTTCTCAGCTGAAACCAACAGGCGGGATGAAGATGCTGACATGTAAGTTGTGCTGCATTGTGTCTGGGATGTTGAATTTGGGGTTAGGTGTCCCCTTAAAGTACATTTCTTTCTGTCTTGGATACTGAGTAGTCCCAGAACATCTTCCCAGCTCTCACTGAGACTTTCACTTTCTCTTTCACCTCCTGGCTGCCAGGCTTGAGAATGCTTTTTCACGATCAAAGATGTGAGGTGCCAACCAGCTAGCTTGGCATTAAATACTGGGGGGAGCCTTCACTGCTGGTTGTGAAGGAGCTGATTGTTTCTTCGACAATTCTTTCTTGCAAGTGATGTTAACTGAGTTGTTTTGGAGAGATTATTCATTCCCCTCTCCTAGCTATCAGGACAGTGATGCAGCTGTGCCCAGCAGAACTGGGACAGAGTACCGAAAACAGAATTAAATGCTGTGTATCCCTCATGTGCTGCTGTTTAGGATGAAGTACATTGAGACAGAGCTGAAGAAGAGAAAGGGAATTGTGGAGAACGAGGAGCAGAAGGTGAAGCTTAAGAATGCCGAGGACTCTCTATATGAGCTGCCAGAGAACATCCGTGTCTCCTCAGCCAAGAAGACTGAGGAGATGCTGTCAAACCAGATGCTGAGTGGCATTCCTGAAGTGGACCTGGGAATTGAGTATGTGGTTCACAGATCTGTTGGTTATGGTCTGAATTACCAGGATGAGGCCCATTGATTGGCAGAGCAGCAGTAGGGCTGGCTTACACAGCCCCAGTTTGGTGCTGTGGTGGGACTGAGCCTTGTTCTGGATTAGTGCCGTATCTAGTGCAGCATGTTCTGCACAGGGATAGGGCTCCAGTGCAGCTCCATCGTATGACTTCTGGGAAAAGGCTCTTGATTTTTGTAACTTGAATCTAGCAGCTTTCTGGAGGATCGGCTTTTGCCCTGCACTGAAAGAGGATGCACTAAGGAGGCGAGCTTCCCTTTTGCCTTTGAAACAAAGCGTCTGTTTCTATAGCACTGCCTTGTCTCTCAAAAAACCACATCAAATAGCATGGCAGTGCTATTACTATCCCCAAAATCCATCCACTTAATAATTCTATGCCTACTATCATTTCTAAATATAAATATTTTTTCTTTGTTTTAACTCTAGTGCAAAAATAAAAAACATCATCTCAACTGAAGAGGCCAAGGCCAAGCTGCTGGCAGAGCAGCAGAACAAAAAGAAAGACAGCGAAACTTCCTTTGTTCCCACCAACATGGCTGTTAACTATGTCCAGCACAACAGATGTAAGTCTCGTATAGCTTTCCTGACCCAGGTGTGACCCTCTGCTGAAGAAAAGCCGTCAGCTGGGACAAAGTCTGATGCAGGAGAAATTAGTTCATGTATTGGCACAAGCAGCTGTCTGATTCCTTTTTCTGGGATGCTCATATAGACCCCATCTGGCTTTGTCTTTTTCTTCCATCTGTCAGCAAGGAGAGGGACATATTACTCATGGCTTGACTTTCTGCTCTTGAACTCCCAGCTGACACTGCCTCATAAATTTCAAGACTTTTTCTTTAAGTTATGTCTTGAGTGTGGTGCTGGAAATGCCTGCCTCGTCTGCGATTCTAAATGATGGTTTATAATTGAGAGAATCCATTTTGTAGGCTGCCAAAGTAGACAGGCAGTCAAGCAAACATAGACCTTACTAGATAGGAGATCGGAATTAATTTCCGGGAGAGCCTTTCATACTGCAGCCATCTGGAGGAAAGGCAACCTTCTGCTATGTCTAACCATGCATACAGGGGTGATTTGGAGTCAGATTTGTGTGTTCTGAAGGAAATGAAGAGTATTTGGGCCACTTCTGATGAAATAGTGCTACTGAAATTTGCTGTCTTCCATCTTGCATGTATTGATTATGCATAGAAACCAATTACAAGAATGCTTGTGAGGTTCTGTTGTTTCTGCTAAAGATCACTTGTAACAAATGCCATAGAAATATGTCCATCTGAGTAACACTGCTCCAGATAATATTCCTTATCCAATGTTTTCCTTCTTTCAGTTTATCATGAAGAACTAAATGCACCCGTGCGAAGGAACAAAGAAGAGCCAAAACCCCGTCCACTGAGAGTGGGGGATACAGAGAGGCCAGAACCTGAGCGTAAGTTCCTGATCTGGAATATCATGAGAGACACTGAAACTCTTCAGGGGTCTTGCACAGAGAAATCATCTAGCTCTTCTTACCTCCCCTTCTCTGGGTGCCTTGAGAGAGTGGGAAAACAGAGCAATCTAAGTCAATGAGAGGCGAATTGCACTTAACGTATCCCTGCTAGGTCACACATGGAGCTCTCTGGATTGAGAACATCTAGAGGTGTCTAGATGGTGAAGTAGCAAAGGTCACAACTGAAATGTGTTGCCAAAGCTGGCTGACAAGGGTTTGATGAAAACTGGAATAGCAGGGGGTGCAAGGTTGGGGAACACTGACAGCTAAAACAATAACCTTTCACATAGCAAGGAGCTGTATAAGGGAAGTGGTAGAGTTAAGGAAATGTCTTCTCTGAAAGGACAGGGAAATAATATTTCCTTCTCTTTCTCTTGACGGGTTTCTCCAAATCACAAACATCCAGCCAATGAAAAAGCCACAGATGATTATCACTATGAAAAATTTAGGAAGATGAAAGGACAGGAAATAATATTTCCTTCTCTTTCTTTTGAAGGGTCTCCTCCAAATCGCAAACGTCCACTCAATGAAAAAGCAACAGATGATTATCATTATGAGAAATTCAAGAAGATGAATAGGAGATACTGATGGATGTGGACTGAAGTCTGCAGTTGTTCTTTTCCACTAATAAAAGATGTTGTGTCAATGACCTGGGATGGACCTGGGGAGAGTCACTGCCTTCACATGCTGGTGTTACCTACAAAGCTTTTCTTGTGATATTGTAGTGAGTCAGTTTGGAGGTCATTGTGAACTCTTTGGTCAGTAAAATCGTGTATATAACTTTCAGTTATAAACCTTTTTTTATAAGAACAGGAGCTTTCATGCTTGGCATTTTTTAGTGAGAAAAAGCAAACTTGCTTTTACAGATTTTTTTTAACCCTCTTAAAAGATACAAAAATAAGAGATCCTTTAAAAGCAGCAGTATTGTTTGCCTTGTAAGTATAAAGGGAAGGTTTAAAGCCAGTTTGCTTGAATATGACTTTGTTAAGAGACTTCTTGTTTATTCCCCTTTGCTGTGCAGAGTGTGTAAGGCTGAGATGCTGCAGCAGTGTGTTCGGTACTGCTGTTCCTCAGCCTAGCTTAAAAGTGCTCCAGCAGAAACCACAGCGTTGGCTGAGCCTGGTGCTTCCTCGCTGGGTCTGTCATCAGCGCAAGAAACAACAGCAGATATCCAGTGCTAGGAATTTTGTATGGTGTGCTGTGTTCTTTTGTATCCTTTTATCCCTGTAGAGTTGTTTCTGTAGCAGTTCACTGCATTTTATTTTAGCTGTGAAGAAAAGAATTGGATCAGGCTGTAACTGTTGAATTGGAAGAAAATCTCACTTTCCACTCTTAGGACATGCATAGTATGGCAGATGGTGAAGAGGCCAGAGGCCCTGTAACCAATATGCACTCAGTCTTCCCAGGACCTGTGATGTGCAGGTACCTGAAGGCAAGATTTGGAACTTGGAAATAATAAAAGTGGTTTTAAGTGATCGTAAATGACATTTTTTCCTTCTGGGATACATGCCCATGTCTTCCAGATGCTGGTGGTAATGACAGCCAGGGTGTCCCATGACTGTGCAGGTGTCCATGTCCTGTCACTCGGGTGTGGGAACTCCAAGGAGGGGCGAGGTGGGGAATGGTTCTAAATTTTACTTTTCCCCTTTTGTGAAAAAAAAAAAAAAAGTCCCTGAGCCAGGTAACTGCAGGAGTTTGGCAGTGAGCCTGTGCCCCGTGAAGGTCTGAGGGAGCATCCCCCCCCGCCACATACCTGCAAACGCGGCACCGCTAATCGTTAGAGCGCAGTATCTAACCGAGGCGCACCACGCGAGGCCGCCATTTAGCCAACTCCCGCCGCGGGCGGGCAGCCCCGAGGGTGCCCGCCCAACATGGCGGCCGCCCTCCGCGCCAGCCCCGCCTCTGCCCGCACCCAAGATGGCGGCGGCGGAAACGGCGTGGCGGGGCGGAAGCGGCGGCGGCAGCCGGCGGCGGGGGCCGGGCGGGCCATGAAGCTGCGGCGGGGCGCGGTGAGGGTGGCCTTGGGGCTGGCGCTGCTCCTCGGGCCGGCGGGCGCCGTGGAGCCTATCAGCCTGGGGCTGGCCATCGCGGGCGCCGCCGCCTCGGCCCTTACCGGCTTCATCTCCTACCCGCGGCTCTACTGCTACTTCAGGGAGTGCTGCCTCCAACGGCACGACCAGCGCGCCGCCGCCGGTGCGGGCTGAGGGGGTGCTGGGGGCCGGGGCGGGCTGAGGGGACGTTGCGGGGGTGGCAGGAGGGCGTTGAGGGGTGCGGAGGCCCCGGGAGCTGCAGCTCGGCCGGGCCTTCGCCCCCTGGGCCGGGGCTGGCAGCCGCCATGCCGGGTGGGTGCTGGACCCTCCTCGAAGGACACAGAAACCGGCGGGCCCCCCCCCCCCCCCTCCGTGGCCGTCTCCCTGCTCGCTGGTGACAGTGTGGTCTCTCCATCCAGCTCTGCAGGGGAATTTGGACAGGAAGCTGTTCGGGCAGCACCTGGTGAACAAGGTGGTTGTGAAGGCCGTGAAGGGCTTCTTGAACAACACCAATGCCAAAAAGCCTCTCGCCCTTTCCTTGCATGGGTGGACGGGAACAGGCAAGAACTTTGTCAGTAAGATAGTCGCAGAAAGCATTTACAAAAGAGGTCTGCAGAGTAGGTATGTCCACCAGTTCGTGGCAACTCTACACTTTCCTCACGCCCACAGCATCAATCTCTACAAGGTAAGGGTGTGCTGTGGAACCCGTGGCAGCGGGGCACAGCTCTGCTCCTGTGACTGCTCTGTTGAATTATAAATATGGCGCGATCAGCATTAGAACTCTACATGTCATTATATGCAGTAAAATGTAGCCTGTGCCAGCTTTGGAATCTTTAGTACAGAACTGGGTATGTTCTAACATCCATCAGGACTGGTTGTTGTGTGAATGTGAAATTTTCTACATGTGTTTTGAACCTCTCTTTAGGGAAGAATGATATGGTTAATTTTTGTTCTGCTTTGCTTGTAGATGTGAGTGACTTGAGTGTGATTCAGCAGGTTTCTGTGGTTAGGTGATATGCTGATGGGCACTGCAAAAACTAATAGTTCATGACTCTGGGAAACCATGCACTGACCTCTGAGTGTGTCAGGTACCATGGCAAACGGAACCTTGTGCTCTGAGACGGGTGCACTTTTCAGTTTTACTGCACGCTGACCAGGTTATTTAGTTTTTCTGTGCATCCATATCCTAGCTGTAAAACAAAATATTCTGTTGTCAGAAAAGTACTGATGAACGCATTTGGAATTGTGCTGCCAGTTTGCTAAGTGTCAGTGCAGTTCTGTAGGCAGGTAGATATCATGTGGAGCAGTAGCTCAGATGCCTGTTTTCTGGGGTTTTTTGTCCTAACTAATTTTATTAACAGCAAAGTTTAAATGCGTACCACTCTTCTGTAATACTGAATGTTTATATTCAGTTTGTATATGTTAAAAATGTGAACACAACGGTCTACAAATCTGATTTCTAAATGGAGGGAATATCTGTTTCCTCTTTTACAGCATACTTTTACCCTTCTTGCAACTGAGATGTTTTAAAATGAAATGGATCCTTTTCTGCTTTTGTGTTGAGGTGAATACACTTGGGAAACTTGCTGCCCAAGGCAGTAGGAGGAACTACCACTTCTTATCCACAATACACCCAATGTCACCTTCTGTGCTGCCTTTGCAGTTCAAGGACTGAGTAGACAGTGAATAAAAAAAAAAGATGAATCATTGAAAATGATCAGGACAGTTCCTTCTCATTCATCTGCCAGCAGATCAACCCCCTTTTTTTTTTTTTTCAATTACTTAATTATTGTTTTTAAATGTAATACTTAAATGAGAGAAAAAAGTAGCAATTAAGTGAGAGAATCTTTAAATGCAATGAAGTGTTAGCCCTTCTAAACAATATTGTGTTTTAAGAAGGGCTTGTAATTGACTTCATGTAACTTCTGAATGATTAAAACACAGGGATGAGAATTTTACTATGTTTCTACTTCTGCCAATGACTGCAGGTGCAGTTTCTCACTGGTGCTGTTCAGGTAGCAAGGTTAATATTGTTTGTAGCTTTGACACCTAAAGATGTTTAGACCAAAATGCTGCCCAAAGTAATTATCTTGTCAGGGCTTTGCTTTGTGTTGCTGATCCTTGGTGGTGCTCATCCTTTGTCCTACTGTGAGCTTTCATTTTTGCTATGTTTACAGGAATATCTTTCTCACAAGGAGATTTCCTGCTCATTCCATACTGTCTCTCGGTGTCTTAAAGTTTTTCAGAATCAGTATGAGATTTTGTTAAAGTTTTATTTACAGTTTTTAACTATGTTTTAATCGAGAAGCCAAAGATATTAAAATGACACAGTTAAAATGTCTGTTTCAGAAGAGCTTTTTTGTGTCTTTTCAACGCAAACTTTTCAGCATCTTTTATTTTTATGCCTCTCAGGACCAGTTGCAGTCATGGATTCGGGGAAATGTGAGCATTTGTCCCAGATCACTCTTCATATTTGATGAAATGGATAAAATGCATGCGGGACTCATTGACTCCATCAAGCCATTCCTGGACTACTATGAGCTTCTGGATGGGGTGTCTTACCGACAAGCCATCTTCATATTCCTTAGGTAAGAAGTGGCTTCTGAGGTTTGCTGTTCTGTACACCTGATGAATTTTAAAACTACCTCCAGTTACAGTCTTTGTTTTTTCTTTATTTAGCAATGCAGGAGCTGAAAAGATAACAGAGGTGGCACTAGATTTCTGGAGAAATGGGAGGACAAGGGAAGATATACAGCTCACAGATATCCAAAATGCACTGTCTGTATCCGTCTTCAATAATAAAAATAGTGAGTAAAACTGTGATGGCTTTTGGGGTGGTAAAAGTTCCACTAAATGGATGGACTGCATTTTCCCAGCTATGGTTTGTACCTGATGTGGCCTCCATTTTTTGCCTAGTGAGGAGCCACGATGCAGTTTTGGGGCCTACAGTTGGCTCTTGAGTTGGAATGAAGGTATAGGAGCTTTATGTGCACCTCAGCTACCAGCATATTTGCTGTCTGTTGGATTGCATACGTTGGGGGAAGTCTATGGTGTGCATTTATTAACATACTAATGGACTAAAGGGAAAGCAAACAGAAATCCTGACAATAAGGATAGATATTGCAGTAGCTGAAAAATCTTTAAGCAACAGAATGTTTTATTATGTGGAAGCCGCTTCCTTGGCCCCCAACTCACTTAGCCTGTCTTGCTCAGTCTGTTAAAAGCCTTCAGGCAGCTATTTGGGATCAACGAGCTGACATGCCAGCCCTGCTGTGGGCAATTCAGTGCTTCCTAGGTTTCCTTGCACATAAATTCTGGTGAAAAGGGGTTTTAACATAAATATACTCTAAAATTAACATTGGAAGCAAACTTACAGTACTTTTTAAAAAGCTTAAATGCAAGCTCCAAAAAAAGAAGGAAGAAAGCTAGTCTAGGAGAGCTGATAAGAGAAAGAAAATCTGTTCTTCTCTAGTTGAGAGAGGGGAAGGTATGAGACTAGCATCTGGGGAGCAAGGCTTAAATGCATTCAGTCAGAATTAATTCAGTTCCAATGGACTGCATTTATGTGTCTGTCCAAAATTTTATGCACAAAGTACCATGAGAAGGGGCTTGTATTTGGACTTACTTGTGCATTAGAGGGCCTTAAAAACACAGGTGAGATCTTACTGGTATACAGCAGAGGGCTACGATATGCCTCTTGCTCCCATTCAACCCATGGTAGTGTTTAACTAGAGGAGTAGTTACAAGCCGCTTCTTTTTCTCTTTGTAGGTGGATTTTGGCACAGCACCTTGATTGATAGAAATCTCATTGACTACTTTGTTCCCTTCCTGCCTCTGGAATACAAGCATGTGAAAATGTGTGTCAGGGTTGAGATTGAATCACGGGGCTATGCTGTGGATGAAGACATTTTAACCAGAATAGCTGATGAGATGACCTACTTCCCCAGAGAGGAAAGAATTTATTCAGATAAAGGATGTAAAACTGTGGATGCAAAGCTGGATTATTACTATGACTTCTAATGCTTTATTGCTACAACCTGCAAAGAAGCAAATTTAACTTAATCACAAAGTGGAGAACCCAGGACATTTCATTTTTAAGCCCTTTTAAAATGAAGGAACATTATTTTTTAACTGGTGTGTAAATAAGCAGCAGTGCCTCTGCATTTTTATTCTGTCGCTAGCCATGGCTCCCAAGTACTTCAGCCTTGTGTCGGCAAGGTAAGAACAGACTGCGTTGGGAATGCAGGGGTCTGTGTCTGGCAGTGCTGAAGAATCCTCTTGGATTGTGTGTCGATTGTCAGAACCTTTTGGCGGACTGTTGGCACATATAGAAGGACTGAGACTGTGATGTAATTTTAATTGGGTTTTGGTTTGATGTGGATGATCTCTAGACAGTATTGAGAATTTTAATCAAAGTTCCTATGTCTGTGAAAACCTTCCTTGGGCTTCCGTGGGAATATTCTTATAACTGCATTGAAAGTGTGATATATGTCTTTTCTTCTTGAACAGCTTGGCTGCAGTAAAGATACGGAGGGGATTCTGTGATTAAACAAATCCCATCTTCTATCCAACATCACGCAGTACCATTGTCTTTCTCAAAACAGTGGTATAATTTGGTCTCCTGCGTGTCAAACTAGGAGTATGAAACTCTTTGGTGTGAACAGTGTTCAGAGAGCAGACTTAATATTACAAGGAAGTGAGTTAAAATCCTTGACTACTACATCAGTGTAGTTGGTTCCTATTTTTGGTTATTTTTTTTTATGTATGAAGTTGTCCACAGCATGCTCTCCCAGGAGTGATCTCAGGAGGAAGAAAAGGGCTTTCTTACTGGTGAGTCAGCTTCCTTCAAAGGGTGTAATTTAATAGGAAATGTTTACAGGTTAAATTTTACACCAAGGAAATGAAAAAGTGGTTTCTCCACTTACAGGGCCAGCTTGCAGGGGTTTCCCTTTTTCATCTTGCAATACTGTTTGCCTTTGAGGCAGGGATGAAGACAGATCCAAAGGCATTTGAAAAAAAAATGTGAAATGTGTCAACTGAAGTTACTGTGAAGAGTGTCAGACTTGTTTCTGAATGTGAGCACTGCAGATGCTTTTTTCACTCCAGTTTCTATTAAAAATAAACTTTTCTCATCAAGAATATATTCCTTAGCTACCTTCTGGTCGTCTTTGCACTAAGTGACTTGATGTTAATTTTGCGGAAACTTGTTACTTGTTGAGGAAGAGCATACTACATTTCTGGCTGAAGTGGTCAGCTGTGCTTGAATACAGGTATCTCCCTTGAGTTCAAAGGGAATAGATAAGAGGAGATGTGACTCTTTGCTACCTGATGAAGGGGAAACAAATGACATTTGGAGTGTAAACTGCACTTCAAGACTATCAGTACTAATTAAACTCAGAGTTCATTGTAGAGGAAGACTTTCTAGATGTATGTGTGCTCAAGAGTTTCATAAGGATGAATGTCTTCTAGAGATTAGTTAAAACCCTGTTTCTCATCTCCTCCCACTGTGTTACTACTGACTGAACACCCTGCAGACTCTGATTGGAGCTACTCACACTTCCAAGAAAACTTGGAAGTTTTCTCTGCAAGGGAAGAAAAAAAAAAAAAAAAGGCCAGTAAGACTCCAGCTGTCCAGTTCTGCTCTGAAGTTGTGTAATACGCAAATTATCAGCCCTAGTATTTGTCAGCAAATGAGTGCTTTCAACTTGGGTATTTATCTGTTTCTTTGACCTCCTGATTATAGAAAATGACTGGCTAATGGAAAAAAGCAGACGTGAAAATGATAAACTTTTATTAGTCTGGTACCTTCTCATCAAAAGAAACAGGTCAACCAAACAGTATCATGGCTCTTCCAGCATTAAGTACTCTTAGTTCTGCTTTATGTGCCATTTCAGCCTTGGTTCTAGCATTTGACATAGAGTGGTAGCAAGTACTTAATTTTATCATCGCCCTGGGGTGGCTTAGGGTAGATGGACGCTTCCTCTAGAGAGTGTAGAAATTACGTTCAAAGGGTGGAGACTGCCTGTTTAGTCTCTTCTGCTCTTGAAAACAGCATACCTGGCCAGGGGTATCACCATCTGGGTAAAAATGTGTGTGCCTGAAATCACTCCTAGATTTGATCCTTCTGATCCTGTTGTTATTCCTCCTCTTTAGACTGCATGGTTTCAAAGCTGAGGCCCTTGCTCTGGTTTTTTTTTGCTGTGACTGGGTAACTTTGGCCATTACTCTCTTAATAGACCCCTGAAACTGGATCAGGCAAAGGAAAACGTCAAATGGGAGGAAAGGTCTGATCCATTGGCCAGGTGGGGGGCAGCTGCGCAGTTGCTGAGACTGAATTTTCTTACCAAAATCCAGTACAAGCACCAGGTGTTTTAATTCAACCTTTTTCTGTAGTGAATGTTCCAAGATCTCACACTGTGCTCATAAAACGAGAGACTATGGTTAAAACACAGTGACGTAGTAAGCGCTGCTCTCCTGACAGAAAGCAGCAGCCTGGCTCTCGACGTTCTGCCCAACGCCCTGTGCCAAACAGCCCCGCAGTTGCGTGGTAATGAGTTTCCTCGTGCATCATTACAGCACAACACATGGTTCACAACAGCGTGAACAACTGACTGTTCAGTGAGGTGGGAGTTGTTGCCAACAGTTGTACCGTGCTTGAATTAGGCCGTTATTTACACACTGGCTTTTTTTCAGTGCTAGAGAGGCTGCAGCTGCCCTGGCCTATGGAAATACGATGAAAGCCTGTAGTCCTATGGTGCCTTTGCCAGCTAGAGGAGAGGTGGAGAGCTGCCTTGAGTGACAGCTTTCCAAACACAGCGCAGAGAGGAGGAATGGTTAAACAAGCAACCTGAGGTATATTAATCCTGCAGTGCCTGGCAGGGTGGTAGGAGATACCTGTTTATGAAGCAGAGCAGGCAGAGACTTCAAGGCTTTTTCATAGGTGTTTGTTGCTACTAAGCTGTATTTAACTGCTAAATTCCTCAACATGTTTTAATATCAACAGGCTACTTAATCTGCTTATCCATTGTTACAAAACAAATTTTTAAGAATCAAGGAAGCTTAATGGAAAGTTGCAGTGCAGCTGGTTGAAAACTGCATAAATGTACTTTCCTATAGCTGAAAATTATTAAACCAAGACAGAAAAGTGACTTAAAATTTATTCGGGCTGTAGTACAGTAGTAATACTTAGTGTTTTGAAATTGCACAAGTATTTTGTTTGGAGTAACTGAAGCTGGATGCAGCATGTACACCTATGAATAAATCAGTTAATAGACAAAACACACACGAAAAGCAACAGTCCAATGTCCCAAGGTTAATGGCTAGCTAGCATTTGGCTCTGGAGATTGCATCAGCTTGAAGTTTGCCAGCATTTGACAACCTCTGCATGGGGTTGTAAAAAGCATTTGACACTTTTAATTTAGAGTTTAACATAAATGTTAATATCTCTGTTGTAATTTGAGTTAACATAATATAGATCTCAACACTAAGTCTTGCATCACATCTTAAAGCAAGCTTAAGTACAAGTGAGGAAGTAGATGCTGCAGCACAAAAATAGCCCAAACCCTTTTACTAGTTTAAAAAACACACTACAATCAACCAAGTGATAGGCACTTCTGACTTGCACTACAATTTTTGACCCACAAGTGATGGATGATTAAAGAGTTAAAGCTTGCAACACAATCCTTGTCAGTGGGTGAAGGTTAAATCAATCTTTCCCAGCTTCCTAACTCATCACTCACCCTTCCACACGGACATTCTTTACTGCTAAAAAATATCACAAAACATACTTACCACTGAGGTTTGCTCCTATTTCCCATACTCCCTTATCTGTGGCTCTCCAGGAAGAGCTTTGTATTGCTGTTGCTTACACTTCAGTATAAAAATACACTATTAAAAATAACTTCTGCCATGAAAGTGTCTTCCAAGCGAGGTGAGAGTAGCATTACCCACTCCTAGTCTATTGGCTGCAGCTGGGAGGAACTACTAAAGACCTTGCAGACTTCTGGCCCAGGAGCCCAAATGCAGACTAACCTGACGAGCTATAGCAGTCAGATTCTCATAAGAGATTTTTCTGATTAAGAACAGGCGACTGGCCTAGTATGTTGTAACTCTCAGATCCCTCAGATGGGTCCCTCTGCTTAGGAAGACCTGGAATTACACAAATTCACTTAGCCCCCTTAGTTAGAAGAATATAAGTTTTCTTTTAGAATTTCTTTTTCCCCAAAGCAGCACAGGAGCAAGCAGTTACTTCCCCCCACACCCTTTCTCTACTATTTAGTAACAGATTTCCTGGAGCTCATCATGACTTTCCATATTACTGCAGCAGATGTGGTATGATGCCACAGTTCAGACATAAACCATAATGTCGCTCTTCTGTCCCTGAATAGCTGACGCTCATCTGTATAAGCCACAACAGCAACAACCTGCTGTGAAGGACAGAGAGCCTTCTGCCATCCCATCTTCTTACTGCAACTCATCGGGGAATACCCTGTGCAGACACTTAATAGTCCTGAACACACCACACATCCCTTCATTTCACTAGCCCATGAACGAGACCCTGCACAAGGAAGGGAACATGACCACCTGGAAGAATTCCTCCGTTTTCCTTTGCTCTAGTCTAGTTATTGTGGAAAGAGGAATTAAGTACTTAATAATCCCAGCACTTGGAAGAATAAAGCAGGAGAGGCTGTATCTAGTGCTATATGTGTGTCATGCTCAGAAATTCTCTATAGGTTAAAAGAAAAATAAAGGGGGCAACATTTGGATACCAGACAGTTCAGAGATGAACACTGGGATGTTAAGTTAAAAAACCAAAACGGTAAAAAGCCCACAGAGCTCACTCTGGTGTTTTCACCATATTCCCTGCAACAGTAAACAAGCTTAAGTGCAAATACACAGATTTGCAAAAGCTCTGAAAGTGCTTTGGAGACCTGACGGGTAATCAACCCTTGGCTTTTGTATCTCTCATTGCAGCATCTTCATGGATATCCAGCTTGGCCTGTACAGTCTTGCAGCCTTTATCAGAGTAGATTTTCTGCTCTTTTGGGAAGAACGTCATCTCATCAGCCACTGCTTGAACAACTTTCTCATTGACAGCATGGCCACGGGCTATCATTTCAGCCCTGATGCACATCTTCACATGCTTGTGCTCCAGGGGCAGGAAGGGGACAAAGTAGTCAATGAGGTTCCTGTCGATGAGGCTGCTGTGCCACAGTCCACCTGGAGGAGTTGGGGGGAAAAAAAAAAAATACAATTATAGGAAGAAGTTTCTCTAAATTTGAGCCTGCATAAGATAGGATCCAGAGTGAATTCACAAAGCAGTCTGTCTTAACTGCTGCCCGAGGAAGAATAGCATGCCAGTTAGCTGGATGGTACCTTGCAGTTGTCACTGCTACCCTCCCATTTGCATGCAGAGCAACTTCTGTGCCAAAAATTCACTTGTGAGGGCATGACACTGGAGAGAAGGGACAGAAGGGCGCAGGGCCAGAGCACCAGAGGAAGGCAGGGTCACGGCAAGCAGGGCAGGGTCAAGGTAGGCTGCAGTACAGATTGGAGAGATGAACCCTGTTATGAAGTAAAATCAATTTCCCATTTTCTGGGGAAAGTGACTTACTATTCTTGTTATTGAAGACTCCTACAGATAGCATGGGCTCCAGGTCTTTCAGCTGAATTTCTTCCCTGTGCTTTCCACTTGTCCAGAAGTCAAGAGTTGCTTTATTAATTAAGTCACCACCTGCATTGCTATTCATAAAAGAAAAATGTACAGTGGTGAATATAGACACAACTGAGCCCAGAATTTCCTTTTTAGCCAGTTACACATATTGCTAATCATCTTGAAGTCAAACAAATTGCCAAAACAGAAACCTGTAAGCCAAAATTTAGGGAAAGGCTCGAGTTCTTTAAATTGCCATCAGTGTGTCACGGGTTGACCCTGGCCAGCAGCCAAGCACCTACATAGCCGCTTGCCTACTCCCTCCTGCCTCAGCGGGGTGAAAGGAGAAAATAGGAAGAACAAAAGTGAGAAGACTCGTGGGTCAGGATAAAGACAGTTTAATAGGTTATGAAAAGAGGCAAAAAACCCCAAAAATGAAAGCTAAGAAAATCACTCACCACCCCCACAGTCAGACCAACACCCAGGCAATCTCCAAAGAACCATCACCTTGGAAGCTGAAACCCCCCCTTCTTTCTCTACCCCAGGTTTTCTTGTTGAGCATGACATTACACAGCATTGAATATTCCCCTGGACAGTTTGGGTCAGCTGTCCTAGCTGTGTCCCCTCCCATCCTCCTGCCCACCCCAGCCTACTCACTGAGAAAAAGATAAAAGCCTTGAAGTTTTGCAATCACCATCCAGAAACAGCCAAAACATCAGTGTGTTACCAACACTGCTTTAGCCACAAACCCAGAACACAGCACCCAAGCCAGCTGCTGTGAAGACAGTTAACTCCATGCCAGCCAGACCCAGTACACAGGACACCCGTCCCAGAGAACTGCCCCAAAATGTGAACTCTGATACACTCTGTGCTCTGGGCCAGGTTCATGAGCTCAGCACGCTGCAGTGGTCGGCTGCAAGGCATCAGACCTGCTCCGCTAGAGCCACGGGCCACGCAGGAGCTCACAGTGCTCCCTTCTGTCTTTACAGAGAGGGTTTTCACCCCAGAGTTGTTCTTTTGCTGTTCTCTGAATGAAGTCCCATAGGAACATCGTTATCATTATAAACATAGATTTATTTCAATATCTCAAAATGACTGAAATAGGTGCTACAGACCTGAGGAAGATGAAGATGGCTTTCCTGTAGGACACCCCATCAACCTGTTCGTAATAGTCTAAGAATGGCTTGATGGCATCAATGAGACCTGGATGCATTTTGTCCATCTCATCAAAAATGAAGATGGAATGGGGACAGGCACTGACATTGCCCCGAATCCAGTTCTGCAATTGTTCCTGGAACAAAAGGTTGAAACACACTGAAAAACTAGGTCTCTTCCAGATGTGCTGCAAGATGCTTGTATGTGACAGACTCCAGGGACACCCTTCCAAATGTCAGCATCCCACACTCACTGGTTATAGCTTTAGAGAGGACCATAAATTCTGTGACTGATCCCTTGGACACGTGACACTGAATTTAAATGTGAATTCTTTTCCTGCTCACAGTGGAAAGACTTTCTAATTCTTTCTGCTTACTGTATGGATAAGACACTAAAACCAGGCTGAGATGGGAAGTCTTGGAAAACAGAAAGCTTCTTGTTTTAAAAAAAAAAAAATCAGTGTGTTTTATTTTTCATACAGAAATCATATCTATCAGTACATCAGTTTTGGGTATCTTCAAACATTTAAATGTGAAGATCAGAATTCTCAAATGTTGAGGAACTAAGTCACTTGAAAAATCTCTCATGCAGGCTGTCGTGGTTTAACCCCAGCCAGCAACTAAGCACCACACAGCCGCTTTCTCACTTCTCCCTGCTAACCAGTGGGACGGGGAGGAGAATCGAAAAAAAAAGTAAAACTCGCAGGTTGAGATAAGACCAGTTTAATAACGGAAATAAAATATAAGCGTAAAATAAAAAATACAATAATAATTGTAATGAAAATAAATATAACAAAAAAAAAAAAAAAGAGAGAGAAATAAAACCCAAGAAAAGACAAATGATGCGCAATGTGACTGCTCACCACCCGCTGACTGATGCCCCAGTAGCAATCTGCCCCTCCTGGCCAACTCCCCCCCAGTTTATATACTGGGCTTGACATTCTATGGCATGGAATAGCCCTTTGGCTACTTCAGTTCAGCTGTCCTGGCCACGCTCCCTCCCAGCTTCTTGTGTACCTGCTCCCTGGCAGAGCCTGGGAAACTGAAAAATCCTGAACTTTGGATAAGCGCTACTTAGCAACAACTAAAACATCAGTGTGTTATCAACCTCATTCTCACACTAAATCCAAAACACAGCACTCTACCAGCTACTAGGAAGAAAATTAACTCTATCCCAGCCAAAACCAGGACACAGCTACACTTTCTCATTGCACAGTGTGTGGTGGGTTGACCCAGCCAGCAGCCAACACCCCACCCCAACAGGATAGGGGAGAGAGAACAAAGGATAAAAGTGAGAAAATTAATGGGTCAAGATAAAGACAGTTTGGTAGGTGATGGAAAGAGGAAAAAAAACAAGCACAGGGAATCACTCACCCTGACACATGCAGATCAATGCCCAGCTAGTGTCAGAGCAACAACCCTCTTGAAAGCCAACACCACCCCACATTTTCCTTCTTTTACCCGTTTTTACTGCTGAGCATGACAGCATAAGGTACAGAATATTGCTCTGGCCAACTGGGGTCAGCTGTCCCGGCTGTGTCCCCTCGCAGTCTCTCACCCTCCCCAGCCTGCTCGCTATGAGTAGAGGAAAACAGCAAGCTTTGAGGCTGTGCAGGCACTGTTCCCTAACCCAAAACATCGGTGCTGTCAGCACTGGTTTAGCCACAAACGCAAAGCACGGCACCGCAGGGGCTGCTATGAAGAGGTTACCTCCAGCCTAGGCAACCAGTATGCTCAGTTTTAATGACGGGATTCTTTCACAACAGCAAACACCGGCAGAAATCAGTAGATGGCATCAGTGAGAGGACAGCACTGGGAAATTACTCTCGCTTTGGATTTGTTGGCATTTTGGCACCTGTTTCACTTTCTACATGCATTTCCCCCTCCGTCTCTCCTCAGCACCAACTTTGGAAACACCCAGCTGTACACCTCCAGTTGCCAGGTAGCTGGGGGGACATGTGCGGCACAAACTCCTACTTTAGGGACTCGGGGTAACTGGACAAGGTGAACCTTGTGTCCCTCCTCACCTTGTACAGCTTGACTTGGTCGTGGTGGGGGAAATGCAGGGTGGCCAGGAAAAGATGGACGAACTTGCTGCGCAGGCCGGCGGGGTGGACGTTCTCCGCCAGGATCTGGCTGAGGAAGTTCTTGCCGGTGCCGGCCCAGCCGTGGAGCGAGAGCGTCAGCGGCTTCTTGGGGCTGGGGTTGTTGCTGAAGCCCATCACCGCCTTCAGCACCACGTCCTTGGCCAAGTGCTGCCCGAAGAGCTTCGTGTCCAGCTGCCCCTTCAGCGCTGCGGGGAGAGGGAGAGCTCAGTCAGCATCGCACGGCCGCTAACGGGCGCCGGTCAAGATGAGCACGGCACGGGCCACTGCCTGCCACACCGCGGGCAGCGACCGGTTACCGGGGCAGAGCTGAGGGGCCCAGCGCGGCCTGCCCGCCCCCGCCCCCCCCCCCCCAACCCCCGCCGTACTGGTGGCGTTGAGACGCTGCCCGGCGCTGGGGCAGCACTCCACGTAGCTGCAGTAGAAGCTGGGATGCGACAGGTAACCGGTGAGGGCCGAGGCGACGCCGATAGCCAGCCCCACGCTGAGCGGCTCCAGCGCCGCCAGCCCCGGCAGCACCAGCCCCAGCAGCCCGACCGCCCGCAGCATGGCGGCTCCGCGCGCACGGCCGCTTCCGCCCGCCGCGGCGGCGCGCAGGCAACGCGCCCCGCCCCCTTTCCTCCCCCTCCCCCCGCTCCGTAGCCGCCGCCGCCATCTTTGTGAAGGGCACGCGGCGTTCGCTGCCCCATCGGTGGGCTGTGACGTAGAGCCGGGAGGGATGACGCTGGGGGGCGCTGCGTGACGGCATGAACAGCCTCGAGCAGCGAGGTGGCGGGGTGGGGTGGGGGATGAGGGCGTCCTCACTGCCTGTGTTGCAGTTACACTAATTAAATACTGCGAATCTTAGAATATTATTTTGATTTAGTTTAAAATATGCCTTGGATTTCAAAATGGAAGTTATAGCAGCTGTGAGAATATAAGGTATGCTAAAGCTCTTAGGAATAGATAACTAGTATGGTACATGCCTTGATTACAGAAATCGTTATGGGCTCTGAATCAAAACAATGGGCACTGGTTATGGATCTTGAGTTGAAACAATAGGTACCAGAAGGGACTGGTTTTGGTTTGGAAGATCAGCCAAAGAAGAATGAGCATGGGCAAGAATAAAGTTCAATCAGCGGACACAGTGAGGGAGACTATCGATGACCACCAGAGGACCCCCGTCCAACATAACCATGCATGTGTTAGAGACATTAGCATATGATAATGATTTCCAGGAAATAACATGAATATGCTAATCATTACCCTCCCCTCATTCTATTCAAATCAATCAGTAAAGACGACCAATGATTTCTGTAGAGTAGGAATACAGGTAAGGTGAGGTAACTGAAAGCCAATCATTATTAAGGTCAAATTAAACTTTATGAATTTTGTTGATCTTATGTAACCATGACTCTGCTGAAAAAGTGTATAAATACGTTGTGCTTTGTACCTGTCGGTGAACATGTCTTTGGTGGAGCTATCCCCCGTGTTCCCCAGCGCTGGAATAAAGAAGTGTCTGCTTATCTGCTTTGTGTAGATAAGTTCTATTCGTGATTGTGACCGCTAACACCTCCGTCGCCCCAGGGCGAGCTGGGCACCCTCTCTCCCCTCAGAGCAACCCAGGCCCCATCTTCTGTCCCCATCCTTCCCTTCCACCTCACCGCCTTTTCCTGCAAGACACCAGTGTAAATACCACTCCCCACCCTGTGCCACAAGCATGAGCCTCCTTGCGGAGCCGCGGAAGAACGACACGCCGAGATGGGTTCAGTGTGGGTGATAGAGCATCATATATCGTGTGTCTTTATTGGTCCAGGGTACATATATTTATACAGACAACGATAATTATTATGCCTCCTAGTCACTAGCTGATTGGCTTAAGCTCTAAGGGTCGTATTCGCACGGTCCACCTACTTGCAGTTAGCTTACAGCGCAAGCTTCTCATAACACTAAGTTTCTCATGCCACTATTTCTAATTCCTCTTAACCTGTTTTTGACACACCACGGTACACAAGGCCGAAGCGTCCTTGACATTCCTCACGTATCAGCAGCTGCGAGCAGCTGCAGGCAAACCCTAGTGAGGCCCAGCATCAGCGAGGCAGCATCAGCCCCTAGAACAGGCTCTGATCGTACAGCTGCTCGGTGGGCTCAGGACCCTTCTCTCTGAGCCATTCTCCAACACCCCCTCTCCTTCCCTCCCCACTGCCGGCTGGGGCTGACAGGCCAGCGCCATGGCCGGGAACACACCAGCAGGCATGGGCACTTGCATTGGGCCGAGCAAACCACGGAGGAGCTGCAGGAGAAACGGTGTGGAGATGAGGAGGGCTTTTCTGCACCCGTTTCATTTAACCATCAGCAGCACTGGCGCACGGCGTTCCCCAACGCAGACAGCTCGGCCGGGATGGGGTAACCACAGCGGTGCTGTGCGGGTGGGCTGCTGAAGCAGGACCTGCCAGACAACCTGGAAAAGTCATCCTTTGTGCCTGGGTTTCCACACCTGTAAAGCAGGAGCTGTGGTGCTGACCTCCGGTGCGATTTCTGCGAGATACACGTGACAGCCAGTATAAAACAGACTGATACTATTACTGAAAATGTTATTGATATTTTATTAATTAAAGCAGTGTTAGGACTTAAGGTGCAAAAGTTCGCCATAAAAGTGGAAGATTTTCTTCTTCAAAATACTCTTACTAGGAGTGTTTCTGTGGCAAGGAGAGCAAACCTCGTCAGCTATGTATGTCCCTCTTCTGCTTATGCTTTACCATGATTGTTGCCATGTCCTGTGTGTTTATTCAAGGGCTCTACAGAAGGTGCCTCTGGTATGGGATAGCCTGAATCCCTTCAAGGAAGTGTGTAAACTGAGCTGCAGGGAGGGGAAAGGGAGTTAGTTACTGGTGCTTCCATCTGCTGTGGTCCTGTAACCAGAAGACCAGGCATTCAGCCTGGTAAGGTCTAAGTGCTCAGAGTCACTCTGGAGGCTACAGTCTTGCAGCCTTTGCTGGAGTAGAGTCTTTCTTCACTGGGGTAGTCTGTCATTGCCAAGGCAATCTCTGCAATGAGGTCTTCATCCGTGGGATGACCTTGCATGTGCAGCTCCTCCCGGACACACTCTCTCACATGTTTATATTCGAGAGGAAGGAAAGGGATGAAATAGTCGATCAGGTTCTTTTGGATCAGTTGACTGTGAAAGAAACCACCTGGAAGAGAGCAGGGAGCTTTACCATCGGAGTGCTGCGGAGGCCAGTGTGTTGCTGTGCATTTCATGGATCATTTTGCAGAAGACATCAGCAGTCCTGGGACTGAGCCCTGCGCCCAGAGGTACTCACTGTTTCTGTTCCTGAAAATTTCCTCTGAGATCAGAGACTGGAGCTCCTTCACAGGAATGTCTTCTCTTCTCTTCAGCCTTCTCCAATAATCAAGGGCAATCTCTGTTATCTTATCTCCACCTGCATTGCTGTTAGGAAAGAGATTCACTTGCTCATTAGAGCTGTATCTTTGCCATCTTTATTGCCCAGACCTTGTCATCTTGTTTAAGTCACTTTGTGTGATTCTGAGCTGGAGTGGAGGTGACATGTCCCTACATGGGGGTGTTGCCCAGAGGTGGGAAGTGAGAAGGACCACACTATCTCCTTAATGGGATCGGTGTCTGATGGTATGAGCACTTCTCTGACACAGTGGCTTGAACAACTGCATTTGTTTTTGCAGCAGAGCAGGGGGTTTGGTCATACTGCCAGGTTGTGTTGGGTTTGTGTGTAGCGGGGTTTTAGTAGCAGGGAAGGGGCTACAGAGGTGGCTCCTGTGAGAAGCTTCTCGAAGCTCCCATAGCTCCAAGTCAGACCTGCCTCTGGCCAAGGGTGAGCCAATTAGTGATGGCAGCTGCACCTCTGTGATAACATCTTTAAGAGGGAGAACCTGAGAGGAAGAGTCGTTGTGAGGGAAATACCTATGCAAACACTGAGGTCAGTTGAAGAGGAGGAAGGGAGATGCACCAAAGCAGAGACCCCCCTCTGCAGCCTGTGGTGAGAGGGCAGGCTGTCCCCCTCCAGCCCATGAAGGCCACTTGTGGAGCAGAAGCTGACCTGCAAACCGTAGAGAACCCTATGCCAGAGCAGGCAGCTGAGCCCAAAGAAGTCTGAGACTGAGGGAAGCCCATGCTGGAACAGTCTGGGGCTAGGAGGACTGCAGCCCACAGAAGGGACCCACACTGGAGCAGTTAATGAAGAGTTGCAGCCCGTGGGAAGGACTCGTGTTGGAGCAGTTTGTGAAGGACCATCTCCTGCAAGAGGGAGCTCACACTGGAGCGGAGGAAGGGTATGAGGAGTCCTCCCCTTGAGGAGGAAGGAGTGGCAGAAATGAGGGGTGATGAACTGACCACGACCCCCATCCCCTGCCCCCCTGTGCCGCAGTGGGGGAGGAGGTGGAGAAATCAAATGCAAAGCTGAGCCTGGGAAGAAGGGAGGGATGGGGGAAAGGTGTTTTTTAAAGATATGGTTGTATTTCTCACTGTCCTACTCTGGTTGGTAAATTAGTGGTGGTGGTTTTCAAAATAAATTTATGTTCTTTCTTCCTTAACTGAGCTTATTTTTTGCCTGTGACCATAGCTGGTAAGTCATCCCTCCCTGTTCTTGTCTGGGTTCTGGGAGCCTTTTGTTTTTTCCTCCCCATCCTTGAGGGGGAAAGGAGTGAGCAAGTGGGTATGTGGTGCTCAGTTGCCCTCAGGGCTTAAACAACAACACAGGTGTTACTGAGAGACTGTCTAAAAGCTGCTGCTCACTGTGGTACTTGCTGCCCCAAGCTGAAATAGGTAGTTGGCCATGTGTTTGAATGCAAAGGCAAGCTGAGAGGTACACCAGCCCAAAACTTGGGGTTTGAGCTTGTTTCAGTTATGTAGTGTGAACAGAGCTGGGGTGACCCTCAGCAAAGGGATTTCACAGGAATAATAACTGGAGGAATTGTGCTCCCTTGATCTGTGTATGCAAGTGGTCTTCAATAGGTGACCTTTATTCTCACTGCATCTGAAGAGCTCCCTAGGGTTTGTCCTGTCATCCTACAAAGACCTTTCTGCCCATCAGTTGTGTTACAGTGCTGGAGGAAACCGATTTACTGACCACTGTGAAATTAGCGTCTCCAGTACTTGTGGAAGCCACCACAGGTACTTGTCCATTTCCCATTCACTTGAGGAATGGGAGCCTTTTCAGCCCTGGGAGAGCTTACTTCTCTTTGTGTCGAATAGTTCAGATCTTCTGGCTGATGTGATGGCTGGGCACATTTATTGTCAACGTGCTGTAAAGACAGCAAGGGACCTTGAGCTGCTCAGCCACACTGCAGTCAGCTACAAACCTATCAGTGGCCATTACTCCTTTTGTCCCTGCTGATTCTGTGGGACTATAATTCCCTTTTGGCTTTCAGCTTTCCTTACTTCAGAAAGATGAAGATTGCCTTGCCATAATAAACACCATCAATATCTTCATGGTAGCCAAGGAATGGCATGATAGAGTCTATCAGGCCATGTGGCATCTGATCCATTTCAGAGAAGATAAAAAGGGACCTTGGACAGGCACTAACATTGCCCCGAATCCAATTCTGCAGCTGCTCCTGTGAAAAGAGGCAAAATTATCTGCGATTTGCACTCACAATGGCAGATAAATTGGAGAAAGTGAGATAAAGCTGGAAGTACCTTATAGAGATGGACACGAGAAAGGTGTGAGAAATGCAGTACTGTGCTGAAGTGATGCACAAACCTACATCTTGCTATATTAAGCTGGTAGAGGTTCTCTGCAATGATACTGCTGACAAACGATTTGCCTGTTCCAGTCCAGCCATGGAAGGACATCACCAGGGGCTTCCTGGGCTGTTTGGAGTGCATATTTACACTCAGAGCTCTCAGGACTATCTGGATGGCAAGATGCTGGCCAAAGACTTTTCGTTCCAAATCCATCTTTATAACTGAAGGAATGAGAGGAAAGAAGAGTAGTTCAGAAAATGCCATATTCTTCCTCCCTTTTTTTTTTTTTTTTTTTTTTTTTTTTTTTTTGTTGCAGCTGAATAACCATGAGGGAGAACAAATGTTTGCTGCAATCTGGCTCTGACAAGATTGCGATTCAGCAGAGAATCCAACTGTGGAGCAGACTCGTGAATCAGACCTTTGATGGCATTTATGGGAGCCAAGCAGTTTGTGTGAGATAGGCAGGAGTCCCAGCAGTATTGTGGCTACTGCCTCCTATAAAGTCCTGGGATGGCATCTAATGTATTTGCAGAGATTTGTTCACTGTATGCACTGAAATCTCGTTAACTGTTTTTGTGGCATCTAGCATACCTTGCATTTATAGAAAAATGTGCTTCTGTCCTTATATCAAGTTCTCTTAAAGAAGTACCACCACTGCTGTTTCAGTGGCTGAAGTACTAGCAAACAGCCTGTTTGTAAGCAACTGTATTGAAATACCTGGAGGCACAAAGGTCTCCAACAGTTGAGGATTTGTTTTGAAATCTGTGGCTTAGCACTGACATGAAGCAATATTTGTAATCCTGTGATAAAGGGAAGGGGGTTTTCCAAGTGGCAGGGTCAGGAGTTTATGGTTAAGAGGTTGTATAAGCTCTTATTCAGACCATGCACTAGTTGCCCACAGGCAGGGTGAAACAACCCTTTCTTCCCCAGTCGATGAGGACTACCAGCCTGCTTGTCTTGGGGAAGTGAAGAAACATATTTTGAATATAGACCTTCCACTAATTGCTATTCATTTGAGATGTATTACAGGCAACCAACTGGGGTGTGGGATACCACTGGGGTGTCCATCTCAAGAAGATGTGGGATTATTTCGTTAGCTCTTAGCCTTGAATTCACCTCCAGAATTTTGCCTTCTGCCAATATAAACCAAGACACCAGCAAGAAAAATGCTCCATTACTGCCATGAGGAGGAGGCTACGTCACCACTTGTGGGATAAGCAATATTAAGTTAGTGTAGCCTTTGCCTTCTAGAGCCACTGTGGGCAGTAACTCTTACCTTTCCACAACCACCCCAAAGGAGGCTGGCATTAAAAAGGAATCCGTCACCACCCTGGGAAGGACCGTTATCTGGTCCAACTGACAACTTGGCTTAAGGTGCCCTTGCCACTGCCTTACCTGAGATGTTCAGCGTGTCCTTCATGTTGCAGCACTCCAGGAGGCTGCACTTGAGCCAGGAGTGAGGGGAGAGGAGCTGCCAAGCAACAGCAGCACTCCCCATGAAGACTGAAGTGCTGAGAGGGTCCAAAGCTGGCGTCAAAGTGGGCACAAGAATAAAGAATACAGCAGCATTCAGAAGCTTCATGGTGGGAACAGAAAGCCAGCCTGGCTCAGCAGGAAAAGAAAGCAAAACAGAAATTGCAGAATAACTTCCTGTAGCGTGGGGCCTGAGGCTGTTCAAGGGGATGGAAGCCAAGTCTCCTGTTAGCTGGAGGTGTTAATGATTTAACAGACTTAGCACACTACTCCTCAAGAAATGGAAGTGTTGTGAACAGGGTATTGCCACATGGGTAGAGTGAGAGTTTCATCAGAACAATCCCAGCTCTGAGGGGAGCAGGACTGGAACCTCGCTGCATCTTAACCAAGGTGCTAATTGGTCTGGTGATTAACCAAGAACATAGTGATGCTTGTTTTGGGCTTAGTTCAGTGGGTTGTGCACCTAGCAGCACAGAGCCCAAAGATTACCACAGCAGTGGCTGGAGCTCTGCAACTCACAAGACTAAGCATATCAGAAAGCTACTTTATTAAAACTAAATTATTGGAGCAGATATTTTATGCTGACAACTTCATGATACCACCACCACCAAAAAAGTGTGTTTGCAAAGGGGAAGGATGGACACTGAAACAGCTTTCATTTTCTCGGCAAACCCTTTTTTTTTTTTTTTAAATGAAAAAAAAAAATAGTGAAAAGCATTTTTAAATAATTCTCATTTTATTTTAAAAATCTCGTTGGAAAAACACTGGGCAGCATTATTTAGTATTCAGAAAACATGCTCAAGGTTTGGCGTGTCTCTTGAAACGAGTGCCCCGTGCTGCTGATGGCTGAACCGCCTGGAAGCCCCCTTGTTCCCTGTTTTGAGAGTGTCCTCTCTGTCAGCTGCCACAGAGTCTTGAGGTGGGCACAGCTTAGACTCTTGGCTCGTTATTCCAAGGCGGTTTTCCCAGATGAGCCACCTACTGAGGGGTGTCCTCAAAGTCTCAGGGTTTGGGCTGCCAAGGAGCTGCCACCTGAGGAGCCGGGCTTGCTGGGCTTTCTGGCTGCAATCTCTCCGTTAGCACACCCAGAGGCTGCATAGAGCCCACAGGAAGGAATTGGCAGTAGCATATGCAGGTTTCCGTGTTTGCCTGGACTCTGTCAGACTGAACTCAAATAATAGTTTTACAAAGGTGGTTTAATGCCGCTGAAAAAATGCTGGGAATTTTCCAGTCAGCTCTGTCTCCTTGATGCACTGGTCGTCTGCTCTTGTCTGTGCTGAACACTAGATGGGGTGTCAGACAAAGGTTTTAGTCCAGGATTTACAGGGTAGAACAACTTTTGCAGAAAACTGTGTCATGCCTGAGAAAAACAGAAGAGTACACATCTGCAGCACTGACCACTTGTGTTAAGAAACGTAATTTCTTGGGATACCACACAACCTGGCCCTCATGGGTACTGAGGGTTCACAGAGAGCAAGAGCCTCATAGGCTTTTTCAGCAGGGGACTCAGAACAGCCAAAGTCATCCTACAAAGGAAGATGGAGAGTTAGAATAAAGAAATGAGGTTTTTAGCTGGGATCTGCAGATTCTCTTGTCTGTACATCTAAACTAAAGGTGCAAGCAGGTTGCATCACTCACCTCACAGGCTTCAGCAGGTATTTCACTGTTTCTCTATAGAAACAGACTGTGGTCCCATGAACACTGAAATGGACCGTCACCCCTGAATGTCTCTGGGGTAAAGTGTAGTGCTGAGTTGTGTCTTGCAAAGGGAGAATCAGTTTGATGGTTTATGGTCCACCCTGTCAAACCTGGATGGCACGGAGCCTCTTCTGACTGGTGTGTGAAGAGGGCAGTGAGATGTCCCTAGTAAATTTTTCATTGTGGTCTTGTGTCCTTTCACAAGGTCTCACCGGTTTGGAAGGGACTGCATCTCCCAAAACACAGCTAGGCAATGTAAAGTGATATACTAGAAACAACACAGAGAAGGAGAATTACCTCATCTATGCAGAAAGAAGGGGTAGCATGGGACACATCTATAGATCTTCTCCTTTCCATGTGGGAGGGAGGTGGCATATATTTCCTATACAACAATAGGATGTATGCTGCATAACAGGTACCAGATGGGTGTTTAAATAACCTTCAGCTGCAACATGTCATGCTGTTATCTCATTATCCCTTACAAGTTAAATGGGTTCAAGCTGGGCCCGGACATGGATGAGATGTCTAATAGCGGTGGTGAGGCTGACATTGATGGCAATTTCCTTGAACAGCTGTCTGGAAGCTCCAAGTGGAGCACAGACCCCGCAACACACAGACCACAGCGCAATGTCTTGTTGCCTGTTGTGGTGTGCTGATGAGCACGTTGTTCTTCCATCTCAATGCCCTCCCTTGCCCTGGGCACAGAATTGGCATCCTATCATGTATTCACACTGCCCTCCTGACCAGCATAGCGGGTGGTGGTGAGCCAGCAGTGGGTCATCTTGAATCGGCTGCCACAAGCTGAAGGTACTGAAAATTGGTAGTAGAGAACTTTCAAAAAGTGTCTGGTGTGCAATAGTTGGTTTGGGGTATCTGTGATTTGTGGAGTTGATCAGCAGTGGAGGTGGTGTGGTGGGAAGGTGAAGGGTGTGGAAGAGGTAAGGACATGGGGGACATTACAGGAAAAGGGAAGGAGGGGATTTGGGGAGTAGTGGTATGAGCTGGAGGATATGGGGTATCAGCAGTGAGTAACAGAGTGCTAAAGCTATTGTGATAGGAGAGGTAGTGGAGATGGGGTGGGATTATTTAGTGGAGATTATTAGTGGAGATGGAGATGGCAAAGGGAGAGATAAGGGATGCAGAGATGGAGTATTTAACACCAAGGATGAGAAGAGAAGAAAGTCCCAGATGAGAGCTTTGCCTGGCCTTACTCTGTGTTCCATGTGTTGAAATTTTCTGTCACCCACCCGCAGTTTGGTTTGTACGTTGCTGGTTTAAAGTCAGCATTCTCAGGACTTTGGGCTCACAGCTCCATGGCAGAGAGCCTAGAGAATTTGGGATACTGCTGGTTAGCGTGGCTGTCTGATCACAAGGCAGCATACCTCACAGTTGGCTGGTAAGCCAAGAAACATGATGTCTCCAGCCAGGGGACAGGGTGCTAGGAATTGGAGTTGCAGCCCTGCCTTGAGTTCATGGAGTGCAAGAGATTTTCAGGTAAGAATCGTAGGGTAAATGAATCAATGCTTTTCCCAGAAAAAGTCTGTATTTTTGTTGGAAAATGTATAAGGTCCTTAATATTTCCCAGTGCTTTATGAAAGAGGTTTGGTAACATGACTGTTGTTTTACAAGAGGTGCTGGGCTGGCCAGAGGTTCTTGCTGAAGGTTTCTAATTGGAGAAGGAGAAGTGGAAGACTCATTTTTCCCTACATTCCATTTAATTTCTACCTAAACACGTCTCTCCCTGCCTTCTGACCCTGGCTAGACGATTTCTAATGCTTGGAGTTTTTCTGAGGGGAGTTTGGGGTTTTTTTACCTTTTTTGTTTTGTTTTGTTTTGGGTTTGTTGGTTTTTTGTTTTTGTTTTTTTCTCCCTGTATGTGTGGTTTGGGTTTGTTTTCCTTCCCTGCTTCAGTTTCAGCATCATCTTCCAAGTGCTCCTTATCCTAAACATAGAGATGAGGCAGTGACAGGAAAGGGCTGCCACTCTGACGTACATTGGGAGCTTTAAAGGGTGGGATTGTGGTGGGCTTTATCCAAATACAAAGCCTGGCTAGGCTCTGAGTACTACGCTAATGCTGTGGAAAGGCTCTGACTCACTGGAATGTGTTCGTTGACCTTTCTATAATGTGACAGTAGCAATAACACAAGACACCAAAATCTACATTAATGTTGAGCAAACACTGTCTAATCCTAGCAACACCCAGGGAGTCAAGAGGCCGTCATCCTTCTCCTGCAGGTAGGAAAACTGAGGTTTGCAGATGTTGAAAGTTCTTCTTAACACGGTAGTTCATAGGAAAGAGTTTAGCAATTCCTTTCTCTCTTTGAAATCTTTACTCAGAAGCTTGAGCCATGATTTGCCTTGGGCAGGCTTAAAAATCCTTGTCTAGGGTACAAAATCACAGAGTCCCTTGGGTCAGTGTGTGCTGCTGTGCTGTGTGAAGAGGGACAGTCCAACAAGGACAGGTATGGATGAGCTTGGGATTTGGGTGAAGTGGAACATGATGTACCTGTCCAAATACATCTGCCTATGTGAAATAATTAATTTGATCACGTCTGAACCCTTGTAAAATTCTGATGTAGCAGTAGGGCTTTTTTTTGTTTTGGTTGCTGTCTCTATAAAACGTAATTGAGAGGTTCTTCCCTACAAGAAGAGTAAAAGATTTCCCATCCGGATGCCCAACCTTAAAGCCCTTTTGCCTGAGCCTGTATTGCAGTCAGACCAGAGTCTCAGTGTGCTGTACAAGTAGAAAGAATAACCAACCTTAGAGACCTTACAGTGTTTGGATGCAATGGTGGTCCAGACCAGAGCTTTACCTGGTCTACACTGGTACGGCACCTACTCAGAGCAACATACAGCAGCTGAGGATCAAGCAAGGTTTATCAGTGCTGCTGACACCCTTTGGCTGTGGTGAATGCAGACAGTCTCTGCAGAGGGAGACAAATGTGTTTTTTAATCTGATATCAAGTGGTTTTCAGCAGGTGGAACTACACAGGTCATGTTACCTGGTAGGGATAGGAGTGAAAGGTAGAGGAGAGCAGGTTTTTTAAAGCCATGCTTGATCTACAGCATTGGTGTGGGTGAGGTAAGATGCCGTCTCACATTGCTTCCATCCCGTGGGAACTTCCTTGAAAGGTGATGTTTTATAGATAAGTGCAAGGTGACAAGCTGGCAGAACACTTCTCTGCCTTTTATAGGGTGAGACCCGGTGCTGAAACCCATTTGACCTTTCAGTCATACCAACTCCATCAAGAATGATGGATGGAGAAGGTCTTTCTCAGAACAAGCACAGGGAGTTATTTAAGTTTCCAGCAGCCAAACTGGCTCTGCTCCTCCACAGACTGCAATGTGCTCCAAAGGGAGAAGGGATGGAGGGAGGAAGCCCTTTGGCTTTGGAAAAATGAGGAGTTTCTGTTCATATGAACAA